AAGACCGTGCAACTGCTTCACGTCGTTTATTAAAATTAACCAACACTTTCCTCAGCAGGGTTCAACTTCTTTGGCAATTCGTAAACATATTCAGGCTTAAAAGTTTTTCGCCACCAGCAGTGGCGGCGCTTGTTTGGTTTATGTTTGCTATGTAAACAAATAAACAAATGAACAATAAACAAAGCACACACACATTTTCCGAGGGAAAACACAAATAGAAAGACGAGGCGGACGAGGTTAGGAACTAGACGAATGCATTTGCATTTGCCTTCGCAGCTGCGGCAGAATTAAAATTGAAGTCGAGAGAACCGTTTAAGATGCAATTAAATCCCTTGACCCCACTCAGCTCATTAGGCATGACTCGAAATTCCAAACTAATTGCACAAGCAGGGCACTCTGAAGAACACAAAACGTGGGAATTGAGACGTTTCGGATTGCAGATGATATTGCAATCATGACGAACCCGAATCCGAACTCCAAGCACAATACCAACCCAAAGAATTGAAATGGAATTGGAAACGGTTCCAAGGTGTGGTCTCCGAAGTTCAAATTGCAATCCAAAAGATTGCAAAAACCAAGCAAATGCACGGCCAATTGAATCATCGCCAGTCTTCAGTGCAAAACTTCGTTTTTCAGCTCATTTAAATGCTAAGCATGCGATGCTCGGTTTAGAAAACTTTAAGCGAGAAACCGCAGTCAGCCGACCGAACTTTATCTAGACCATTAACTTTTACAAAGGAAAATATGTCAGCTAAGTGCTGCTTTTTTCCAAAGGGCAGGGGTATTCGGGGGAACCCAGAATGGGGAACTTCTAACATCAAACCAAACCGACGAACCGCGAGATGATGACTCAGCCAAAGTCAACAAGCGAACTTAGCAGCAATAAAACACGGCCTCAAAAGACACTTACAGCTCAAACAGGCTGGGCTGGCACAGACAGCTGAAATATGTATCTATATAGCTCATATGCGCTTCAAAAAAGATTACACTGAGCTGCAGGGCAAATATTTTTAAACAAAAGAGTATTATCACAAAAGTATAATCTGCAAAAGATATAACGTACACTTTTGGTAATGAGAAATATTTGTTCATAAAGAATATGATTTGTTATTAGCATGAGTTTTCAATATTCAACTAATTCAAAAAATGAAAGTTGCGTTAATAAGAAATGCTCACTTAACTACAGTTTTTTTTTGGTATTTTATTTTATTTTTATTAAAATAGTTTTTGTGGCTACACATGAATCTAAAGTCTAAATAGGTTCGTAAAGTTCTCCCACTCTAATGAAAACTAAACATTAAAATACCTATTCTTAAATTATCTTTTTTCCCTTGGCTGAGAAGTGTAAAGAAATTGTGTCTCTGTGGCTGGAATGAGTTTTCTTGTAGTTCTAATTTGCTTGGGTCATGCGTTGAGGTTAATGAGTCATATCATCATCATTATCTCGACACTGAGGCAAATAAGAAAAGTAAAAGAGGGGGGATCAGAGGGACATCATCACAATGAAAGCGGAGGACAAACATTAAAAAATAATTTCTGAGACAATGCTGCCAAACCGCTTTTGTTTTGTAATTTAGATGCAATTAAATGTAAATAAATTCACAATTTAGTCTTATGTTCTTTTTCGACTGTTTTTCGGGGTTTCTCGCTTCTGTTTGTCTGTTTTACTTCCCCTCTTTTAGTTTGGTTTGTTGTCGGTTTGGTGACCCGATTTCCGCAATTTAATGACTTTTGTTTGACCAGCGGATAATTGCTGGGAAAAAAATGACCAAGAACGAGAGGAATTGCGGAACTTTCTTTTTTCCTCATTTATTTTTTGCCAGGCCTCACTTAATTCTCTTTCATTTTCGTGCGTCTTTTGTTTGTTTTAGTTTTTCCTCTCATTTGATTGTGTTTTTTTTGCTACTGTCTCTATCTTTCCTACATCTTTTCTACAGTTTTTATATCCTCTTTTCTATATCCATCTCAGTTCATTTCTTTGTTGCTGCTAACGAGCTGTTGATAATTTTTAGCAAAGGCGCACATTTATTGACTTTTTGTGGCATTTGTGGATTTTAGATTTGTGGTATTATCTTCATTTATCTCCTTCTAGCCGCGTTATATTTGTCTTTGTTTGACCCGCAACGGAAATGAGCTCTGCCTGTTTTTTTTTCTTCGGTTCAAGGTTCAAGGTTGTCCGCCCACTCCCTAATTTCTTTTTTTTCGTTGCCATTGATATCTTTGTTACACACCCAAACTCGCACACACATTTTAGGATAAGACAGCTAAAGAAAGCAATTTGCTAGAAAGAGAGGGCGACAGTGAGAAAGATGGGCGAGAAAGAGAGGGAGGGAAAACTAAGAGTTCAGATACAATTTGGTTGGGAAAACATTAAGTAGCGGAAGTTGATAAGAAAGGCAAGCAAAATGTTATTTATAGATAACTAAAGCGATTTAAGAGAAATACACAAAAAATAGGAAATCACGGATTCAATCGGAAATTGAAAGAGGTCTAAAGTGTTTGGAAAAGTATTTAAATTTATTGCAAGCAGTATTCCTAACATTCTAAAAATATTAAAAATCATTCCCGGAAAAAGTCTTCAATATTCATATTTTTATGTTTTCATTTTATCGTTCCTAACTCAAGTTAATTCACCCAACAAAAATTCAGTACTTAAAGCCCCAACAAATACGCTATGAGGAAAAAAAACAATTCAACCCTAAGACCTTAATCCGAAGAACATTAGACATAAGCTCTCAGACAGAAAGAATTTCGTATGCCTGAATTATAATTCAATTTATGACCCGGTCCGAATGGCTTAAACTACTTCCCAAATCCTTTATCAGCGGCCACTTCGATATGCAAGACCTGAGCTGCATGCATTATCCTCCGAAAGCGATTCCCCGGCCGAGACCCTCGTCAAAAACCTGATAGATTCCAGTCAGAAGAAAAAGACCAAGAGACTCCCGCCGGAAGCACCTAACCCAAACCAAACCCCCATATCCCGCTCTCTCATTAGCATACAAATGTGTCAGAACAAACAACCAAATAACCGAAAGGAACTGAAATGTTAAGAGTCCAAAAGAAAAGAAAGAACCGACCGGTCGTCCGAAAAAATACAAATTGGGGTGTGGGCAGCGTGATTTCTTGACTAATTTTTATGACACTTTTCACTTTATGAGGTGGCCTCGGCTAATTCCAAAGTTCTCTTTCTTTTTATCCCCTACTTTATTTACTTTTGGCTCCTATTGAACAGAGGAACGAATAAACCATATGCATGTACCCCAGGCAGTAAAGATTTTTATCGCTCGAGGATGTGTCATAAAAATTCCTAGCTCTCGAGACTATTAAAAACAATAAATGTCAAAACGAAACGGATTTTCCAGTATGCATGTACCTAGAGTGCCATTCTCTGGGGAAAAACTGGCCAGGGGCTACGGGAAAATAATGGGTCTACATAGGTTATGGGGTTGGAAAATAATCCACACTGTGTTGTCTATGGGAAGGACTTACAAAACAGAGTGCATAAATATTGAAAAATATACTGGCAACAATTCAAGGAATTTTTTTTATCTTAAGAGCTTCCTTTCATAAGCTTCCTTTTTTGGTAAAGAAAACAAGCTTAGAACGTCTTTGTTGAATGTCCTTATAAATAGATTTTTATTTATATTAAATTAGTTTCAATGAATTAAGAAATCTTTGGGATTTATACTTACAAATTAAAAAAAAATTCTTTATGAATAATAAAACCAAATTTTTAACCCCTGTTCTATACCTTGTGAAAATTGTTATATTTTATTCCTCTTTAATTATATATACCAATAAAAATACTTTATTAAACTAGGTTTCCAAGCTTAACAACTTTAATGTATTTTGCTGCTGAACTACAAATCTTTTTTTGTGTCAAACTACTTGGCCTAATTCTTTCTCATTTAGAGCAGCTTCCAAATGTGAATTCTTCCTCTATTTTTATGGCTCCCGCTTTGTCCTTGTGTCATGCGGCAGGACATTAGGCAGGCAAATCACGTAAATTATGACCGGGCCACTATAATTTCTTATCGCCGGGACATGATTTCAAATGATAGACTGCGGAAAAGACTGGAATAAAGGCATCTCAGGGCCTGGGGCGAAGATTTTAGTAGGCGCGACAAGTTTTTTTTATGCTTCTCGCAGGAGGAGATGAAGGAGGAGGAGGAGGCCTAAGGAGGTGGACTGCAATTGGCAACTGGCGCAACGCATAAATTGAGAATTTTTATCTAATCCGCGGCATCTGGGAGACGCGTACATTAGCTGGCACCAGTCTGTCCTGTCCTGGCCCGTCTGGTCTTGTACACTCTGGACGGGGCTCTCTGGTCCGCTTTTCGGATCGAATCGCTGCGAGTCTCTGGGACTGGCCAAAAAGCAGCGCCTGCGACTACGACGACAATCGACAGGCAATAAATCACCCAAAGTTGCCAAAGAAATTTATGTGCAGCAGATTAGGATCGCGAAAAGCGTCATTAGAATAAATTTTCATTGGAAAATGAGCGCCCGGCCAAGTGAAGCAAACGAATTGATGAGAAACAACTCTGTTCAATTCAAGTTGCAATAATTATGAGTTATAGAATTTGGCCATTTCGTTAAGAAATTGCCCATACTTAATTTATGTTATGTTTTAACTTATAATTTAGCCTTTAAAGTACGCTAAAAAAATCAGAAAAATTGCATATTCAGTGTCTAGGAATACTGTCTTGTGCCGTTATAATTCAAAATGATATTTACTTCAATTTTGGATAATTGGGAATTATAAAGCGCTATTAAAAAATAATGCAGGCAAATGTTGCTGCCAATATTCTTTTAAACACATCTTGAATTAATTATATTTTTACATTTTAAAATTGTATTATTATCATGACAACAAAATGTTGTTGTTCAAAGCGCAGTTTTAGCTAGGTTAAATTTAATTATTGAACTTGCCAAAATTATATTATAAAGAATAAATAAAAAAAATTTTTTTTTGGAAAACTCAAGCTTTGACTTACCATTTGCCGTCTTCTTCTTGTTCGTCTGCCGCTGCTTCTTCTTCTAGACTCCCGTTCTTTATCTTTCAGGACATTAATGATTAATCCCAGCGTCGTCTGCTCTCCTTTATAGCATTTTGTTGTTTTTTTTTGGCTGTTGTTGCTGTGCGTGTGCCGTTATTGGCGGTATAATCCAATAATCCAACACGAAAGAGCGTGTGAAGTAGAAATTGCAAAAACTAGAGAGACACACGCACATACACACACATAGGCACAGCCACCCACACACGCACACTGTTTTGCCGCTTTGTTTAGTAAATTAAACTTTTCACTTTCCTCAGCCAGGAAAAACGAAAATGGGCAATTTTCTTATTTTGTTTCGATTTGTTTCGTTTTTTTCTCTCCTAAGTTTTCCTGCTTTCTTTTCGTATTTTTCAAATCACAAAAACACAGAGCGATGGCAAACGCAACAACAACAACGTACACAAAACAAAAGCAAATGCACGACGCCAGCAACAACAACAAAGCGCCGCCGTAGTACACAAAAAATTCCTTTTTCGCTGCGCGTCGTCTCCTTGTATATATGTATGTATTTTTTTGTATTCCACGGAGCAATTCTATTTTGCTTTTCTTTTTTTATTAATGACTTTTTCACCTTTTGATTTTTTTTGCCGCACTTGGATTTGACTGCATATTTTATCTCTCTGTCGCACACTCACCGTTTAATTGGGAAAAACACACACGATCTCGTCAATTGGTCGCGTAATTGTCGCCGCTCATTTGGTAAACATTTGGAGTTTTTCATCCGATTTTCCGCTAAAAACACAAAAAAGCGAAACTTCGCGATCCGCTCCAAAAGTTGAACCGTTCCGATTGAAAAAGAGAACAACAATGAAGAGCGCGGAGAGCAGTAATGGTGGAGCGGGGGAGAGAGTCAGAGACTGATTAGTGTGACTGTAGCTTGTTTTGGCTAAATATACCATCCGGCGAGAGTGCAAGAGAACAAGTTTTGCTGGCAGTGAACTGCTCAGTGTTACCAATCGGATATAAGCCACCCTCGAAATTCGCGTGTAAAAACCAAAAAATAACTTATTTATTCTTAGTTGATAACTTAAACACATTTTTTAGCATTATGATTGATAATAACTTTCGTTAAATTTTTGTATTGTCATATCGCAAGGCTGTTTTCACCCGACGGGTTTCCCTGTCTAGTATTTTATACCCAGCTTATGGGGGACACATGAGCACAAAGATTTAAGAATTATTAAAGCGATAAACATATTAAGTTTTTACATTTTTACAGGTCTGAAGAAATATAGATATATATTATAATATATTAAAGCTTTATGCGCTTGAGAACCTACCATGCAATAAAGACCGGGTACTTTAAACGCTCGCGTTTATTTTTAGTATTTTCGGTGACTGACAATCTCTGATTGTTACAAAACTTAGAATTTCGTTAATTTTGTAACGTTTGGTACGTTCCTATGTTTTTGGATAGCCAACTAATAAAACTAACAAATTATCATCTTCTAAAATATTAAAAAGCAAAGTGAAGCCTACATAAAGTGTTGAATGTAGTACTCGACAAACATTCAAATCCGTTACAACTTAAAATATTTTTAAAAAAATTAACAAAAACTTCATTTTTAGTCCATTCTGGGTAGTATTAAATCATTTATTCTTGCGCTTCTGTAAAAAACTTATTATCAAATCAAAAAAATTAAATTTTGAGCATTTTTATGAAAATTTTATAACTCAACTGCAAACAGTTAAATATGTCCAAAAATGATCACCAGTAATAAAGTTTTCAAAAACAAAAAGTGTAAAGATGAAAGACTAAGTCAACAAGTGAAAGTGATTTGTTTTTATTTATTATCACTCTCTCGCTTAATAATAACTCGTATGCCTCTCTTTGATAGTGCCATTTTTTCTATCAAAATATTTGTCCAACAACTTCCCACATTTTTTACCATGCTCACCCGATAAGATAACACATATAGAAGTAAAACGAGCGGAGCAAATCAACGATTTTCGTACTGAACAAATATTAGTTGCGCTGGACTTTCAAAGCCGAACGGTTGGATGCTTCCATAGAGAAAATAAATATAAATTAGAAGCGTTATCGGAAAAATTGGAAATTACGTTCAAATAGTAAGGAAATGACGTCACTGGGCAAACAAGTGTTTTTATGGATTTGCTTGCTCTTTCTAATTGTGGGGATCTCTCATTCGGAAGCTGATTCTATTGGTTTGTAACCCATCAACGTTACATAATGCTATCTAATTCGCCATCTTTCTCCCGCAGATGATCAATGCAAGCACGCGGACAGCTGTGAGAGGTGTTTATCCGCTCACCTGGAATGCGCCTGGTGTACAGACAAGGTGAGTGTGAGCGAGATGACATTAATAAACCAAAAAAGATCCTTGTTAGGGTTGCCAGCTTAAAAAGGTATATTTCAAGAAGTAGACTAAAGATGTTAAACAATGATCAGTTGGATACAACAAATTGTATATTCCAAAATCAAAATATTTATTTCTGCAGTTCAAATTCATAATTCCCTTCTATTCCGGTTTATTTAAAAAAAATATATAAGTTGATGAATTCTGTAACGTCAGGCAAAACTGCGATGATCCTTGTGACCACAATAATGATTAATCTGAACTCTGACCCTCTTTCAGGAATATCAAATAGGCTATCGCTGCCTCTCTCGCTCGCTACTTCTTCAGTACAACTGCAGTGAGACGGATATATACGAGAATCAGCCGGTTTTAGATCTCCTCCAGGATAAACCTCTGAAGGACTATGAAACTAGCGGTCAGGCGGTCCAGGTTACACCGCAAAGGGCATACCTCAAGTTGGTCAAAGGTGTGTTTTGTTCATTATTTTATTCAGTTATCTTATCAAATGTGTGTCACCACATGGCTAGCCCCCTCCATTTCTCACCTTATATTTATTTCTTTATCAAGTGTGTCAGTGTTTCTCTTTCCCTACTTCGTATTTGCTTTGCTGATTTGTTCCACATCATTTTCAAACATTTTGTTTTGTGTCCACGCCTCGCTTATCAGCATTTTGTGGTTGTCACATCATCTTGCTCTTGCTATTGTATTTGGCGTGGGAATACCTCTATACACATCCCTTTCCATCCCTCCTTCTCTGTCTATTGGTTCATTGAACCTACTTTATATACGTTGATTATTAAATTTAGGTTCTCGACGTTCAAATATGAATCATAAAAATGTTGTAATTATTTATTTTACTTACCATTTTGTAATTTTTGTTGTACAAATTTTTGTTATATAATTATTAAACACATAGAGCTCGGAGGTAATGTTTTAAAATAGGTTTCTCATTACTGACTATTTTAATTGATTGACATGATCCTAGTATGAAGAAATGAGAAATCACTTTACTGGGACCTTAATATGTTCTTCATCATAATAAAGATAAATATATCTCAATTGAAGTGGTGTTGAGTTCAGCCTTAATCAATCCACATTTTTATGTCTGTCAATAATTTGCCAACTCAAACAGCTTGTTAACCAATTTCATAACCATTTACATCGCTTAAGAGACGATCGCAGTCCGCTTAAGAACTACTGAAAAGCCACTAATTAAGGTCGAAAAAGTGGTGTAAAAAACCTGGATAAATTACACACTTAAGGATTACAAGGAACCCAAACATTTAGTCTGGGTGTGAACTGGCTCAAGTTTTAATGAATGGTTACCACTCACTGAGAAAAATATCTTTAAAAGATCGAGGATAAGAAATATCCTATCAATACTCACCTAATTCATTCAATTTTAATGCAATACAATTTATTATAGTTACACCTAATAACTTAATCCTTTTTGGATATAATGATATTAACTTAAGGATGCTGATTATGTTGATTTCTTATTCGGAGATTGTTATAAAAATAGATTGTTTGTTATAAATATGATTCCCTATCAATCTTTATTATTGACAGTATTTTTCATTCACTGTACAAATTAAATGGGTGCGGAATCTAGACCAGACTGGTTTCTCTTTATGTAGATGTGTCAGCCCATAAAACAGCTCATAAACCAGGTTGCCTTTAACGGGTGCATAGTAAACCGATCTATAACTTTTACCCCCTTTTTGTGTCCCACAGGAAACACGCAACGCATCAAACTGAGCTATAGAACAGCACGCAATAATCCACTCGACTTGTACGTGTTGATGGACCTCACCTGGACAATGAGGGACGACAAGGAGACCCTAGTGGAGCTGGGAGCGCAGCTCAGCCAGACCCTTAAAAATTTAACGGGCAACTATCGGCTGGGATTTGGTTCATTTGCGGATAAGCCAACTCTACCTATGATTCTACCGCAAAATAGGGAAAATCCCTGTGCTCCAGAGCGGGATACATGTGAACCCACCTATGGATATAGACATCACTTATCCTTAACCGATCATATTCCCGCTTTTACCTCGGCAGTGGCTAACAGTAAGATCACGGGAAATTTGGATAATCTCGAAGGAGGATTGGATGCTCTGATGCAGGTGATAGGGTGTCCCAAAGAAATCGGTTGGAAGCAGCAAGCCAGAAAGGTTGTCATCCTGGTAACCGATGGTTTTATGCATATAGCGGGGGATGGACTCTTAGCTGGTATTACCCAGCGCAATGATAAGCAGTGCCATCTGAATAATGCAGGTGAGTATACCGGTTCCTTGGAGTACGATTATCCCTCGCTGGAAGAGATCTATCGGGAGTTACTTCGCCGCAAAATCAGTGTGATATTTGCTGTCACAAAGGAAGTGGTAAGCAGCTATAGGGAACTCAGTGCCTTGATGAAGGAAATCAGTTATGTGGACATACTAAGTGCAGATTCTTCTAATATCTTGGAACTGATTAATAAGAGGTGCGTTAGAGAGACCTAATATACTAAACAATATTCTAAACAAATCATAATCTGCTTAAATCGAATTATGCTCTGTTTCAAATATGATTTTGCATATAATCCGATATCTACCAATATATATTTTGTCTTTATTTTTTAGTTACGAGAGGTTAATCCAGCGCACTCAGTTCGCCGATAACAGTCCGGACTTTATTGATATGGTTTACTATACGGATTGTGGTGGACAGTTTCCCAATTTAAGAAAACGGAATTTCTGCAATAATGTCAGCCTGGGCAAAGAGATTGATTTCTATGTGGATGTCACACTCAAGAAGTATCCAGACAATAAAATTTATGTGAGTAAGATAATAAAAGAACTATATGTGTGATATTAATTTGATTTTTAAATTACTTAAGATATTGAACACAAAGTAAAGATAAATTAGTATAAATTGATTTATATATTTTATCAGTTATATTTTTATGATATTATTTTCATATTTTTTTGTAGACCCACAAGATCCGCGTAGAGGAGACCTCTTTGAGCGAGTATATGGACCTGGATGTGGAGCTGCAGCGACCTTGTCCTTGCCAGGAAACTCCGGATCCGGAAAACGAAGAAGGGCGCTTCCGGTGCGAGAACCAGGGCTATATGTATTGCGGAATGTGCAACTGCGATAAGGGATGGACCGGCACCTTTTGCACCTGTCCCACGGATGCCACAAATGTCACCAGTAATGAAGCTCTGCTCCAGAAATGCCGACAACCATTGCAGGATAAAACCACCTCCCCCTTGGTTTGCTCCAATCACGGGGACTGTGATTGCGGAAGTTGCCTGTGTGATCCTGGATTTACGGGTCCTTTTTGTGAGTGTCGTGAGTGCATCGATTGCGATGAGTCGCGTGCAGATTGCTTTTGTGGCCAGTGTGTTTGCAAATACGGATGGTCGGGAACTAGATGCAATTGCGCCGAGGATACGGATGCCTGTCTAGCACCCACAGGCGAAATTTGTTCGCAGCGTGGAGCTTGTGACTGCGGAGAGTGCCAGTGTGAGGAGCCATTTTTCGGAAAATTCTGCGAAATCGATCTGGAAAAGGATAACAAACTATGTCAGTTCTATGAGCCCTGTGTTACCTGCTTAATTGAACAAAAACAAGGAATGGGTGCTTGTGAAAATTTGAGTGAAGTATGCACTAGTTTGGATAGGCAAGAGCACTTCACCTACTCGTTTGTCCACGAATTGGATCCCGAGAAGGACCATTGTTTGGTGCGAATTGTGAACAAACATGGCATCCAATGTGACAGCTTCTTTGTCTACCAGGTTATCGACCATTCCAATTTTTTGACCATCCAAGCAGTTAACTGCGAGCCCCTGGATTATGTGGCCCTTTTTGGATTTATATCGGGCTTTACCCTTTTGATTGGATTACTACTTATTTTCTTGATTTTGTGGTGCATTCGAAGAAAGGATGCGATGGAGTATGCGAAATTTTTAGAGGAGCAGAAGACTTGTGTGCGACAAGAGAATCCAATTTACAGGGATCCTGTGGGAAGGTACGAAGTGCCCAAGGCACTAAGTGTCAAGTACGATGAGAATCCATTTGCTAGTTGATACAAGTTCAGTGATTTTAAAGAAATTCGTATTAATTTCTTATATTTCAGTACTTCTGTAAAGACCAAAGTATTAATCCTAAGAATTTGTTATAAGTATTCATCAAATGTATGGTTTTAAGTCCACTGTAAAGCTTTGAAGAACAAAAAACACTTTTTTAAGTTCAATTGTTTTTATATAATATATTTATAACATACATTTTTTATTACAAAAATTAAATGGTTTTTATAATAATTCGTATATAAGATCTAAGCTAAATTATCTATGAATTTGTTATAGCTAAAAAAAGTAGATTTTTAACAAAGTTAGTGTTTAGTTTCGAATTGGACAATTCCGTTGAGCAAAAGTTTTGATTGCATTCGTATAAGTAGAAAAATAATGGCTTAAGACTTGGTTTATATAAAACAGGCTGTTAAAAATAAGTGATGACTACTGGCAAATCGGAAATGCAAAACATTACCTTAACATAAAAACGTACACTTAAGAGGCATTACAAAAATACAATTCGATTAATTAAGGCTAAACGCTTTCCCCTTCATTCTACTTTAACTAAATGTAATATCACTAGATTTGTAGCTTAGATTTAGTAAATGGTTCCTCGCAGCGAAAAATGCCAAAAACACGAAATTCAATTACACATGCTCGTAACTCCACGCTCATAAAATGCACACATCGTTGGAAAAAAAAGTATAATGTGGAAATAAGAACAGGAGTGGGTGGTGTGGCGTTTGTTGGGCGCTCAAAGGACACGCTCCCCCAGCGACGGTGTCCTTTGGATGAGCATCGAGGGTGGCTTCGCCGGCAGGGTAACGCTACTTAGCTCAGCATCCAGAGCGGCGATGTGGGCGGCCGACTTCGAGTTGGAGTTGAGCGGTACGGGGGCGGCTATGGAGCTGGGCAGGCCGTGGGGGGAGGCATCGGGCACCAGGCGCTTCAGCAAACCACCCACGCAGCCCCAGGGGAAGGTCCTGCGAAAATACAAAGAGATGGGGTGAGCAAAGGTGGGCCAAGGCAAAGGTAAATATTATGCATTATTTAAGAGAAACACATTAAAGCGAGACCATTAGGCATGGTAATGGGGACCGAGGGGGTCCGCTATGATTTTGTGTGGGGGGCTCTAACTACACTTAAGTCAAAAGCTTTCATTTACTTGACTTCAAACCCAATTTTCATATTCTTACATATTTTTTAATAGTTTCCTAATAAATTTCTATGATTAAATGTTATTTCTTGCTTTAAATAATTTTCTTTTACTCAAAAGCTTACTAATTTAAAAATTATTTAATTGAAATTAGTTATACAATTTGTTTACGAACTTAAGAATTTTTTATAGTGTACATAGCTGAATGAATGAGCATTTCCCGCATGGGTTTGCGTTTTATCATATTTTTTGATGGGGTAGATAAAGATGTGGTCATGCTTTTAAAAACGAAGATTTTCCACATTTTATTGGGAGTGCCACAAATTGTACCCATTAAAGTTTTATTGCAAGCATAGAACTTCGGAATGTTAGCCATTAGTCAGCGAAATGATATCTTTGAATGGGTAAAGTTCTTATGACTTTAAGGCTTTTGATTTATTTTTAAGCGGATTATTAAATAAACCTGCAGCTAACCATATTTTATTTAAGGCTAGAAATATTTATAAATAAGTTAAATAGTACAAAACAAATTTAATAAACTAAATTTATTAAAATAAATTACTCCTTTATTTCTATCAATTTCTCTTTATAAAATAGAACCCATAATTAAATCAAAAGTAGCTGCAACACCTGCAACCCTTTCTCACTTCCACATATGATTTATTTTCCCGCTTGACAGGGAACACTGCCATTAAAAAAACTCAAATTAAAATATTCAAGTCAAGCATTTCCCATTAGGGGGCTACAAGCCCCTTACAACCATTATGGCGCCTAATTAAGTGCGGCAAATTATCATTATTAGGCTGGGGCGAAAGTCCATTTGTTTACTTACCACTTGAAGGAGAGGAGGATCTTCAGGAAGCCGGGAATGACGGCCAGTTTCTCGTTCTTTCTGATGGCCGAAATGACACGATCGGCCACATCGTTGGGATTCAGTGTGGGGACCCATCTGCAATCATTTACCAAGTCAAAATGTCAGTTCTCGTGGATCGGGAGAGGCAGTTGAACGGATGGCACTCACCTGGCATTCACGTCGTCGAACATGCCAGTGGCCTGGATGAAGAAGGGGCAGATGCAGGTGGTTCGGATGTTCGTATGTCCAAGGACTTCCAGCTCCAGCCTCAAAGCCTCATCAAAGCCAACCTGTAATTATCGATAACTCATGGAGGGGGGAATCACGAGGGTAGAAATAAAGCAAACTCACCGCTGCGAATTTACTCGCACAGTAATCGACCAATTTGCTAATGCCCACATGGCCGGCCAGCGAGGCGATCGTGGCAATGTGTCCTCGATCATTCTCAATCATTTTGGGCAGAAACGCTTTTGTCGTCTGCAACATTGAAACACTGGCATTAGCATCCACATTCTGGCCGCAGAGTGGTTTTATGGACTTACCCAAAAGTGTGCCATGACATTCACATTGAACGACCGCTCGATCAGATGGTCAGGTGTGTCCAAAAGGTGCAAGCCCGATACAACGCCCGCATTGTTGATCAGCATTGTGATCTGTAATGTTAACAAAATGTAGTCAAACTTTAGTAGGGAAAATATGTAATTAAGTACAGTGGGTTAATAAAGAAGATTACAAAGCCTTTCAGAAATTATACGAATTAAATTTAGCAAGAATTTAGCAAATGTCGAATAATAAGTAAACACATCTTAAACAAGAAAGGAAAGCTAACTTCGGGCGGAGCCGAAGTTAATATACCCTTGCAGAATATTCTATAAATTATATTCTCCAAAATTATTCATTTGATGTATTCTTAATACTCATAAAAAGTCCCAACTTCCTAACTTTAAAAACACCAAAGTTATGACATTTCCAATCGTTCAGTTATATGGCAGCTATAAGATATAGTCGGCCGATCCTTATGAAATTTGGTAGGTCGGATTGATTGGCCAAAAATAAAACCCATAGAAAATCCCAACTTCCTAACATTAAAAACACCAAAGTTATGGCTTTTTCGATCGTTCAGTTATATGGCAGCTATATGATATAGTCACCCGATCCGGCTCGTTCCGACTTATATACTACCTGCAATAGAAAGACAACTTTTGGGAAAGTTTAAAGCAGATAGCTTTAAAACTGAGGGACTAGTTTGCGTAGAAACGGACGGACGGACGGACAGACGGACATGGCTAGATCGACTCTCCTGGTGATGCTGATCAAGAATATATATACTTTATAGGGTCGGAAATGTCTCCTTCACTGCGTTGCAAACTTTTGACTGAAATTATAATACCCTCTGCAAGGGTATAAAAAGAATCAAGTTTTATATTGCACCTTACAGAACCAGTCAAAACAGAACAAAATTTATGTTTATTATAATTAAGCCCATTATTTCTACCAAGAAAAAAATATTAAATCATGATAAATGTAGTAAATAGTATTAAATTGACAAAGTAAAAAATATTTTTTGGTTTAAATTTAGAAAAATGTAAAACTGTATCGCAAAATAACTTAATACAATGTAATACTCTCAAAAACAATTAGCTCAATTTATTGTAGTCCAAAGAAACTTAGAGAAACATACACATTTACTTAGATAATTTGAAATGTTGCCTTAATGGAAAATTGTTGTCGCCTAAATGGCCAGCAGACATTGCCAAAAATCTTGCCAGCAATTTGCATATTGCGTAACTTGTTGTGCTACTAACACCGAAATGCCAAAAAAATATGTTTATTCTCGACTTGTTTGACTATCTGGTAAAATGCCTTAAAGGCGTGGACTTGCTTAAGTCAGTCGTTTTGGTATTTTATAAGTTATTTGATTTACGACCTGCCTAGAAAATAAATTTGAATTGCAGTTTTTCGTGTCTAATTTCCTTTTTGGAGCCTAACAAATTTTGTAAGAATTTGCAGTAAAGTTTTCCTTGAAACTTCCGCAAGCTTCGTAGATTTATTATTTTCCCAATAAGTGAAATCCTTCAAATGGCAGCCAACCATAATGTCGAGCATGTCAAGGTCTAAATGCGAATAATGTAAGATGCTTGAAAAACTTAAGTAACAATAGCTCGCACACTTTGTCCCCCTTGGACCTACATATCCGATTACAGATGGTGGTTAAATAAGTTAACAACAAGTGCACAACAGTGATCCGATTTGAGGGCGAGTTCAAGTGCAATTGGTGTGTGGGGCAGGGGCAGGTCATACATTGCGTATGAGCGATTTCGAATTTGCCCCGCTGTAACCGGGCAAAAACATTTAACGAGGCGTGCATTAAGCAAAAACAACAGCGTCGAACCATTAAAACCAAACAACAACATCGTCGGGCCATTAAAAAATATTAAATGTAATATTTCAGAGGGCTGCTAGTAATAGTAAAACTGAAAGAAAAAACAACAACAGAATTGGAACCTAAAAAAAGACAGCAAAAAGCAGCGCGTCATCTGCATAACGCATGACTTACTAAGCAGTTAATTTTTTTTGTTTTTTTATTTTGTGTATAGCCACTGGTTTTTATCTTTATTTATTTTTTGTGACTTTCAGGTTCAACGATGTTGCCGCTGTCATTATATAACTCTTTCAAAATGATGGCTCCGTTTGTTTTTCTCTTCACTTTTTGTGTTGTGTTCTTGTTGCTTGCTTTTTTATGCTTGAATTTCTGACATAATTTTAACCACTTTTCCATCGTTTTTCAACTGAAGTTATAATTTCAGCAAATAATTTGGGGGTTTTGGCAGTTCAGTAAACTTTGGAAATTGACCTGGCCATGCATGAAAAATCTTTTAATGATAGCATTAGATGCTTGTGGCAACCATTTTGGAGCATTTAAATGTCTTTGTGTAAATGGTGAAGCTTGGAGGATTATTATGTAATTTAATTTAAATTGAAAGTGGTTGAGAAAAAAGAAATACAATTTTGTTAAAAAACGTAAGTAAATTGAAAATTAAAGAATAACAAAATGAAGAAAGTATACAAATACATATTTTTAAAGAAAGATACAAAAAGAAGATACTATGTAGATAACTGGATAAAATATTGCTATTTATAAATAAAAAATGTTCGCTTTCCAAACAAAGCGAAAAAAACAATTGCCTGATTTTCATTCATTAAACTTTATTTGTTCTTGTGAGTAATATCTAATTACTCTTCCTATAATTAACGGATTACCTCAACCTTGACTATTCACTTACTCATTAACCAAGCTCATGTTTGTACAACGTGAGCAAAGTTCTAATTGAAAGAACAAAGCTAAGCACCAAAAAAGAAAATCTCCATAATTAGCAAGTAAATTGATTTAAACAGCATTGTGAAAAGTCACAAAAGCTTAAAAGTTTGAGGATTATTTTGAATATCACTTGCATTTCTGAAGTGCCTGGAAACTGCCCCAGATTGTGATAAATGAGCAGATCGAATGCGAAGTGGCAACCAGTTTGCAGAAGACCGGATTGGACTTGGCTTCTGCCTTTTTTTCCTGCCGTTTGTGTAATGTGCAACAATTTCTCAAGGTTGCCGCAACGATGACGATGCGCTCATGCATACAAATTTTTTTCTCTCCGCCCTGGCTTCGCTTTAAATTTATGACATGAATATGCATAAATGTGTTGCTACGGGGTGTGGCAGTCACTGTAGCAACTCTTGGATGGTGCCGGCTTACATGTGTTCCGCGCTCTTAAGACGACGCTGAGTTCTGGCCAGCATAAAAGCCATTAAACGCCCCTCAACAAACAATTATATGACGACTAGTCTGATGCCACATTAGGCGGTCGACTGTAAACAGCAATTACTGGACTTTTATGCTTCAATTCCCGCACGCACTTTCCTACAGCCTTTCCCCATGAATTGAGAAACTATGAAAAATATTGGATCATTGACGTGTCACTAAAAAATACCTTTCTTGTTCGTTTATATATTGTGTTTTGATCAAAATGGTTGCTTTTACAGAATTCTCTTCTTTCAGATATCTTTTAAAAACTGTATGAACTATGAATCTTTTTATCACCTTAGATAATTTTTATCACCAATAATTTTTTACATAATTTAATAATGTTTGTCTTAGAAAATATCATAAATTAAAATGATATTATAAATAATAGTTAAAGCAACAAAAGTCATGTATTTAAAAAATATATTTGTACTTACATCACCGACTTCTTCTCTGATGACATCGGCCGCCTTGTAGACCTCTTCCTTTTTGGAGATATCCACCACATAGCCCTTGCAATAGCCGCCTGCTTCTTCAACGATTTCGACGGTTTCCGCAATGCCTGTAATAGCAATGGTTTACAACACAATTATTTAATATGCCTCTCGTATGCCGCATCATTCGGGAACTCACCCTTCTTGTTAATGTCCCAGATAACGACCTTGGTTCCCATCTTTCCCAGTCTCTCGGCCAGCAGGCGACCCAGTCCATTGCCACCACCTGTGATCAATGCAATGTCTGTGTTGAGCTCCTTTTCGGGATAGCCGAAGGCTATATAGTAAAGATCCTGGAAGCGACAGAAAATTGAATTTAATTAAAGGAGAGCTATAATTACTTTTTAGGAAGAGTTAATTAAATATCCATTTGGCAAGGGTTCCGTAGACTATTTATGTCTGTTGTAGTTCATAGAAATTTTGTTTATGGTGTGAGGGTATATTTATTTGTACTCTTTTATCTCCTTTCCTACAACCAAAGCTTAAATTATTAACGTTACTAACCCGGTTTTATTTAAAAAAAAGGCAGACAGTGCCTTTATAAATATTTATTTATTTATATTTACAAAATGTATGATTTTAATCAAAAATTACAAAACCAAGAACATTCTTATAAAACAAGTTTCATCTCACCTAATCACATAAATAACCTATTAAATATTCTGTAAAATATGTTAATCACCGAATTTCCATTCAGCAAAAATAAAACCATAAAATTTCTATCTTTCTCTTTATGCTACGCTATGCAAATGAGTTCGTTGCTTAAGTCTTTTGTTTTCTCGTCTCATTCATTTCCTATATGTACACCAAAAAACAGATCCGAGTCACGCGTATGCAAATAGAGACAAATTCAAAGTTTACACAATACTCAAAAGGAAGCCCAAACAAAGTGTAAAATTGTAAACAACTTTTGCCACTTGGCATCTGCGTGTTAATAGACCACAATTTGCCGCCTTGAAAAACTATTGAAGGCGGCAGTGGGCGAGGCGAGTAGTTCACCTCAATTGCCCCGCAATTAATTGATACATGTAGGTAGTCGAAAATTTGCACAAACATTTTCTGCTCGTTTAGTGTCAATAAGCTGTCAAAATTTATGACCATCGCGCCTCCTTTGCGGCCGAAAAGAAAAAGTGCACGAAAGGGAAAGGCAAAACAAAAGACTGAGGCGGCGAACTTAATATTTAACATGTTGCACAGTAGCACTTTCTGCGTTGCACGCGGGGGCATCCCATAAATTTTCATGCCACACGCGAACCTGCTGCCAGCGATTCGCCCCATCCGCTCAGGGCACCTGGTCTCTTGGGTTTGGCTTTGCACCTGAAACAGAACCGGGGTTTCAGCCAGGTCCGGCAAGCGTGTCCAATTATTTTGACATTAACAATGAATGTGTCGCAACTTTGTCTTTTTATACCCTCAAAAAAGGTGGCATATTCTTATTTAAATATATTTCGAATACATATATATGTTCAAAAAACGGTAGAACATCAATGTCATTCACAAATTATTTACCTAATGTAACCCAAGAAGTCCAACGTTTTTTTTTTAAATTGGAATGTAAAATATCATTGTCATGATTGTTATTCATATGCTTGGAATATGTTTAAATTTAGTTTGATTTGAAACAATTTTAATGTATTAATATTTAATAAATGTTTTTCTTGATTTAGGATCAATATATTTTTAAGAATATCTTAAAAACGGCTAGGGTATATCGACATCGGAGCTTTTTTTAAAACACCTTCCCTTCTTTTGTTTCGCAAACGTTTTCCTGTCTCTTCGAAAAAATGGTATCATAAATTATACAAAATTAATCAAAGGAAACTTGTTACCGGTGTCTTGGGCGGGTTGATGTTGCTGACAACAATGATGATGAGTTGCTTTTGGCCCTTTTATTTCCATGCTGTTGCTGCCAGCTCGTTGACAGACATTTTGTCACATAATTTAACATGCAATGTGCTCTTTTCTCAGCTCAACTCAAATAACAAGGACAGGAAGCGCGCAATTATAATTTATACATAATACGATAATCAACATAATGGGAGCAGCGATTTCTTTTCATGTTAAGGCATGACATAAAAGGCAGAAATATGCAAATTGAAATCGAATTTAGTTGGCAAGAATGAAAGAGAAAGATTTGCCGCAAGATCACGGAAACTTTTCAAGCCTTTTGTTTAGACAAATGTAAATTTTGCAGACAAGTTTTAGACTTTTGCCGTGTCATTTAAGAATTTGTTTGTCTGGCTGAAATGTTTCCCCACGAACATGCCGAGTCAGCATCAAATTCATTCAGCTGGGTTTACTGGTCTCATAGCATTAGTCGCTTTTTTGTCGTCTGTCTTCTGATTTGCCGGTGATTGTCAAGGTCCAAGCTTTGACCTTTGTAAGCCACGGAAGGCCACAAAATCGGATTGATCTTGGATGCACTGATTTTGATTTGATTGACTTGCGTTAAGCGATTGGAAAATTTTCAAAGGTCTTTGCCATTAGAAAATGATAAATGGTTATTTTATTTGGTAACGGAAATTTGTTCATGATGGGGCGAGAAACTAAACAAGTTAATTATAGATGCATTTGATAATTACATGGCAGCTTACAAGAGTGGAAAATTATTTACATTTGAAGGTTGTATTTTAGGTTTCCATGTTATAAATTTGAATTTACATATGATTTTACAGTTCCAGGGTCGTATAGATCGGATTTTGTATCTCAGATTAATTCGTATTTTAACTTTATATTGGAGTTATATAAAATATAACTTGTTTACGCCTTCTACATTTATGTGAATTTACCCAAGACAACTGAGCAAACATCCTTAGCGTTAACATACAAAAATCTAACAATAATTGACCCAAGTTGCACAAATGGCGGAATGTGTTTAGTTCATTAGAGCTATTTAAACATTAATTAACATGAAATGGGAAGCCCCCTCATTAGTGAATATGTGTGGAATTCTCTCGGCTCTGCAGATTGCGAAAATCTTGCATAAGTTATGCAAACCAAATGCCAAATGGCTGATCTCTGGATCTCGAACTCCTCTCGCGCTCAGACTTCTAAGGCGTTGAGCCGGCTGTGTTATTTCCATTCCCGCCATCATCATCATCATCATCATCATCAGTGGTAGCTCTGCTCTTAGCCAGTAATCAAATGTTTGCAGACCAGAGTCAATGGAAAAACTTGTTTCTCTGAGAGCGCTCAGTTCCAAGATAATTGCGAAAATATCAATAAGCCGAAGTCGCCACCGCCTGGTTAACATGGTTAAGGTAGTTAACGTGGTTCTAGAGCCGGCCGAAAGTGAAACCGAATACCACAAGCTGGCGGTCTCTTGCCCAACCCCAAAAAAAGCTTGATATCGCACACACTCGCACCTGCTGTCGGTTAAATTGGCTCCAATTTTGGCCACTTTTTGAGAGTCGAGTGGAAAATACACAGTGGCTTTGAGTGCATTTTGTGTGAGTGAGCCAAAAACAAAAGACTTAAGGCACGAACTTGCCACAAAACATTGTAAACGCCGGTGTTGCAATGCTGCCAATGCACAAACACTTGGTTGACGTCGACAGCCAGTCCGCCCCCCCTTCTCCCAACCCCTCCCCGCCCCTTGGCCACCTCTTTGAATGACCTTCTTCACCGAATCGCTTTGAAACTAGACACAGACACCGACAGTTGCAATAAAAACGAAAAAAGCTACAGCGGCAATATTAAATGCATTGAAGTTTGGTTTCTTTGCATTTTATATACACTTTCTATTAAGCTAATAGATTTTTTCAAAAATGTATCTATAATTAGAAAGGGACAATTTCAAATTCTTCGACGAATAATCTCTTTGCATTTTAAGTAAGCATCAGTTTTAGATTAATTTTGTAATTGTGTTCCAATTTTTAAATAAACATATCATTTATGAACTTTAAAAGAAGGTTTCATTTCTATTTATCATTTAACAAATGATTCATGCATCATTTAACGTTTTATTATATTGTTTTATTAATTTCTCATAGTGAGTTATAATTTTGTAATGAATAAAATAAATACATATACCCACAGTTAGAGTGCAAAGGCATCACAAAATATAATAATAAACCTGAAATTGAACCCCGCCGACAGCAAATGCAGCAAACTGCAACGTGGTGCATTGCATTTGAATCGAATCTCCGCTCCCCTCCCCTTATACACTTGAAAGTTTTAAGCTGCCTGGCCAATTGGCCAATGATTTTGCACTTTAAGTTTTGTTTGCTCATGTCTGGCTTCTCTTCGCTGTTTTGCTTTTTTTTTTGTGCTTTTTGCTGATTTTTATGGCAGGCGGGTGGTCGCTGTTATCGGTTGCCGGTGAGGCCTTCAATGGCAATTTTCATTTATAGATGTTGTTGGAAATTAGCATCACAATAAAGGTTTCTAGCAGTGTATTTGCTTTGGATTCGAGCGCTCATAGATCGCACAATCAAATTCTATGCGATCTCGACTGCTGCAACTTGTGAATTGAGTGAATTGAGTGGCAATTTGTCTGCCAGAGCGGATATTTGCTAAGCCAAATTCAGCTGCAACGGATATGTCGAGTGATTAGCTCGAAGTACATTTATTTTAAGACAGAGAAACTCGCAGGTGTCATTTATAATTCTGTAAACAATAGAGCAAGCTATTTAGGCTTACAGGGTTTTTATTTGAAAAAATGCAACTTATCAAAAATAAAAGAACTATCTAGGTTATACAGTAAAATGGGTCTGTAATTATAAAATAAGAAACAAATGACTTAGGGCACGAACTTTCTGATGATCTAACACATGATCAAATCATTCCAAGAATTCTATATATATTTTGTAAAACAGCACTTGGTTGCATTGCTATTTTTGGCAAAACTTGAAACTCACGAATACCACGACTTATTTTAGACTAGGAAAATATTTGTTACGTTATTTTAAAACCATAATTTTGTGCTTGAGGAATTTTTGAAATATAACTAGCTTCCTCAAATAATTTTAAGTGTTTGCTCGCTGGCATACATTGTGTATTTCTTTGCACGATGATGTACGATGTGCCAGTCAGGCAGTATTTTTTTTCTTGTCTTGTACATATTATATGTATGTCCATTGACTGGGGTACACCCGCCCCGTAACCCATTTTTCAGTCTCACACACACTGGCAGCCGTAAATCAGTCGAAAGCACAAGGCCGCATGCGGGTTATGAACCTGCAACCGGCCCGGTCTCTAAGCCAACAAACGGCTTACAGCTTACAAAGAGGTTAGCTAAGGCAGCTAAGGCAGCCCATCCAGTAGTAAGATATTGTATTTAGCTGTTTGCCTTTCGGGGGGCCGCAAACACTTTCAATTTCAATTGCGTTTGCAACGCACAAACAAAAGCCAACGAATGCCCGCGAAATTGCGGTGGCTGTTGTTGTTACCACAATTACCTATACGATGTGTGTGAGTGTGGGACTTGCGACTAGCTAATAAAAACAGGCTCTCCAAGTGGCCAGCACCACCACAAAGCCGGCAAAATGCAAAAGTTGAACTAGGTCAACAAGCCAAACGCAGCCGCGCAGTTGACAGCGACTTCAGCGGCGGCCAGTAACTCTGCTGAATTGGCTCATTACATGCCCCAGGCACTCGAAGAAACATGACCCAAAATGGTGAGGGATTTTAGAATTCTTATTCAATAAATCTCACTAGAAATTTATTTTGTATAATTTATATGTATTTTCACATAGATTTTAAATAACTCGAACCATTTTATTTAAAGAATTATTACTTTAGGGTTTTTTAAACCAAAAATCAGTAAAAAATATTTTAATTTAATTTTTTATTCTTAATTATGGAATATTTAAAAGATTAAGGTTTTCAATAAAAAGATATTATTTAAGAAAATTAAATTACTAATACCACTCTAGAAAGAAAGTCTAATAAATTTTACATTTACTAAATATGTTAACTGATATGTTTTGAAATTTTGTTATACAGAAGAAATATGTCAGCAGAAAAATTGCTTACTAACACATAGCTAAGAATAATTTCTAGTAATTAATTAATTATTTATTCAATATAATTTTTAAAACCTTGGACTAAACGTCTCCCAGTGTAACAAAGTCCACATAGATCTCCTCCTATAATGTCCAAATTGTAGGTGGAACTTTCAGCGCATGTTTGTTGCCCAAGTCTTTTGTTAAATGCATGCCAGCAATGCATTGACATAAATCGGTCTATCCGCAACAACAATCAGCAATTTGCACATCTGCCAGCTATCATCGATAACCAGTCAAGCGGTTAGCGTTTAGAATCATCATTTAAGCGTTTACAAAATACGTAAATTGACATGCAAATTCAGTTGTCTTTCTGAGTCGCTGGTTTTGCATTTGGCATGCAAATGTCAACAGTTTTTCCAGCCGTCTCTATTTTTATAGCCCTCTCCCATGCGGCTCGTGCATAATGATGCCACCGCAGCTGACGAATACCGATGGATCTGGCTATCATGCCACAAATATTTCGCGATCAAATCTCACTAACCCTTGGCCACAAAAGGTTTTATTTTGCGGTAAAGTGAAAATATAATTACCTCAAAACGAGTCTTACGCAATAAAACCGAAATTGCTTTTATTGTCTTTTATTTTTGGTTATTTAAAAACCACTTAGCGTGTCAGAGTGTCAGTTTGAACCCAATACGAGCCTTATATTACAATTACCAAAGAGCCTATGGGCAGTTTTATTGGTTCGTTAGCCCTAATGATTTTTTCACTTTTAATTCTGGAAGTTTGCAATCTCATTCAACTGAGTTAAGGCAATTAATTAGGCATGTGACCAACATATAGCAAAGCTGTTGTTTTAGTCACTTAAGCACTTATTTGCATTTCGAATTGAGATTAATGGATAGTTTTTATTAATTATAATTACTGGTAATGCTAATTCATTGTTAAATCTCTGGGTGGTTTTTATCTGTTTGGCGCAAATTTATGGCGAATTGTTAATAGACTTGTATATTTTAATGGCTTTATTTCGAGCTTAAAATATATTTACATACTTATTAGCTTATACATTTTTGACGGTTATTTATCAAATCTATTTATAAAGAAAACTTAAATTTTTTAAATCAGTTTTCTATTAAATGTTTGATTACAACCATTTTGTCGGACTTCTAAAAAAATTAATGTTTTGTATGTCTTGTGGCAAATATTTTCCCTTGCTATTCAATTAATTTGTGAAAATATGAAACGTGATAACTCAATTCCCAACTGGTTCCATCAATCCTTTCCCTCCCCTGATTGCATCTCAAAAGCCAAATCCGTAAGTCAAAATAAATTATCGTTCACAGGCTGGTTTACATCATCTCGAGCAGTCCCTAGCTCACCTGGCCCCTCCCTTGTATCTGAAGATACGATCTCACAACTTGTCTCCGGTGGATCTTAATGCCTTAAATCTCTTTCACGGTTCCAATTAAACGCCACACGTGCTGCCATTGGCAATGCCCATTACCTTTGGCCATATATCACATCCTTTCCGCTGCTAATTAAATAAGTTAATCGCTGTCGTTCATTATTTTTGCCAGCCATGCGATCGCGGGACTTGAAATTCTCAGTGCGATTCTCTCCTATAACATTGACACATTTCGTCGAGACCCGAAGGTAAAATGCGTTAACTAAATCACACAATGTTGCTAATAAACCAAAGTCAAACCGAAGGTAAATTATTCTTTCGAGCCGAGGAAGCAAATGCGATTTCAACAACCGTTTTTATTAATCCGTTGTAAACAAAAGTGAGAAGGTCTTGGCCGGAGGGTTATTAGAGATACAATAAAGTCTTTTATTTGATCACTCAAAAACTAGAAACCTTTTGTTTACGGGTATTTTTATTTGTAGATAATTAAAGTCGAAGCAAATTTTGACTGACTTTAATTAAATTAAAACAGAAGGCTACATGTTACTTTTTATGGTTCCCTTTTAACAAATTTAAAATATTTTGATAGCTGCTGGTGTTGATTAGTTTCTTCAATTTTAAAATAAATGAAATGATATAATCAGTTTCTAGATATACTAAATTCTTTAAGAATAGATATTCTTTTATGAAAAATATTTTTATTTTTAAATTAAAAAAATTTTTATTTGCGACTTTAACATTTTCTCATTCCCAAATATTTGTTACCATTTTTTGAAGAACTATATTAGGTATATTGAGCTTGTTTTATCGACTGAATGTTGTTGTATTCATATTATCAAAACTAACCTGCAGGATGTATCCAATGCAGCAGATGATGAACCAGGCAACGTCCGCGAAGGCATCCCAGGCATTCCACAGGACCTGGCCCCATCCGTCGGCGACAGGAGCAACAGCCTTGTCCTGAGGGTGGACCACTCCATTGCCATTGGTTTGGGCATGCCCATTGGCCGGGATCTGACCATTCTCAGCGGGAAGGTTGTTATTGTTCTTCTCCATTTTAGCACAGATTGGACACTGAATTTGCTCGATTTAATTTTATCTAGTTAATTTTGTTTAGTTAAATCACACTTTCCTAAGACACAAGTTTTCAATTTAATTGGCTTTCTTTTATGCAATTTTTCGTTGTTTTTTTCCGTTAATTTAAATGCAAACGAAACACAACCGCAAGCAACTGACGCGATATTAATTTTGGTTTTTGTTTCAAGTTAGTTTCGTGAGTGATTTGGGTTTTTGTCTTTTTGTATATAGTTTGGATTTGAGGTCTTGGGGGCTTTTGTCTGATTTTAGTCGGATTTTTCCGCACTGCACGTCCGCTCTCGTGAGCGTAGCAAACGAATTTGAACGTTGTGGGCTCGAAAGGAATGAATTTCGACTTCTTATTTTGGCGCGCTATTGGATATCGCCGACGTCGACGTCGCAGTTGGCATCGACTGCGCTGCTTACCGCTCGCCGCTCAGCCGAAGCTCTGCTTGTGACGTCATCGAGCTTGAGCCGCAGCTTCGGCTTGGATTTTTATATTATTTTTGTTTTGCTTGTTGCTCGTTCTTATGTTGCTTTGGGCTGCGCTTCGCTTTACGCTATTTATCCCGTTTTTTTCTTTTGGTTTGTGTAATTGTTTAAAATTAATTGAGATTTATGCTTTCATATATTTTATTTTTTAAATTTATCACCATCTGCATTAGAAGGACGGCGTACACATGACTAATTAGCGTTATGAATTGTACAAATTATTTTACAGCTGTCTTGGGTGATTCACTTGTTAATTATTTGGGATGAGTGAACGAAGACCATTTTTTCTTAATCATAAAATCACTATAAAAACAAAATTTAGGAAAAGTTACTAATTAGCGTTATGAATAATAAACATGTTATGACACCACAGATAATGCATCTTTGTTACTTTAATTACAAATGTTAGTTGAGTAAACTTTTCTCTAAAAGGCTTAAAAGTGTACGATTTTATTTTCTCATAAGTTTTACTCAAAAGTATGAAAAGTATACATTTTCACATTTAATAAGAATGCAAGGTGTTGAAGAATGCAAGATTTTAGAAGAATAGGAAGGAAAATGATAGTCTGCATAAATTGTATATCGTTTTACTTATTATTATCTATTATCTTACTGTTTACTTATAAGACAAGTGTAACGATAAAAAATCATTTATTTCACAATTACTAATTAGACTTTTCTCTGATGAGCATGAAGCGGAAAGTAAAATATCGCAGTAAATCATCATTATACTAAAAAACGACCTTAACTTCTGGATACTACTGTCCACTTTCCCCTCAAATCCTCACTTGTATAAATTATTTTATTTTATTGTGAATCAGATGAAAGTCGGGTGCACGTAAATTAGCTTTAATGCAATTTTGGCCAACTTTTATCCTCTTTACTCGTTGTCAACATCACAATGCACTTTCTGCTCTCTTTCCTTCTTGTTCCTTTTCTTCCTTTACCCCTCTTTTCCACAGACACACCTTCACATACACAGACATTAATTTGGACTTGGTTTTTTTTTGGATTTTTCGCATTTAAAACGGGTTATGTTAATCGATTGAAATGATATTCGGCCGGCAATTCTTAACGATTTCGTCACATCTTCAGATTGCATAATAAGCAAATTTTAGTTATTTGCTTGATATCGTTTGTTTTGTATACGTGCTGTTTCTTAGATTTTGATTTGCATTTTTAACAAGAAGTTTTGCGGGTCAAAAAACTGATAAAATAGTTAAGGCCATTTGTTAAGCGCATGTTGAGCACGAACATTTTTACATCATTTCTTTTGCCTTCTTTCTTTTCTCTTTCTATAATTTTTAAATTGTATTAAAATGTAATTTTTCACCTCCGCTTTAAACTTCAAGAAATTCCGTTTATTTTAGTATTTTACGTATCAGTTTTCGGGTTAGCCGGCGTTTATTTAATCGATTAATTACCAAAGTATGCAAAATACTTTACTGGGATCTTGGAGCATTCTTTTTTTGTCTGGTTCGTTTTATTTTATTTGGTTATTTATATTTTTCGATTGCTTTTCGCTTTAGCTTCGTTTCCCAATGCGTTGCTTTTTTGACATTTGTGACGCAGGCGCAGTGAGAGAAAAGAGGAGGACCAAGGGGGCTGGGGGAAAGGAGCAAAAAAGGCGGTAGACTCAGCTGTTCTGTTGATTTCAGGGTTTATAGTGGTTGTTTTGACAAGAGAGAGATTTTTGGAGATTTGGAGAGTGACAGTCGAAAGTTTCTAACAGCTGTAAAACAGAGTTACCCTATATAAAGAAAAAAAATATTACTGTCTGTTACAATCAAAAGTTCTTAACGTTTGTATATAGTATTTCAGAATGTAGATAATAAAACATTTTAAAAGTATATTATTTATGTCAGATTGGTATAATAACGTATGTATATTAAGTTCGACAATTGAATTGTTGATTGATTGAATTTAACAACATTTAAATTTCGCAAACTTCTAAGAAACATTGCTTTTACTTTAATAATAATAAATCTCTCAAAATCCGATAGCATATTATCAATTTGGTATAATTAAATCAATTTAAACAATACTGCGCACCGAAATAATTTGTGTCTCCTTTCGAAAGATTCGCCACAATTTATAGTTCTTATATTTCCGCAATAATTAAACCCAAAACAAGCATATTCTATTTGTTCTATGCAATCAAAAGCGAACAGATCTCGACGCATGCTTATTAGTAGTATCTATTTCCTTTTTTTCAAATTTAGCCTCGTGCCCTGTTGACCGAACTCCAAAGATAAGCTGAACTCTGACCGAATGAATCCAAGTCCGAAAACACGGAGATTGTCTTAACCATAGGAACTCCATAATTGAGACAGACAGTCGAAAATGAATCAACAGGTAGCCTTCGCCAAAAAACAAAACCCGTTAGAACCAACATAAAGGTGAGTCTATAAAGCTAAGCGCCAATCTGCACGTTAACCTATTTTACTTCCTATCAGAATTCTCGTTTTAAGATCTTACTTCCGGCTGGGGTCCGTATTTAGCCAAAAAAAACGAACGTGTTTCATGCCATGTGTTTATCCGATGACTTGGACATTATGTTGTTCATATTTCCTATGCTTGATGATGGCCCATTTGGTAAGAACTGCCTAAGCTGCGGGTATTATTAATTATGATTTATCTCACAACAATAAGGAGCACGATAATTATTGGCAAAAATAAAAAGCGTCAAGGCCATCGATGGGCTACCGTAAACAATTTCGTCTGAGTCTTGGGAATCTCATTTGCGATGTGCTAATTGCGTTTTTGCCCCTTGAAGTATTTGATATTTCTTGGTTATTTGCAGATTTGAATCGCTTGGGGGATTCTCGTTGAGAATAACTTGTTATTTCACTTCGCGAGAATTGCGTTGTGGAGTTTTTAGAATTTGTTAGAATTGGGTAACCAATCCAATCTGGTTATATTGTTTGAGAAACAAATTTTCATCAGCTTAGAGAGTTTGTTATGATTATGGGTTTTCTTATTTTTATCGATTGGATCACCCACATTGATATCACTGTTTGCAGTTGAGTTTTGCAGCTCTTTTAAGTAAAAAGTTATTTGCTTTAAAAATAAAAATCAAATGAATAAAACTTAGCACATCAACATAACATATATTTTATAATAACACTTATTTTATATTATCCTTAACTTAATATAAGCTTTAATACATTTTAATAAAGTAACTTATAAATTAAAATCTTTTTTTTTTGATTTAAGTTAAAATTATTCACTCTTATCTAAGTTTTCATTATTTTAATAAAAATTCGCAAATGACTCATGAGAATTAAATGCTAACGTTTGAATGTTAATTACTACGTCAAAAATATGATAATAGAATTCCACTTAATATTAAATACATCAGAAATTTAAAGCCCGATGATTCTTTTAACCATTGGCCTGCCATAGCAACTCATAATTCAATCAATTGGTATTTGTAAACCTGACCAACAACTTCCGACTTCATAGAGCCACATTCCCAAAGCCCATAGAAGAAAAAAGACAAAAAGAAACACTAAATCTTATGTGTGAAGCCCAAATGACATTGAATTTTTATTATATTGTTTCTGGCTTTGATTTCAATTAACATAAATGCTCTAAAGTCATATCGTGAACATCTGTCATGCCCAAAAGCGTTGTAAAATGTTGTAAGAAAATTGATGCATCATTGTGAGAGGGCTCAAGATTTCTTGCTCAATAATTATAATTATTAAAAAAAAAATGTTGGCACAATCAAAGAAGTGAAGGCGGCTTAAAATATCTATAAATTTCACCAAAAGTTTATTTATAAACCCGTCATGTTAGCCTTAGCCGTAGTGGAAGAAATAGCTTTGAATTTTATTGAAATAGTAAACAAATCATAAGTGAAAAGGCCGAAAAAACTGACAATTTTGGCCAAAAGCCGCTATAGATGGTCAGAAGGTCGAACTTTGGAGTCGTTGATTTGATGAGAGCAGCCTCTAAAAAACTCCTGAGATACTTCGCTGAAGTGCACACGTTTCGTTCAAATTAAATGGCCAGTTATATGTTTAGATAGTTTGGCTTTTATTGTTTCGCTTTTTATGGCGATTGTTTTCCGCTTGATTGGCCCAAATAAACCCGTTTCATTCTAGACAAAACCGCATTTAAAGTTTACCCTTTCGCCGAAAATAGAACACTCTCGATAGGATGCGGTTCTATAGTTTTATCTATCTATTTATCTCTTTGATTGCCACAAGGTCTCAAATCGGGCTTGCTTGTCGTCTTAACTGTTTATTTTGGCTGATTCTCGCGTTTGTTTGTTTCAAGTTTTAGCACAACTTGCGGGAGTAATTTGCACAAGTCAAGGTCGTCTTCTCGGATAAATGCCAGATCTAACAACTTCGGATATAAGATTCTTTGGATTATCATTGAATTGAGTAAATATGCATGGTATAATTTGACATTGCAGACTTCGATCATTAAAATGTTTAACAAAAATGAAAGCTTAAGTATTTGTAAGTTCCAATTGTTTCAACAATATTTTATAATTTCTTTTAATTTTGTATATAAGCATAAGATATTAATTTATTTTTATTTTCAAGCTAACTTTAAATTCCGATTCGCTTAAAATTTTTACAGGAGAGTGAAAACTTTAATTGTTGCAGGTGTGAAAATTATTATTTAACAGAGAAAACATTTGGAGAAATAATACCTAAGCTATAATGAATGCCAAGTATTGTTATTATTCAAAATTTGTTTTTATTTGCTAAACAGTATTCTTTGCATTTTAGGCGATTGCTTACTTTTTAGACTCTTGTTCAGATGTTTAAAAAGCAGTGAATGAGACATTTCCTATAATTTATATATATTTTAATCAGGATCAGTTAATATAGCCATGTCCATCCATCCGCCTGTTTATATATTTCGGACTCAATTTAAAAGATAAAAGATAAACTCCTTAAGTCTTATTATATTTATAATTACTTTTTTGATAAAAATATTCAATGTCTTATTTACTTCCTTATTTATTTTTTTTTGTTTATTCATGACTAGACTTCTTAATGATTTTTATTTTACGTGACCTTAATACAGTCAAGTGAATTGAATTTATGCCAGAGAAGCGTCAAATGCTAATTATTATTTAACAGGGAAGACAACTGTGTAAATATACTTAACCTTTAAGGACTTTGAAATATTGGTAATTGAGGTTTCTAAATTGTTTTGATATGTTTTTATTTAATTTATTAATTAACCATATTTATTTGAGCATTGTACATTTTAATTTATTGATATTTTTCTACGTTAATTGAAATGCAGTGTTGTTTGAATTAATTATATAAAAGTCCAAAACAAAATTATAAACAAGTTGTATAGACTGTTATTTTTCCAAAAATTAATAACCAGATTTTCAAGCTTAGTCCAATCAAACGTGTGTTGCAAAAAGTCAATCTAATTATAGAATAAGGCGCCCCATTTATTAATGTTAAGGTTAAAGGTATGCGAATTATTATAATTTTAGATTTTAAAATTCTTTGTGATATGAAAAACTATAACCAAAACCATACCTAAGTTCTACAAACAAGAATTCGAATTAAAAAAGCAATAAATGTACAAAAGTTGTTCAACCGATGAAATGTAGCATGCTATAATTAACATTTTTGCAATTGAAAACTATAGATCATGGACCTTGATGAAAAGCGAAACTGCAGCCAATGCAAAAATTAAATGCATTTACTATGCAACGAGATTGCACTTGGTCGGCACTTGAGGAGCATCAAAAGCTATGACCCTTCGGATTTTCCACCTCGCCCAGCCCACATTTTCCCATTTTCCCACCAAAGAGCAGAAGGCAGGCCAACCAACTGTAAACGTAAACAATGTCCACTGCGCAGGACAGTTCTCGTTCCGAATCCGAATCCGAATCAGAATCGTTATCCGAATCCGAATCTGAATCCGGCGGACAGCTGTGCGTCGGAATCGGGTGAAAGCTTATTGGACAGCGGAGGAAAAGCTTCAAGTGAGCAGTCAGTGGATTGCGGCCAATTTAAGCGAGCGGTTACGCGTTACCTTCGAATTTTTCCCCTTTTATTTTGCCAGGTTACGTGTCAAGGAGCAGAAATTACCACTCGAACGATTTGGCTAATTAAGGGCCAAAGCCCAAGTGTCAAGTGTCAAAGAATCTAATAAAATATAAAATATAAAATATAAGATCACAGCTCGAGCTAAAAATGCCAGCTACTGTTGGCCAAGATCTGCCAAAAAACGAGCAACAAATCACATTTTGAACCTGGCCAATTGCCAGCCAAGGGAAACCCACAAAAGCGTAAGCCACAACAGCAACAACAACAACAACAATGGCATCGAGTGGCAGGTAGGATTCTAGCCATATTCATTCATATCATATATACATTTGGCATATACTAGACAGCCATTTCGACCATATCAGATAGTTGTTATGACTGATATTAGTCGTGTAATCAATAAATTGATTTTTGATTGCCATGTGTGTGGGTTTTCTTCCTCGTTCTTTTTACTCCTCCTTCTTGTTTTGTTTGTCTTCTGTCTGGTATTTGCTTTCTTTTTTGTTTTTCTTCTGGCGGCGTCACACTGCCTGGCACTCTCACAGTTTTTTGCCTTGGCCTATACAATTGCACACCCACAGTGCGTATACTTGATATGATTGTGCTGAGCTTTCTTTATTCTAAGAACAGATGGCAGCACTTACAAACTAATTTAATTTAGTTAACTCACAATTAACACAATTTTAAAAATATTTTACACAGAATATTTGAATCTACTTTATTATACAAGCATATTCAAATATTTCGCTTAATGTTAGAAATATTCTGCTCCTTTAGTTTGATTTAAGTACATAAAAGTATAAATATTTTTTTGAAGGTTGCCTTCCACAAAAAAGTTTTTTTTTACAATTTCTGTACTGTTTCTTTTTTACCAGAGTGTACTTTTCTAAATAAAGTTTATGAATTTCCGACAATTTCAGAATTATTATTGTATTATAATTACTTAAACATGAACATAAAAAAATTGTATACATTGGGGTTCCCCCCCATTTCAACAAGACAAACTTGTTCCATTTTATTATTTTTTTAAGCTCGTTAGCCATTCGTTTTACTAACTGAAATCCAACACATGTAGAGGCAAAATAAAAAGACAGACAAATTGAGGTGACGTGCTGTGTTATTTATTTATTTACTTTTTCAATCGTTTGCTCTATTTGCGACTAAAAATAGAGTCAACTAAAGATGGGAGAAAAATTGGTATGGAAATTCAATTCTCTCCCTGTTATTACCTCCCAAACGCAGCAAGGCAAAAGTTAGAAGGCAGGGCTTCCTCTAGCTGCCACCAGCTAGTCATGTAATTAGGATAATCGAGCGGCCTTAAATATGCACGAAAAGTACACATAATTACAATCGGCAGAAAATTGGCCAGAGAAAGTGGGAAAATGGATGCCTTGCTGTGGGAGCTTCAATTTCAATGCCGTAAGAGGATATCCCCTGTTCATGACTCATGGCATCCCGGAGCTTGGCAAGCCACACAGAGCGAACAGCTCGCAGTCTCCTTTTACCATTTTTCCCCTCCCCTTTTACACAGAAAAAAATTATTGTTTTTCATTGTATTAAGTTGTTTTTCATTGTATTAAGTAACAATAATTATTAATAAAATTTCCATGATTTTTTTTTTGATTTTGTAAGACGGTACAAACTAATTAAATTTGTACATTATGCATTATTATAAGCATTTAAATAATAGTTTTAAAACCTCAAAATCTTTATAAGAGGCAGTCTTCTAAACATTTTTTTTGTAGTGTAATCTCTGGCATTGTCGGCTTGGCGCCAAAAAATGTTCATGCAAAAAAATTGTGCCTGTCCTTTCCGTCCGTGTGTTTGTACACGTGGTTGTGGTTTCAGTTGAGGTTGTGTGGGCGTTACTTTCGGGTATTTGTATGGGTGTCCAACCACAGAAGTCATGTCCTGGGAAAGGTGACAGAGTCATTACGTCGGTTTGGTTATTCAGGCAAATGCACTTTGGGCTTAAATTCAGTAAAAAAAATGGGTAATAACTTATTCTGAATTATTTAAAACAAATGTTATATTTTAAATTTGGCATATTTACTCAATTATTTATTTAGTACTCCTGTAAATGTACATGCTTATTAACTCTGCTTAAACTCTGTATGCCAAACAACCAAAATAAATATACAAATTCGGAGAATTTTTAACTGCAAATATTTCTTAGTTCGCGGAAATAAATTAAGCTGGCAATTAAAAAATCGCTTAAAGTCTAACTTAAAGGTCCATTTAAACAAGAGAATAAAAAGCTCATTAAAACCCCTAAGTTGGATTACAAAACCGCTTGGTATTCTGACCGCTTACATTTATTTTTACTGGCGAACTTAAGGCACAATAAGAACGAGAAAAGCAGCTGCCTAATTTCGACAATTTTGTATTCATTAGGGCAGTTTCTCCAAGCCAATTTAATTTAATTCCCCCCATTGCGTCCTTTAAATTATCCTTGCAGCCTGCTGGACGTGCTCTGCAGTGGGAGTGGCGCCCGTTTGGCCCTGGGAACCTCGGTAATCTCGTATCTGATTGTCTACAATGAGGCATCCGCTCCGAGCCTGCTGGTTGCCGTCCTTTTGGCCACCATCTATGGCACTATGTCAGGTGGGTGCATAAAATTCATGAATATTATATTATAATAACTAAAGTTCTGTATTCTAGCCCGTTGCAAAACTAGTCTTCGCAGTCTGCAAATGCCATATGTAAGGGCCACGAATAAATTCGACTTTGGCTGTTTGTTTTTGGCCACCTGGCTGGATGCTCTGGCCGCCATGTGTGCCTGTGCTGCCCTGGCCAGGACTCTCAGCTCCTGTCTGGATGCCATGACCGGGGGTCTGGCCAGGATCCTCATATTGGGTGAGTAGTAACTACGTTTCACAAATTTATATTTTACAAAAGGCATAAATTATATTTAATCATAATAACAACTTAGTCAGTTAAAAAATAAAACTCAAGTCGCATAATAGACATTAAAAAATAAAATAAAATGATTCTAGTCTATAAGGAATCAAATATTATATTATTTTACAATATTAATTCTAGTAAAGTCATTATACCCGTTACTCGTAGAGTAAAAGGGTATATTGTATTCGTGCAAAAGTATGTAACAGCTAGAAGGAAGCGTTTCCGACCCTATAAAGTATATATATTCTTGATCAGGGTCACTAGCCGAGTCGATATAGCCATGTCCGTCTGTCCGTCTGTCTGTCCGTCTGTCTGTCCGTCTGTCTGTCCGTCTGTCTGTCCGTCCGTATGAACGCTGAGATCTCGGAAACTATAAAAGCTAGAAGATTGGCATTTTGCATGCAGATTCTAGGAGTTCCTACGCAGCGCAAGTTTATTTCAAAAAGGTGCCACGCCCCCTTTAACGCCCACAATCGCTTGTATACGATTTTAAAAATTTAAATATTTCGGAAAAGTAAAAATGCAATTTTATTGTGTTTATCAATACCTATCGAAATGTAGAAGAAATTTTTTAAATCGGACCATTCGTTAAAAAGTTATGCGTGATCAAAGTTTCTATCTCCATCTCCCTCGCACTCCCTATACCTGAGTAACGGGTATCTGATAGTCGGGGCACCCGACTATAGCGTTCTCTCTTGTTTTTAAAATACTTTCCCATATGTTTTTCAATTAGTTTAGAAACCTTTCAAAAAAATGCAAACCTTAAAGTTTTTACAAATTCAATTAGCAAATAAATAAATAAAATTATAGGTTCTAAAAATAAGAGTATAATTTTTGTCACACCCCAGGCCATTTTACTTTTTATACCCTTGCAGAGGGTATTATAATTTCAGTCAAAAGTTTGCAACGCAGTGAAGGAGACATTTCCGACCCTATAAAGTATATATATTCTTGATCAGGATCACCTCCTGAGTTGATATAGCCATGTCCGTCTGTCCGTCTGTCCGTCTGTCCGTCTGTCCGTCCGTCCGTTTCTACGCAAACTAGTCTCTCAGTTTTAAAGCTATCTGCTTGAAACTTTCCCAAAAGTTGTCTTTCTATTGCAGGTAGTATATAAGTCGGAACGAGCCGGATCGGGCGACTATATCATATAGCTGCCATATAACTGAACGATCGGAAAAGCCATAACGTTGGTGTTTTTAAAGTTAGGAAGTTGGGATTTTCTATAAGTTTTATTTTTGGCCAATTAATCCGACCTACAAAATTTCATAAGGATCGGACGACTATATCATATAGCCGCCATATAACTGATTGATCGGAAATGCCATAACTTGGGTGTTTGTAAGGTTAGGAAGTTGGGATTTTCTATGGGTTTTATTTTTGGCCAATCAATCCGACCCACCAAATTTCATAGGGATCGGCCGACTATATCCTATAGCGGCCATATAACTGAACGATTGGAAATGCCATAACTTTGTTGTTTTTAAAGTTAGGAAGTTGGGATTTTTTATGAGTATTAAGAATGCATCATATGAATAATTTTGAAGAATATAATTTACAGAATATTCTGCAAGGGTATTTCAACTTCGGCTCCGCCCGAAGTTAGCTTTCCTTTCTTGTTTTAAAAGAAAACAAACTAAAAATAGTTTAAAAACCTGAAACACAAATATTTGTATTCTTTCAAGAGAAACGTGAATTTTATTAAGTACTGTTAGTTAGCATGTTTTATACATTTCAACTTTGTATATTTATTTTTAAAATACGTTAAATATTTATAAACGTACCATTATATATATACGCATACTCAATATTTTGTCACGAACTGTGTTGCTTAAAGTGAAAATATAATGTTGCCTACTTTCAGGCCGCAATGCACCCGCGAATGAGCCATGGCCGGATGTTCTTGGCGTCTCAGTTGTCTTCCTCGTCACTGGGATGTTCATGCTGGGCCTGGAGGTGGGTACTCGAAATCCACCCACTTATCCTCGACACCCACTCATTGCATTAACGTATTCACAGCACTCGAGGGCCTTCAGCCTCATCCTGACACTTGGCATGTTCGGCTTGAATGCGATTTTGAGCGCAGTCGGCTGGTGGCGGGGCGACATGTTGGCCTGGTCTACGGACAACTACTTCCAGCCCGATGGACTTAGCAGTGTAAGTGGGCATATTGACCCCCCCTCCCCCCTCCCGATCTGGAACTTCGTTATTGGGTCAGTGCACTGTGCCAGTCTGAGTTTTTTGTTTAGCGGATTTCCCTTTTTTTTTTGTTTGCTGAGTCCCATCGATTTTCGCTGTCGTGACTGGGAACAATTGCGTGACCGCAGCTGGAGCCACAGGATACGGGCTTTTGATTATGACACGTACTGGCGCGTTTAGTTTTTGTTTTCCTGCCCCCTTTTCTCCGGCATTCCTCGGTGGAAAGCCACCAGTCAGACAGCAAAAACTCGGCAGAAAGGTAGTTTCTCATTGAGCCGCATTCGGAAATACTCTTGAGCACTTAATTGAAGTGCCTTTAATTCGCGGAAAAGCTTTTCAAATTTTTGTAGATCCTTAATCAAACTGTAACGACTATTTTTACTGCATGACGCTTTACCTTTTAACAATTTATCAATTGACATAAAAAAAATAAATAAAGGAATCTATTAGTACTTTTTTCATTAATCAAAATCGAAATGATAAAAAATAAGTTTTCCTATTTAAATTTACTCTCATAACATGAAACGGTTTTTTCGTAATAAATACCAACTTTCCAAAAAAAAGGTATATTACCTTGTGCTATCCAATAAAGTAGTTTTGTACGACGTAAACAACATTTGTAGTCTAGGGGAACGTCTGTTATTAGCTTAGCTGCTATTTGAGGAATTATCCGGCTAATAACTGGTTGTAACCACCACCTGCAGGTCTTCCTGGCCACTGCCCTACTTACGTACTCCTTCCCCAGCGATTGGCCGCAACAACATCGAAGTGGACGATTCACGGCGACCTTAATCACGGGATTGGTCAGCATTTCACTGCTGCTGACAGCCATTTGTCTATCCACAGTGGTGCACTACAAGTGAGTTTAATCATTAGATAACATAAGCAAATTATTTTACTTGAATACATTTGTAAAACATACCTGTCAACTGAGGGCGCCCAATATAAACGTGAAATCAAAATCAAGACTTGACCCAATTAACTTAATACAGCATTTAGTTAATAAATTATGATTTCTTACTCACAGAATTTCATAAAAAAATGTTTAATGTTCAACTATGTCTATTATATCACATAACGAAGTCATGAAAATTTTGATAATTTCTAAATAGAATTATTTCCTATTTTTTTTTAAGCTTGAATATTTACATTTATTTAAGCTGGTTAACACAAACAAATATAAATTTAATAAAAATATTGTACGTATCTAATATAAGATAAAAAAATGTTTTTACTTGCAGAACCCATGAGGAATATGTTGCCGTGCCTTTGTTCAACATCCTGGATGAAAGTGGCTTCCATAAGTTAGTGCCCGCCTCGGCTTGTATGTTACTGCTCACAAGTTCGGCCGCATTTCTGGAGCTCTTTCCGGAACTGTATGGTATAGTGGTTCGTTTGGCCACCTCGGAGTGGAGGATTCTGTCCAAGCAGATCAGTTACGAGAGCTCAGAGAGTGGTAATCCCGTGCTGGCCGTCTTCATTGGCGGCAGTATGTGTGCCATGTTGGCCTTCGCCTGTCCACTGCAGCATCTCAGTTATACATTAGCCGCCGGTCATATGGGCGGGGTATTCCTGCGGGCCTTCTACCTTCTGTATATCCCCTACAGGCCCAAGTTCATGGCGCCTAGCAGCGAGTCCTCACTGTCGTACAGTCGCCTGTCCACCGCACCGATTGCCAAGAGCAGTAGTTACAGCAGTGCTGCAACTTCCAGTTCGAGTCGCTTGAAGAGGAGTCTCTGGAAGATCGGTCTTCCCAAGAACCGTGGCCTGAAAAAGCCCAAAACGAAGCCCAGAAATAAACAGGAACTGGAGAAGGAGTGGCTGCTCCTGGGCGAACCCACCTCCCCGTGTCCTCAGCGGGAGGGAAGGGATGTGGAGTCCACTATTTTGTCCGATGGCGAGCCACCGGTGAGTTTATTAAGGGCTCTATTTTAATTAAATCACATTTTCATAACAATAATATAACAATAAGCTGTCTCATATTCATTTAAATATTGATATATTTTATAGTAGGTTCCATAATTTTGCCATTAATCTTTGTGTTTTTTATTTTGCAAAATATTTGAAATGATTTTGTTTAATATTTTCTATTTATGATCAAGAAATAAGTTTTAGTAATTTTTATTCGCCTTAAAACTTGTATCTGTTAAGTAATCCATTTACTACGTATAATAAAAATATTTTATATAATTTATTAAAATCTTTTACTTTAGCCATCTGACTTTGAGTACCCTGATAAGTTTGATAAAAGCGATTCGGACACCTCGACGGACATTGATGCGATTGTGGATGAGTATCGTGAGAAGATCAAGGTGATTAGTTATAAACAGCTTTAATTGTTATATTCCTAACATAATTTCTTATCTAAAACACAAGGTAACTACAGCAGGTCCTTTGGAGCGCAGTGTGCGAGTGCCCACAGTGAGTTCCTGGCGCGTGACCATTTTCGCGATTGTGGTAATTGGCCTGGGAATTGCACTCTGCATTGCTGGTCTTGTGATGCACTGGGCTCCAGCAGCTTTTACTGGAGGTATTGGGGTCCTGATCGTGACCATTATGATGGGATTTATACCCAAATACACGGGCAGTGTGATTAATGTGAGTCCCATGATCTGTGGAATGTCGCTGTTGATGGGCGTGATCCTGTTCAGTGAGTGTGCCATACATTCCTGGCCAGGATTACTCATCTGGATGATGGCAGGACTCATCCTGGTGATTAGATGCGATAAATACTGCTGCAATTGCTTCGAGCACACGACCATGCTGAATGCCCAGCTGATACCCAGTGTTTCTGGGAAAACCAACGCGGGTTCCGCATCGGGATCTACATCAAACTTGGCCGGACCATCCACCAGCATTCGGATACCCAGGCCGCCCAAGGGAGTGGGCGTGGTCGGACTGCCGCAGCGCATCAATGGCCACAGATGACAGTCGGAGTCCTCGGAGGAGGAGGGCGAGGATCTCTTCCACGAGGACTTCAATGTGCGCGACTTCGATGAGGAGGACGACGAGGATTGCTGGACTGATTAGCTTGCCGCCTTTGAAATGTACTACTTAGGAAACTATTTACTTGCTATGCAGATCTCCACGATGATCTAGCTTCGAGCCACATATGCCTGAAATTTTCTAGCTAGCTAAATTAATTGTCAAAATTTACCCATGTATTTATGTAACTCTAGCTAGGCGACTCTCTCTACAACTAGGTTCCGAATAAAATGCCATTTTTCGAAATGATTATTTACTTTGTTTCATTTTTTAGAAACGCTGGATATGAACATCTCAATAACAACTAGTTTTGGCTATGTGGTATTTAAATATTTTTCAAAATTCAAGAATAAAGAATCAAAACGATTCTATGGAAGACATACATATTTACATTAGTATTATGTCATCGAAATTATCTTCTAATTTCTATCTAATTCAGTTTGTGAAAATCATTAAAATAACACTTTATAATGGTTTATCAATCTGTAAAAAGTTCATTGAAACGATGATAAACAACTTTAAGAGTTGAAACAATCTTTTATATAACATATAAATTTTCTAGGCATTTAAGTACTCATTCTCCATGAGGTAATCCACCAGTTCTTTGATGGGCGACATGATAGTCTCTTCGTAGCCAGGTTGAATTTCCATTACCCTAAGCAACAGTTCACTACGATCGCAGTTGAGATAGTAGTCGAATTTCTCTGGTTCTTCGGATCGCAATCTATTTGAAATACTGGGCGACATTTTGGTCTGAGGCTCGGTGAGGGCCCAAATAAGTAGGGCAGCCAATCGTGTTCGTTGGCATTCTTGCAGAAAGTTCTCCCTGGTAATGAGATTCTTATCCAAGCCCAAGCGAACGAGGTGAGATTCTAGGGATTTATGATAGTGCTCGAGGCACTCATCATATATCACATTCCTGACTTCAGCGGGGGCTACAATATATAATAGGAACAATACATCTAAGGTGGGCGAGCAGTACTTAGCTAGTTGAAAATCCACAATACAACAGGCATTAGGTAAAAGGGAAGAATCTTCTTTAAAACTGTACAGGATATTGCGATCCCATGTGTCTCGATGGCAAAGCACATTTCTTATAGTTTTTGAAGGTGCTACGAATTCTTCAGCTTTGGTTAAGAGATTATAAAGTTTATCTTGGATAAAGGTCTGTGCTTCCTTGGTTTGATATTGCGGATGACGGGCTGCCAAGAATACAATGGCCTGAACAATCATTATAAATTATTATAAATATATTATTAATATTTTATTTTCCAATTTACTAACCTTAAGTCCAGTGATGTACCACGAATTATCCGCATCCAAATGCAATTCTATAAGCACATCTTTGTAAAGTTCCTCTATATTTAAATGCTCTTTTTCCTCCCAAGCAATACTTGCAGCATGTAATTCAGATAAATGCTCTAAAACCAGTTTATAATGATCTATTGTATAGCTCTCTGAGGCCTTGAGATGTCTATAGTTTTGGGTTAGATCTTCTAAAACCAAAATATCATTCCGACTATAGTAGCATACGGGAAAAAGCTTCTTGGTTGCTGAATAAAATTTATAAATAACATTACTTGAAAGAAAAAATAAGGTTTTCTTTACCGTATTTTTGTATTTTGGGTAATAACTGACTGTAGACAGCAGATTCCTTATGAAAAACTCCTTTGCGTTCGCATTCTTTTCGCTGTGGCTCATTTTTGCGGGGTAAACTTTTAATAAAATAATGAAGGCAATATTTTTTCTTTTTTTCTATATCCTCCACATCCAGTTCGAACTTATAGTACTCTCCCATGTATCCCAATAGATCATTGGAACCTGCATCCAGCTGCGAGCTTAAGACTATCAGATTGGACTTGTTGTTTTCGGGAAGAGATCTCTGAGCTATTAGCAGACATTCCTCTAAGCTGAGTAGATCCATGGTTAAGAACTTAAAAGATGTTAACCGCTTCGCTTCTGAAAACTAATTGAATATATACTACAGAAGACCTCGAATATATCTTTTGTAAGATTTTCTCGGATAAGATATCAAAGTTATCTTAAAATATTAGATTATAGTTGCTTCTCTGCTTAATATCAACCAAGATAGCAGGATGTTGTTAATACACTAAAAAAACTCATAGAGAGAATAAAAATATGTGTCCTTTTGTATTTATAAAATTTGTGAATCGTCTTAGTGCCAACAACCTTATAAAAAATTGTATTTGGATCTATATAAAGGGCAAATTGGTCTAAAAAGTGAATATACCCTAAACATAACTAACAAAACACATCAAATTTCAGCGATAAGATAATCCAGTGAGAGAAGAATAGAGGTGGGTAAACAGAAAACACAGTCCAAACTGATAGGATTCCGAGTGTTACCAGGGGAGCAGCAAATGATAATGGAAATAAAATGATAATGGGTGCGACAAAGTCGTTTAATCAGTTTAGTTTATGATATGTCAGGGCCAGCAAATCCCCTACACATTCGTACATGTAATCAGCGAATTCTGTGTGATCTTTCATCAATCGGAGAACATTCTCTGTGCGATCTACATTGCAGAACCGATGAAACTCCTCGGGGCGGTTATCCTTAAGCCTTTTTAGATAATTATCTGGCAGATGGAGTATGGTGGCTGCTATGCAGTTGTAGGTCTCTCCAAATAAAGCAAAGTCCTCAAGAGATTGCTCAAAATCCTGTTTGCTCAGTTGCTCTTCTTTGGGATCAATACCCATTTCTCGGAGTTCCTCAGCCAACGCATTGTAATAAGTTTGGATGAGATTATTGATCATCTTTTTACGACTTTTGGGTTTTAGATTTAGATAGCTGACCAAGTGAAAGTCCATAGCAGGTGGCGCATATCGGCAGAGTTGGAAGTCCACTAGCACGGATCTTTTCTCTTGAGGTTGCTCCTGGTGATAAAAAACATTTGCACCCCAGGCATCGCGATGAACAAATACATTCCTATGGATTGCTGAAGGATTAACCATGTAGTAGACCCTGTCCAAACATCTTGGTAGTTCCTTGGCTATAAACTCCTGGGCTTGGGCATTATCCAAGACATCCGGATGAGTGGCAGCCACTGCCAAGACAGCCTGAATGCGGTATAAGTTAAACTATGAGATTTAAAAGACAAATCCTTATAATGTTCCTACTTACCCTTAAACCCGTAGTATACCATTCAACATCCGGATCCACAGAGACTTCCTTTAGCCACTCTCTCAATTCCACACCTATGGTTTTTCCCTGCTGCTTTTCGTAGGCAATACTACTCGCATGCAAGGTGGCCAAGGATTTTAAAATAGGAGTTAATTGATTCTCACTGAGGAAACGAGTTCCTGAAGGCAAGCCCACATAACCCATATCCTCCACATTTTGCATTACAAACAGATCGTTGCGGGTGAAATAGCACTTTGCACACCACACATGGAGAGCTATTATGTCAAACATTAATTTAAGCCAAACTAGAAAAATATATACTTACAAAACTTCCTAAGCTCGTTCAGCAACCGTTCATACAGCTTTATTTCCTTTTTAATAATGCCCATTTTCTCCATATAGAATTCCATGTTTGCATTTTGGAAAATAACCGACTTGACAAACAATCGAGAAGTTTGCACATCTTTCTGATCATCCAACTGATAACGGAGATACAAGTGGAAGTATTCTCCTAAGAAACCTACATGTTCAGTGGCCGGCACTACATTAAAATTTACTAAGACACTCTTCTTTTTCTCATCGGCCAATAAATTAACTAAAATCTGTTTACACTCTTCTAAAGTAAACAATTCCGAGCGATTTTGTCGCGTTAGAACAGGGTTATAGCCGTCTTTACTCATTTTTAAATATCACAGTTGAACTGCTCGACTGTTTGATTGGAACTGCTTTCATTTTCTTTGACTTTAAAAATGAAACTGAGAAGATTTACCCTTAAATATTGAGGTATACCTGACTTAAGAAAAACAATTTTTAAAAAAATGCAAAAAAGATTTTAGATATATATGATGTAATATATATTTTCCTAATACATTTTTCTGTAATACCTATGAATTATATGGTGTCACAGAAATCAGTAAGTATGCAGAAAAAAATAGTTCGTCATCTTTTGAAATTAATCCATCGTATTTCCGTACTCAAAATATATTGTTGCATACTTTTACACGCCTTCATTAGTGATTTCAAAAACCTTTTTTTTTTGTTTTTTTATATTTATTTCCGCCGGAATCGTTCAATGCCATTTGAACATAACCGGACGTATGAGGACATATATACATATATAGTAGATATTATACTATTTAAACATTTCAAAAATCTAGTGATTTTACTCACATTTTATTTCTTAAATTCAAACAACAGGGTGTTAAAGTTTCGATCATAAGCTTTTATTTGGTTTAGCTTTATTTACCATGAGTTCTTATCGCCAGTGAGCCGGTCTCTCACGGCACACTTCCTTATCGGCAGTATCGGGAAACGAGATTCCCTCACATGCTTGCCCTGGCCAAGGCCATTTCCATGACATCCACACAGCATTCCTCCATGTAGGTCCTGAACTCGTGGTTCGTTTTCATGTAGGAGAGTATCACGTTGCTCCGATCCACATACTTGAAATCATTCGTCACAAACTCGGTGGGAACTTTTACGACCGTAGCAGCGACCGCTCTGTAAACAACTCCAAATAACCGGAATTCTTCAAACGATTCAAGCAGCTCCGATTTGGCGATCACTAACTCTTTCAGGCCAAAATCTGATAGATTCTGTATTAAATGTTTGTGGTACAAATCAATGCATTTCATCTCCATTTTCTTGCGATCCCTTGAACCCAAATTCATGTAGAGACTGAAGCTCAAATCTAATGCTGGGGGAGTGTAGCGGCAGGTCTGAAAATCAATCAACAACGCGGGTCCAGTTTTTTCGGGAGGAAAGAAAATATTACCCGCCCAAAGGTCGCGATGGCAGAGTACATTTCTATACTTTTTCGAAGGAGCCACCTGCTCATAGATTTCCCCCAGTATGCTCAAAAGTTCGTTATCTATAAAAGCTAGTTCCCTATTTCCCTGATATTGAGGAAGACTTCGAGTTGCAGCCAGGACAGCGGAGAGTCCTGTGGTGAACCAGGCTATTTCCGAGGCTACAGTGATCTCCTGCAAATGATCCCCATAGGTTTGACCTATATTGGTTTTCGTCTGAAGTTCGTAAATCAAGCTAGCAGCATGAAAGGAGGCCACTGATTTGATTAATTGTTGCATGTGACCCTCATTGAGTTCTGTGGACCCAGCTGCCTTGAAACCCTTCAGTTTAATGTCCTCCAGGACCATTAAATCATTTCGAGTGTATACACAATCAGCGCTCCATTTTATCTTGGCTATGAATGGAGTTTTATATTAATTAATTTTTTTTTGTATATTTTACTTACAAAATGTTTGCATTTTTCTTAGGAGTGTGTCGTAAAGCCAGGCCTCTTTTTGGAAAATTTCCTCCTTAGCCAATTCAGCACTTTGCTGCGGCATAGCTTTTACAAAGAGTTTAATATCTCTAACGACTTCGTCTTCCTCCTAAAAGTAGGGCACCGAATAACAAGTATAAGGTTTACGTCATGTAGTGAAAAGCGTAAAATAATTCCTACATGGATTTTACAATGGTTATCTTTTGATTTCGCCAATTAATCAGGGAATGTGATTCGCCAATCAATTGGTGCCAATAATATGACTATTACGTTAGTCAAACAATCGATAAGAAATTGATAAGAAATATATTTATAAGTTTTTGTTTATAAAACAACTTTTGTGTTTATAAACCAGGAAAAAACAAATAAAGACAAGAAACTACTATTGGGCCAGAAATATTTTTTTTAATACTTTGCCTTAAAAAATTATAAATTGTCTTGTAAATAGTCTGTCCAAAAAGACACTTATCTGTTACTTTCATTTATGATAAACACACTTTTCTATTCTTCATGTTTTTATAGAGACCAACATTGAATCTTAAGGCCATCATTATGATACTACTTTGTAAAGTAAAGATGGTACTTACATAGCAATAGCTTATAGTGAGTACATAGTAATCCCCCAGATAGCCGATCGCACTGAGATCCCTAACGACAGTATAGTCCATTAGTTTGGATTTCCCGGCACTATTTTGTGCATTTTTCAATATTTTCTCGCACTCACGGCGGGAAAGCATCATGTTGCGTATACGTAAGGTGCGGCGTATTACGTATACGTTCGATCTCACTCTCCCTCTCTTTATTTTCTAGAAAACAGACTAGGCTGAGACAACTTTTCCGACACTTTCCACTGCACCAGTTGGTCGACCACAACTGAGCAAAAATAGAATTTCGCTCAGTTTTTATTTTCTCACGATGTGATCTTTAAAATGAACAGCTGTTAGCATATAACTGTAGTAGTAAAACAAATTTACATATCTAAGCGATAAGATTTAGGCAAGGGCGAGATTAGAACATTACAAAGGGAGTAATAAGGAAACAATCTTGCATTCATTGTTCACTAAGAAAAAAAGTCTTTGCTATTATATTTATTTTAAAATCTTCATCGTTTTTTCAAATGAACACTATTAAAAGATATAATATATTTTCGCATAATTTTTTATTTATTTAATAAGTCAAAAAATTTTTAATGAATGGGTAGATATGTAATTCCGTTCAAGTGATAAAAACCTTTCATTTATATTTGAGATTATTTTTATTAGCCGCCGCGAAAATTTTAGCTTTCCTCAGAAAATATTCTCTTTATGATAGTTTAATGATAAAAATAGAGAGTATTGGTATAATCAAGCAATATCAAAAAATAACTCAATGAAATCTCTTAGGCAAAATAATACGCCTTAGGCTACGTTTCTCGTGCATAAATGTTGTATAAGGACGAATGGTGATATAGTAAAAAATCTCCACAAAGCTGAGAAGACTGGCGCCTACAAACAAACCAGTAGTGCCACCGATTGACACTAAAAGATAAGAAGATGTAATTTATTTTAATATTATTATTCTGCGATTTAACTCACCAACCAAATCCAATTTGCCGCGCACCAAATTCCTTTTGTACCGCTCCGTGGGTAATTCGATGAGGCCAACTTCGATCCTAGAGACGGGATTCTGATCCCCAACTAGATTGTCCTTGCTATCGTAGACCGTCGTGATATCCACCTCCGTGCAGGAGGGCAGACAATCGCAGACCAGACCCTTTCGACCGCGACGCTTCGACCATTCGGCGATGATCACCGAGAGGTCCTCGTAATTGCGATTGAGGCACTCCAGACCATCCATGTTGCACAGCTGCCAGTCGGGGGAGTTGGGGGACAGGTGACTGGAGCAGTTGCACAACTCCATCTGCCGATCCTTGCGACACTGGACCGTGCAGGCACTATAGCTATAGAAGTTGTGCACACTCAGGATGTTCTCATCGGCGAATCGGCAATTCCTCTGATGTACACTCGTCTGTCGGATCTCCTCATCGTTTTCAATGTCACGCTTAGAGATATAACGTCTGAAATATTAAAATGTAAACCATTATTAAATATTTATACACATTATAATTAACTTACACAAAGGATATATAGGGTCCCACCACTAGAAAATCGGTTTTAGGGGTGACCAATGTGGGAACCTCCTCAGTGCCGAGAATGAAGACCTTTTAATAAGTATAATTTATAATACTACATTATAATTAAGTTAATGAGAGCTTTTACAAAAAAATAAAGCACACTTTTGGGTTCACATATAATTAATCTGCTTAAAGTTTGTGTTTTTTTTTCTTATATTTTGATTCAGTAAATTTGACTTTGTTATAAAATATTAGTGTTTTAAATTTTTATAAATTTACCGTAGCCTCAGTGTGCAATTCCATTTTCAGGGCACCCGGTCCACTAGAACGATTCGATAGCATATTCAACTTGGGGCTTTTGGGTTTCCTATTACGGGAAATACAATTATAAAAACCTATTTAAATTATTTATTTTATTTTTAAGGCACACCCAGCTTGCAGGGAATTAAGGGCATAGCAAATTCCCAGCTCAGTTTCCATGCGATGAAAGTACTTGCAGCACTCAAATGGTTTGTTATTCCAGACGCAATTGCTAATTGAGTCCACACAACTACTTCTAACTAGTTCTGCGTAATACGAGAAATTGGAGTAAAAACATGAGGCAGTTACGTCCTTGCCACTGCATTCATGGACTGTATGGTAGGACTCTCCGCGAAAGTAAGCTATCTCGCTAAGCACCTCCTCCAAAGTGAAGTCGTGATCTGAGCCCCATAGTCTGAAAATAAGTTTTATTCGTAATAACTATCCTATTAATAACATCGAAGTGTATTTCCTGGTCAATAAAATTTTAGAAGACAAATTGTGGCACATGAATCCATTAATCTGTTTTTAAAGTTCTTAAATAATTAACGAAAAAAAAAAGTTCTAAAATTTAATTAACGCCCTATTTTCCGGATCAATTTCAAAATCTGTGCACTGGAATTTATTATAAAAGAATACATTAATATACTAAAACAAATTAAACTTTAACAGTGTAATCAGTTGGTATATTAGTTTTAATATCTCTTTGAGCATACATTTCCGAAATTTTAGATATCACTTACTGTTCAGCCACCTCCTGTATACGATCCATATTTTTTGATTCGCAGACTATAATGGCTGGAAAGTTGGTGTTCCAATCACGATACGAACTCTCCACCACAAAGCTGATGGCATTGTTCTCAAAGGCACCTGAAAGGTAACACGCGGTGAGATCAGAAGCCGTATCACTATCTATATTATCACTCAGGTCACTCACTCAACGAGGCTTTGATAAGCAACCAGGAGGCGTACCAAGAGACCACCAGGCAAATGACCCAAAATATGCGCTCTATCCAACTGGCATCCTTGTCCACAATAAACCTGGCTCCATGCAAAGTGGAGTTCTTCAGATACTCCTCTATAATTCGGCTGAATCTCATTTGCGTTGTGGTCACTTTGAGGTCCACTCTGTGACTAATTTATTTTGCTACTGCAACTGAAACTATTATCCCTCATTAATGACCAAAATTGGTTATCAATCTCGTCGAAATTGGTCAGCTGTTGATTTTCCCAGACTTCTAACACGCAAGTGTCCGGGTATTAAAACAACATTTACCAAGGGATTAATTTAAGGTGGAAATGATCCTGTTTACCTTTCACAAATAAGGTCTCAAGTCACAATTTATTTGATAAGCTCACCACATTAGCTTTAAAGTTATATCACCTATAAATCCTAGCAATTAGTTGCCAACTGGGAAGTGCGAGCGGCTTGCGTAAAAAGAATTATCTCTTTCGTTAGTTTAACATTAAGGTAATAGATAAGAGAGTAGCCAAGCTCAAAAAATTGGGGAGTATTTGGCAGATTGAAATGTTTATAGAGAAACTTTTACTAATTGTCTAAAAATAGTTTTATAGTAGTTTAGTTTGTCGAAAATAAAAACAAAATAGATATTCTATTCTAAATATGTATGTGGAAATGAGTTTTGATACATATATGCACATATCTTTTTGGAGGACCTTAAACGTTTTAAATATCTAAAAAATATTTTGTTTAATTTATTCAAATTGTAACTTTGCAGACAGTTTTTATTAAATAGTATAATTTATTTAAATTATTTATTTATTTATTTAAATTTTTTTTTAAATTACCCCTAAACTATATTCCATTATTATGTTTATTTGAATAGCAAATTTAAAAATTTCGTGAATTTCTTTTCGCTTTCATCAGATGAACACCTGATTTTCCACACCCACAAAAGCTGACCCCCAATTTTTTGATCCACAGTCTAGGCCAAAAGCAAATAAGCCACCTGAGATTTCGGCTAACCCTTTATAAGTGGCTATATTCCCCGTTGGCTTGCATACACATTTGTATCTGCTGACTTTATCTCGGCACAATTTACAGCAGTCTGGAGAGAATGTCGCATATGTGGGATATAAAAGGTTAATGCCGCCATGAGAACTCCAAACAGTTGATTCGAAGATGGCAACCGCACTAGAACTAAGTCCCACCGAAATTCGCGGCCTTTGCCAGCGTTATTTGCATCAGGATGTTCCCAATTCGGATACGGGATTTGATATAGTCAGTTATCAGTTGAGACCCACATCGGATGCACCGGCTGGATATTTGGGTAGCCACTTTTACCTACAGGTCACTCTGCAGCTACACAATCCCGAGGAAATCAAACAGCTGACCTTCTTTTCGAAGGCGGCTCCCGAAGGTAATGCCTCGCGGATGGAATATTTGGAGAATTTCGGGGTGTTCCAGAAGGAAATCGCTGTCTATCAGAACGTACTACCCGATCTACACAAGGCCTGCGCCGAAGTTGCCCCCAAGTGCTATTATGCGGATAAGAATCTGCTGGTTTTCGAGAATCTTGCCGATCAGGGATATCGAATGGGTGCCGGTCGCGATGGTTTGCTAACCTACGAACAGCTCCATTGTTGCCTGAAAACATTGGCCGCCCTGCATGCTGGTTCCATTATTCAAGAGCAGAGAACGGGTCGAAAACTAACAGAATCGCAACCAAAATCGGTAGTGGAGAATGCCTATCCCACTGATGTAACACCAGATCATCTGAGAGTGGTGAACTTTAACAATGCCTGCCAGGTGATCAAGGAGTTCATCAAACTGATCCCCAAATATCAATCGAACTTGGACTATATATTGGAGAACTTCACTGAAAGGATGTCCTACATTTTCGAGGCTGTCAAGACCTCAGAGGTGTATCAGAATACCATACTCCATGGCGATTTGTGGGCCAATAATATTATGTTCCAATATGGCAAATATGGGGAGAGTCCTCTGCAGTGTCGCCTTGTGGACTTCCAGTTGGCCAGATATGCCCCACCTGCTCTCGATGTCCTGACCGTACTCACTATACCCACATCGAAGGCATTTAGGGATGCCCATCTGAGTGAACTTTTAGCGGAATATTACCGCTTTATGACAGAGTTCCTGAAGCGAGCTGATTTGGATATAGCTCGTTTCTTACCCGAGCAGAGTTTCTATGAATCCGTGGAGGAATACCGGAGTATTGGCTTGATTGAAAGCTGTTTGTTCTGCCATTTGGTGATCCTTCCACCTTCGTGCACCCAGAAATTGACCAGCTCCGCGGATGGCTTCAGTGACTTCTTTAGTAACAAACGCATTGAGATTTGTCTGGAGGCCTTCAACACAGATGAATTGTACAGGAATCGCTTGGTGGATATGATCCAAGACTTTGTGGATAATTTTGTGTTGAAAGAGAAGAAGTAAATAAGTCATATTACAAATAATATTTTTATTTTCTGTTTGAAGAAGGCCGAAACCATTGTACATAATAATATTAAAGAAAATGTAAATAAAAACTAAAGGAATGTAATATAAAATTTAAAATGTATGTAGGTATTAAAAACATTTTTGTTTGATTTAACCAAAATGACCTCTTTTTATTTACTTTGCCTAGTTTTTTCTACCAAGCACAGTATACTTTTTTTTAGTATGAAAATTATTCATTTTCGAAATTTAATTATAGGCCTAAAAAATAGAGAAGCGAATCCCTCAACCTCAGCTTTACTTAGCTTTTGTCGCATGCTTCGTTGAGTTTTCGTTTTCATTTTTGTTAAGCCTCTCTTTTTCAGTTTTCAAAACTTTCAAGTTGTGTCCAAAACCTGCCAACCGATGGAATCATTGGCTCTGGCCAGTCTCTGTCTGTTGGTTAACTTAAACTTAAATTCAGTTGCCAGTTGGCCGCGTTCAAATCAACAACATTTAGCGGCTCTTTAAAAATCCGATCGGTGTTGTCGATCCTTATTAATAAAAAAAACTTAAGCTGTTTTTGCCCATATTTTAATCGAGTTTAAAAAAATTTTACAAAATGTGAGTTAATTTTATTGTGTTGGATTATTTTCAGATTTTAAAAATCTATTTTGCGCAGAAATTTTTATTAATTATTGGTGGCCAGTTTTTATTATTATGTGATTTCACAGTGTAACAGAAAATAAACTCTTTTGAAAATTAATAAGTGCCAAAATTAATTCGATTAAACTTAGTTTGTAAAATTTAAAAATATATATAATATATTGTTGGTTAATAATCACAAGATATTCAATTACAAACTTATTATATTTAAAATATAACAGCACAATAAATAAGATGAATTTAATTTAACTAATTGCTAGAAAATGGTTAAATGTATAATGTATTATTATATATTTTAAATTTTATTAATAAACCTTAAATTTGTGTTAAAGTAAAAAGAAGAGTGATAAATGCTATTTTGCATCATTTTTGGAAAGAAATGTAACCCAAAACTATTGCACAATCTTTAAGCATAAACAAAGCTGCGATTCCCTAGCATTATTTACAAATTCGATGCGGTTGCCACCCAAAGAGCCAAGAAAAACTGTGACAAAAACTATTCGTACCACAACAAAAAAATGAAAAAGAAAAACCATAAACAACTTGACCTATCACAAGAGCAACAGCAACTACAACAATACAGTAAAGTCGGCAACATTGACTGACAAGCATAAAATCTACAAAAAATATTCAACGACGGGTGTACTCAACACATAATTTAGTTTAACGGTCACGTTTTTTTAACAAATGCTCAAAAATGCTCAAGAAAAAAGCGTTGCTAAAAACCAAACTGAATTCATGAAAACCAGCCACAATAAACCTTAAAAAAATAATATCAATAATGCAATGACCACAAAAAACTGTTACGATTGTCATGCCGTGTAGTATTTTTAATTAACCTACGTTAAGGCCCAAAACAAATGCCAAATGCTTCACCCACTTACGCCATTTGGCTAATAAATATGATACACAATAACCGCACATTAATATTGACCACAAACGTTGAAAAGGGGCGTGACAATTGCGAGTGGGTGTGTTGGGGGCGGAAAGAGGTGTAACCTTTTAGTAGTACGTGATAAAAAAAGCTGACACAGTTTTTCAGTAGCGGTTATTATGAAATTGATAATTGGGCATTATTGATTACCAATATAATTTCCAGTAAATTTTACAATTATAAAATTTAGTAGTAAAACATCGAGGATAAAAGTATTTAATTTTTTGGAAAACTCTTAAGCATTTAGTTTTTAGGCAATATGTAAGCATAATTAGTGTAACTGAATATAAGTATGATATAGTTTTATATCAAAGAAGTTGATATTTTATTTTATCGTTTTGTTTGAAAAACATTTTTAAATAATAGTCAAATGTATAATTAATTCATTGCAATTTTTACAAAGCTTTATTTTTGAGATTTGTTAATAAAAATATCATAAAAATTGGATAAAATTAACAGCATGAAAATGAGATAAGAAGATTTTAATGTCAAAACCCTAGTAAGTTTTACCAACAAATGCTTAAAACAATTTAAATGGCCATATTGCAAAACGCTCTCGAAATATTACAGAGAATAACATGTAATACAAGACTTTTAATTAAAAACTTCATGGGGAAATGAAATGTACATAAAACAAGGGAAACACCATCCTCGACGACGGCAACCTTGAAGCGGTTTAAAAAGTTCACACTTTCGAAAATTAACGATCACTTGCTTCACTTGCCGGCAAAACTTGTAATGAGCGTTAAGTGCGAATAGGGTTTTTATCATCTCTGCTACTTTTCGGCTCCGGTTTCATATCCAAGGTTCCTGTGACCTTTCACCCAATAACGGTAGCGATTCAACCTAGTTTTTTGATCCCACTCAATCGAGAAAAATGTTACAGATGTGTGAGCATATTTCCTCATTGTATGCAAAATAGTATAAACAAATTTGTGGACGTCGTAGCATAACAATCATACACAATACGTCAATCTTTGTCAATTAACCACATGACCCAAATTGGGAATGATGGAATGGAATGGAATGGAGCGACGTACTATATGTTTATATATATATGGCTGTGAAAAAGCGAAAACTGCAGCGACGCGACGTTGACGCCAATTGGATTCCATTGACCTAATCAGACCCAACAACAAGACTCGTAGTTGCAGATCGTAAGTAAGTAGCCGTCGTCCCAGCAACAATTGCCTGGCCTGGTATACAAAATAAGCATGAAAACCTGAAAATGCCAACACATTTTTGACTGGGAAGGCTGCGGTCTTTTCGCATGCGCAAAACGCCAGAATTGCATAAGATGGCCGGTAAAACGGCTTGGATAGCAACCAAAGGCGAAATGCAGCCAACAAGTCATGGGACATCATTTGGGTGTGATCGCGGGGGGAAGCCCCTTATCCCAAAGTGGGTGGGTCATTGAACTGAATTATACCGGGTACAAATCAAGGGAAGAAGTTTTTTCTCTAAAAATGTTGATCCATTTTTTTCTAAATACAAGATCTTTAAATAAAAAATGTTAACACTAATTTAATCAATAATCATTTTAAACGGCGATCCTACCACAAATAATCAATAAATAAAACATTTCCACTTTTTAAACTAATAACTATTGAGTTTTGTATAAAAATTTATAAGATCGTTAGCTTAAACTGTAATAATTGAATTATTGTTAGTCTGCATACAATTTATTTCCCCAACCTAATCACAATTTGTAATATTTTTTTATACATAAACAAACAATTTTACAGTCCTGGAAAATATTTCTATCCAAATATGGAAAATTATAGAGTTATGAGAGAACTAATAATATTTTTCAAATTAATGCTTTTCTACAGTTAAAATCGTAGATAAGATTGATGCACTTTTAAAAATCATAAAAATCTTAAGGATACACTGAATTTCAGTTAGTTTTTATCCCGATATCGAAGTTGCATCATTAAATTTTCCCCTTCCCTCCTTGACTGAATAAAAATCTCATTATCAAGCCCGGCTTTGGCGATCTTTTCGCCTTATAAAATGCCATGAACCATCGGCAAACCATGAGTTTGCAGGTTGACCGAAGGGCGGTATGGCAAACTCGCAGTCAGACTGCGAAAGCGCAAGTGCCGCAAGTGGCAATATCAAGTCCAAAACTTACATCACCGGCCAGAAACAAGCGGCAAGTGGTCGTCACTGCCGGTTATCCAATTAAAAGCAAAGATCAGGGATCTTTTTGCAGCCAAAGTGGGCCGCACAAAGCAGCAGACGCATGACGCTGGAAAATATATATGCAGCGGAGTTTTTCTCCTCGCAGCACGCGACATCTAGGAAATGGAAGTCACATGACAACCGAGTTTTACCACGGCAGACAAATAGAAACTCCTAGGAGTCAGTGTTGCCGAAAAATATCCTAAAAAAATATACAACGTTAGGAACTAAAATATTTATTTAGGGCACTTCAATTATACAAGGTTAAAGAAGGCATAAAGAATAAGACTTTTATATAAAATCAGAAATTAAAAAAAGTGTCCAAGATTTTTTAGACGTCTGGGTTATATAAAAATTTACAATTTAAGGATTTAAAATACTTATTTAGGGCTCTTCAACTATAGAAGGTTTAATACGGTTTAGCAATTAAAACTTGTATATAAAACCGGACATTAAAAAGGGGTTTCCAAGATTTGTTAATATTACAACCACCTCAAACTGACCCAATTTGTTGTTTTAATCCAGAATACTTATTAAATTCATCTTGAATTCACCTGAAGTAAGTTCTTTTTATGGAAGTTTGACTGTCAGATATTAATCCCAATGGCCAGCACTGTCTCCATGTGGAAGCCCAGTCAGCTGACTTGGCCAACAAGTTGTCCCGGGCTCCCGAGAGTGAAAAGCGGTCATTTAGGCGTGGACTGGATGCGGGGTTGGGGGATGCGTGTGTGTGCGTGACAGGCGGAAACTTGTAATATTATATGCACACCACAATTATGTAATGATCATCATGATAATACCTTAAGCCGAGCAAGTGGTATCTGTCAGTCAGCCGAATTCAACGAGGCGTGTTCATCTTCTCCTCTGTCATTCAAGGTGCCTCCTGCCCGGTCGTTTCATATGGTCAGCGTTCATTGTGGTAATGGTGGCTCTTTCCATAACAATCGAAGCCAGACCTCAAAGGAATCTGGCGCACATTGCGGTGGTGGAGAACGCCGCCTGGGAAAAGACCCTTCCCCAGCAGTTCCAGAACCCCTTCTATAATACTCCAAGGGTGAGGGATGCCCTGGCCAGATCCAGTTGGTTTGGCCCCGGCGAGGAGGTGGTGAGTTTCATAACTTTATTTATACTTATATAGTGTGAAGTTAGTTTGCACCTTATCTGGATTACATGTCGTATGAGTAATTTTACACAAAAATGAAGTGCTACATGTACAAATACATAAAATAACCCCATCAAAACGAATATTTAAATTAAAACAAACCCATCTACTAGTTTAATTACCCTTTTTGAATACCCCTTAAAAATTCATTATTTTCCTCTAGGTTTATGATCGCCAGGCTGAGAAAATTCCACGCATGGAAATCTACAATGTGCTGTCCCATGCCGGTTTGATACCACGCCGGCGTTTCCTTTAAATTAACTAATATTTCCCTATCATTTATCTACTGTAAACATTATGAAAATAAAAGTCAAAGTCATTAGGATAGGAACCAAATAAATACTATGATTTTATGAATTCACTCTGTTGGTAAGTATTGGCTCAAAGTATACAAATTTAATAGTGACTTTTTGATGCTGCTTAATATTAAAAATTTCAAAATATGTACTATTCCAAAGGAATGACGAAACGACGTTAAGAAAAAAACTTCTTTATTGTATGTTAACTTGTTTTATCTCTGTATTATACAAAAATATAAGAGTTTTTAATTTTTTAAGAACAACTAATAGATTTGTTTACATTCATAACCTCAGTTTGGTTCTTAGCGCCGTGATGATCTTTAATCGATCATCCAACGCCTGCTGGTCAGTTTCGCCTCCGGGTAGCAGATCCTCCAACTTTTCATTATGCTCCAAAAGCGTTTTCCTAGTGTCCAATGTGCTCCTCGTCACGTCGCCTTCTTCCAGCTCCCCCTCCTCCTGCTCATCATCACTGTGCCCGTGCGACAATCCATTGCCATTGACGGGGCCTCCATTGGTCAGTGGGGCATCTTCTCCGGCTTTCGAAGAGTGCCTCGAGGCTGAGTCCGCCGGTGTCAGCAGCGATTTGACGAATTCGTTACAAATCAGGCTCATGGCGGGCATCGTGTGGGCGGAAAGATTGACAAACTGTAATACAGAAGTAAAACAATAATTGGCATTGACCTTGCTGAAGTTCAAAAACTGTGTTAATGGTGGCTGTGTTGACCGTTTTTAAGGTGCATAAATAGGAAGACTTAAAGAAATTTTTGTTAATGGTAAAGTATCTAACAAAGCTAAATTAGCACTATCCTTAAACTGAAAACTAAAAGATTAGATCACAAAAAAATAACTAAATATAAGAAAAGTAATTTAATGATGATTTTGAAAAAAACTACATCGTCTAGAATAGCAATCAAAAGAAAGTCTAAAGTAAGATTTATAATTATGATGGCTATTTTGACATTTTTTTTTTGTATAGTGCAATAAAATATTACTAAAAACTTATAAATCTAGCTTTAAAAAAGCTAAAAGCCCCAACACTTGGGGCGTCTGTAGTTAATATTATTTTGATTTTTTTGGGTGTCGAGATTGCGGTTCAAGTTCAGCACTGGACAATGGTAATCACATGATTTTTTTTCGGTTTTCTGTTTTGTCATTGTGGAGCGTCTTTTAAATGCGCCGAGTGATGTGTGTCTATTAACCTTCGCGCATGCGCTTGCCGCCTGTGGATATTGTTGATCCAATTTTATGCAAACTAAACTGTATGAGCAAAAACAATCCAAGTGCAAACATGTCTGTCAATTCGTTAAGTGGCAAGTTGCAAAATATTATTGTTTTTCTCAGGAAAAGGCACTCACTGATGACTCAAACTGATTCAGTGGCGATAACACAGAAGTCAGAATTGAGTTCATTTTCAGTAACTGACTAAAACTAGTATAAATCGTCGAAAATATAGTAATTGCAAAAGTAATTAAGGCAAACATTGCACATAGCAACAAAGCCGGAAAATTTACAACGTAAATTGGCTGAACATAATCGAATATTATTGGGGAAAACTAAAGTGTCACAAGCACGCAATGGAAAATGCTCGCTACACGCATAAACAATAAATTGAGGGGACAATGGTGTTGGCGGACAAAGGAGGGTGGACTTCCATTTATGGCACAGTGGTATAAAATATCTAAAGCTGACAAGGATAAAGAAAACGTACAAAAAAAAAATTTCGGAGAATGAAAGCTTAAAAAAAACATTACTTATATTTCAAATTAGGTTGTGGTGTTATACCAACTCAATTAAATTGGTAAAAAATTATAAAATTAAGTTAAAAAATAAATGTTTTTCTTTTAAATCACCCTAAATTTTGAAGAACATATAAATTATTTATATATTTGTAATATTATTATTTTTCACTACCAAGATAAAAGGTTATACAATTATTTTGATGATTTCCATTTTAAATAGAATTTCACAAACGGGGAATACATTAAAGCGTTTTTTTTTTATAAAGTCTAACTCTACGTCATGCATTTCTTTTTCGCTTCTGCCAATAAGGAATATATTATTATAGGAAAAGGACTTCAAACAAGTGTTATAAAAGATATTTTGTTTTTAGCACGATTTTTAGCTCCCTTTCCCACTGTACAGCGGTGCGGTTGCACCAGCCCTCGTTGCCCGTTCACAATGGGCACTGGCAAGTGCACAAGTCATTGGAGCAAAGAGCACAAAAGAGCGAACTCTACCCACAATAATAACAAAACGAAGCCGAAGCTCGTGCCGAAGTGGGATTCCGGAGCCGAAGTCCGGAGCTGCGAGTATAAATTGCCGAGAGCCGCGGCGACAGCTCAACACTTTACCGTTGTGTTCCGCAGCAACAACCGTTAGCCGGAAAGAAGAGAGCCGGAAGCGCGAGCCGCTAAAGTTTACGGAAATAAAGGCGGACAAAAGTTCATCCTCTCCTGCAACTGACAAAGTGTCAAAATCCAGATTAAACGATTTACGAGCGAATCAAACCAAACAAAACCAATTAAGCAACATTTTGAACGGTGCAGAGTGCAGTGAAAGGCGTATAACTCCAAAAACACCTCCTTCTTACCCGCATCCCCGGATACGGAAAATTGGAAAATGTGGCCCAACTTTGTTGCCGTCTTTTCCCTGCTGTGCCTTGCATTCTTTGCTTGGGCAAAAGCTGGACCTGTGCCAATTGTGAATGAGGTGAGTGGATGACAGGGGGCAAATGGGGCATTGGAGCATGTGGCATGCAGCAAGCGAAAAGGGAGTACAGCAGGGGGCACGAATTTGGGGCAATGACTTCACTCGCATTCCAAAAAAAATGGCTGCCAGCTGCAATATGCAGGAAGTGCAAACTCGCTAATTAAAAGTGGGCGTTAAGAATCGCGAGAAAAATAAAGTGCACTCTTAATTAAAAGATTGCTTTTGAATTAAAAACAACGGGGGAAGAAAACTCATAAAAGTATATATAGGAAGCGTTACAAAACCCATGCAAATTATACATAACACCTACCACATATTTTGAAAGCAAAAAGTATGCAAAACAATATTTTCTCATTAATTATCTAAATTTCATACTATTCTATTTGCCTTTAAAACCATTGAGTCGGATAGCAAGATAATGTTCGAAATCTATAATTCTATTCTAGTATCAACTGACAAAAATAATTTTAATATTTATTAAATAATATTTTCCTGTAGAAGATGAAAGATAAATGTAAAGTTACCTTTTTGGAAATAAAGCTGTTATCTAATGAGCGGACAAGTTATTCCTACATAATTTCAAAAGATTAGTTTCTTTTACCACGGTATACAATTAAATCAGGAAAATAACAAACTTTGTTTGTCGCACACGTTTGTGGCGTGTGTTGTTAATCTTTACAACTAAATATAGCAAAGCAAAGCAAATGCTTCATTCCGAAGATCAGCCTGATTTCCTATTGGCGGCAGTCGTTTATATAATATTCCATATGGATCCTATCCCTTATCAATTGCCGTAAAGACTTGACCCTTGATAGAATAAACAAAGCAATTAATTAATTATGAAAATGGCAACTGATTACTGGAATGATCTTTGGAAAGGAATACCCCCAAATTGGAGGAGTCAAGTTCAGCTGATTATCTCCCTGAACAATATTTTCGGCATCTGATCGTCTCACATGTGTAAGGTAATCATGTGATAACACATATCAAGCTCGATCAATTTCATCAAGAGCAGACCTATCCCAAAATTCCAAACCACCAGATTCTACACCTCAGAGTTCAGTTGCTAGGCTGCTACAACTCACATGATTTACACAAGTTCTAAGCAAAGGCACAATTGAAAGGCGGGTCCAAAAATAAATCAGTCTTTGAGAAAACAGCATTATAAATCTCAATGGAAATTATTCAAATTGAGTTGAACGCCAGTTGGGCGCAGACAGAAAACACAAAAAGCATGACAACTAAAACACAAAAGTGACAAAATATGGTGACGACTGATGCCAAAAGGAACCGACGTAAGAATCTTTCAAAATCGTGTACAATTTTATATATCTTGAACTTTTAACTCCTTAGGTAGGCATATAATATTTCCTTAAATATATTGATAATATAGCTTTGCTGTGGCCCAAGACTCAAGAAATTTTTAAATAAAATTTTGACTCATGTAGTTTAATAACTAGAATCCTATTATAATCCTATTTTCAGCACCAACAACTGATGCCCAAAGTCCCTCAATGGCATTGCCTGCGCTACTTCAAGCATGATGTCCTGATGATGCGACGTTGCCGGCATTTGCGAGTCCCTACGGCGCCGCGTCTGGGGGATGTTCTTAAGCGAAAGAAGAAATAGTATTCGGCCCACAGACAATCATCGTCAATACTCAAAACGACTGAGCAACAAGATCAATTAAAAACATTTTTAAAGGATTTCTAAACCAGACCAAAGCTAAATCAAAAATATACAACCATTTACTATAGAATTTCTGACCTAATATTAAGTCTAACCAATTGTACTTCATAGCTTTATAAGAATTCAATAAAACAAATTTTATATACGAAATTGCATGATACTAATTTCTTTTATGTAAATTAAATAACGAAAAGTTGGTTAATGAATTAAAAAGACAAGTGTAATGAAAAAAATTTACAAATAAATATTAATGATGATAATATTAAAAAAAGTTGGTGCTAATTTAAGGCTTATTTCCATGCAGAAAATATTGTTAAAAAATAAATACAGATGATACAAATCGGTAACAGATGTTAAAAAAGTAAATAAAATAAATCATAAAACAAATAAAGCTTACCGCATCGACAGCACTGTGATGTCCTCGTCCAACGATTAAAGGGCCACTCTTCTCCAGGGACTCACCGGGCTGCTGCTGCTGCTTGGTCACATGGATGCCGAATGTCGCGTACCTCAGCAGATTTTCCGTCTCAGCGTTCTGAGCTAATGTGATCGGAGCGGGTGCATCATCCGATGGACTCTGACCCGGTGGCGCCAAGTACGCAATCTTCTGCGAATGGGTGAGCATCAGCAGCGTGGACTGCGCCTGCCAGTCCACATTGATGGAGCTCTGCTTGGGTTGTCTCCTGGGCAACCATGCCAAACCATGGGTCTTGGGCAGATTACTTCGCTGATACAAGGGCAGCGGTACATTCGGTTGGAACACGTGCACTAAAGGTTTAAAAATAATCCAAATAATTAACGTGTCAATGGTTAATGGAAAATCTGAACATGCTTACACTCATCATTTTTGGTAATGACAGCTATTAGATTGGTGAGCGGATCAAAGGCCAGCTGACGGACGGATAATTTCAAACCCGCCTGCAGTCGCAACGTCAGTAAGTTCCAAATGAGAACCCTTGATTCCGTGCAGACTGCCACCAGATGAGCCTGATCCCCGGCTCCAAATTGCACTTGCGAAATTTGCGCCAATCCCTGCAGCGGAGCTGCCTCTGCGGGTATTCTTTTTACTTTTTGCTTGGCTTTGCTGCTCTCATCCAGCTTGGATTTATTTTTCGTATCCTTTTTCGGTTTAGTGCTCTCATCGAGCTTGAGAACGCTGAACAGGGACATCACATCCTGCGGCACCAGGTCCTCGAAGCTCTTCCGCCGCTTGTTCAAATGACTAAGTCGCTGTTTGGCTTTGTAACGATGTCTCGTGTGCAGGCGATGCAGTCGAGCATCCAGTTTACGAAGCCTCAACCTCGTTGTTTGTGGAATCAGTTCTCTTTGCTGAAGATGCTCCATCAAGCGATTTCGATGGGGATGGGAAACTTGGCATTCAACACCAAAGCGACGCAGCAGTTGCAATTTCTGATGCAAGCCTAGTTCGGGCATTTTCATTATGTACCTAAATACCGCTTCCTTGCTGGCACTCTCCGGCTGATTCACGAGCTTTGCTTTGGAAGGAGGACCCACTATTAACTCCTTGGCCTGGTTAACTAACTTCTCATCATTGCTATTCACCAGGGTCTTTAGCAGAGCCCACAATTGCTGCCTTTGCTGGGTAAGTTCTTTCCTAGCTCCATTCAAAGGCGTCTGGGCCAATCTCAGCTGTGCTTTGGATATTACACCATCTAAGCCGGGAGGACAGCTCAGTGTTTGAAGGGGCAGCCGCGGATTCCTCGCATCATACAGCGCCAAAATATTTCCGTAGCCCACGGCTAACAGGGAACCATCCTGCGAGAAGCATAGGGAACCAATCGGCAGATTTCGGTAGCTTGTCTGCGCCAAGCAACTCCACATTTTTCCCCGCTTATAGATGTTTTCGGACTCTGTGAGACCCCACACCTTAATAACGTTGTCCTCGCCAGCAGTTGCACAGCGCAAACTGTCCACCTGGAACTGATTGGAGAAGATAATGTCTTTAAAACCGTCTTCGTGAGGAAGATCAATCTCCGTGTTTAGAATGTAACTAGAAAAAGACTTAAATTAATTTAAAAAGTTGGGAATAAATAAGGTTAAGCTTACCTCTGCAACTTTTCATTGTACTGCCAGAATTTGAGACGCACTTCGACAAAGTTCTCCAGATCATTGTGTACCTCTCCAGTGGCCATCCAATTGATATTAAAGGCAGCTCGAGTAATACGAGTATTGTAGATAATGCGATCTACCTCCTCACTATGATAATTATGGTCCACCACGCGAAGCTAAAAGGTAATATTAATCTCAATTGAACAAACCGTTAATTCCAGGAATTTAATAGAGACTCACATTATACAACATACTCTTGGTGTAAGCCGAAAAGAACTGCAAATGTCCTGATCTGCCATTCAGCACTAGCGTATTGGTCCTTGGATTCAATCGTAGGCCCATAGGAAACTTGCTCCTGCCCGTCTTATCCTTGGTCTCGTATGTAAAATGCTGGACAGTGGACTTTATTATGCTGTTGCTGCCACTCACCAACTGAATTGCGTTGTCCTCTGTGCAAACCAGGACATTCTCATTGTCATTGCTGACGACAATGTGCCGAATTACACTGGACATATTGGGCAGATACTTCCGTTTCTCCGGTGTGGCCAAAGGCCATTTCACCAGGACCGTCTCATGTCCGCCACTATATATGCTCACGCCCGAGGGCGAAAAGGCTAGGCTTGTCACCTCCATGTGATGCCAATGGAAAAGCGTGTTGGTCATCGTTTCTTGCTCCTCAAACTCCCGCCACACAAAAATCTTGCCTTCGGTATCGGCAGTTGCAGCTACCATTTCGCAGGGACTCATCCGGACACAGGTGACTGTATGTTGCCTGGCGCTTTTGTAGCGACAGAAGTTCCACGTAACATAGTTCACAAAGTAAATGTAGAATCCCTGAGCCAGGACTATATATTTAAAGTGACCCTTTCCGACGTCCACGAGGGGAGTACGAACTCTGTAAAAATTTAAGGTATATTAGAGAGGGATTTTAAGCTTTAAAGGTGTAAATAACTTTAAAATAACCTTAACATAACATTGATTTAAATATTTTGACAGTATCAAACTCATACCTTTTAATTTGGAAGTTAAAGTTAGTCAGGAACAGGTGCTTTACATAGTTAAACTACCATATCAAACCCATTTTGGTCATTTCAAATTATGGAAAACTACTACATTCTTTTTCTAAGAATATCGCAAAACCATTGCTTATTATTTTTTCTCAGAGAAATTTAAATTCACATTTTTATATGAAACTTTAAGACTCAATATTTTACAAGAATCTAATAATTTTTGGAGATGTTATTTAAAAACAAGAAAGAACGCTATAGTCGGGTGCCCCGACTATCAGATACCCGTTACTCAGGTAAAGGGAGTGCGAGGGAGATGGAGATAGAAACTTTGATCACGCATAACTTTTTAACGAATGGTCCGATTTGAAAAATTTCTTCTACATTTCGATAGGTATTGATAAACACAATAAAACTGCATTTTTACTTTTCCGAAATATTTAAATGTATCGTATATAAGCGATTGTGGGCGTTAAAGGGGGCGTGGCACCTTTTTGAAACAAACTTGCGCTGCGTAGGAACTCCTAGAATCTGCATGCAAAATGCCAATCTTCTAGCTTTTATAGTTTCCGAGATCTCAGCGTTCATACGGACAGACAGACAGACAGACAGACGGACAGACAGACGGACAGACGGACAGACGGACAGACGGACATGGCTATATCGACTCGGCTAGTGACCCTGATCAAGAATATATATACTTTATAGGGTCGGAAACGCTTCCTTCTAGCTGTTACATACTTTTGCACGAATACAATATACCCTTTTACTCTACGAGTAACGGGTATAAAGATACCTGAGATGGGAACTCACTTTAGCTTGAGGCCGCAGTTGATGTCAACCTTTTCACCCGTACTTGTATTGACCACAAAATAGTTGACCTGTTCACCGCTCTTCTTCTTTGTGGTTACAAAGGCGCAGGCTGTGTCGCCACCTTTATAAAGATTCATCAGGTGGCAGGTTAAAATAGTGGGTTCACCAGAACCCAGCTTCAAGGATACGGTTTTCTTGAGTACACCCGCCCGCCAATTCCATTGGACCAGCTCCCCGGTACTCGTACATCCAATCAAGAGTTCCGGTTTCTTCAGGTCCAATTCCAAGCTGATCAATGGAGCCGTAGCATCGTCCAGAACCCGGGTTAGTTCACCCGTACTGGTGGCGTACACCTGAACATTTGTCAGGCATCGCACAAACATGAACCTGGCAGACATGAATCGGGGTTACATATATAGTACCATATAGTATCAGTGGAGTACTAACCTTCCATCGGGCGAGAAGACGGGCGCATGTTCCACGATGTTGCCGCCAGCCAGATACTGCAGCTCCAATCGGTCCTCGTCGTCGAAATACATGCCTGTTCTGTTGCCGGGTCGGTGCTCTGGTACTTCTCAGTGCTGCGGCACTGTCTGCGGAAGTGATTTTCGCTTAATTTACGCGTTTTAAACCACTTTTTGTGCGCTATTTTCGCATTAAATTCAATCACATCAATGCACGTGTAGGGAAGTGTGACCAGCTGCTAGGCGCCAAAATAATATGTTGAATGAAATATACTAAAATTTAGCAGTTAATGCTGAAATTTTGCAATATAATGTTCCACAGTAATAATTTTAAGAGAATATTTATTTATACTGTTTTGTTAATTTATTTTGGTTCCTAAATTAAATTATAATTTTTTACCAGCTATATAATTTTTGAAATTTATGTATATTTAGTAATAAATACTTTTGTAATAAGGGGGTATTGTAAATCCGATTGAGTTCCTGAGATTTTAACTAACCGTTTTTCTAATTAATGCTTTTTCATAATTAAAATAACAAAAACACCAAAGGTCGAGAATACCAACTCCAAAGAACAGTTTCCTGGTTCACTGGTTCCTTCAGTTGAGAGCCCATCGCTGCAGCCCTGGTATAAAGGCTGCTCTGTATAGAAATAAATTTGTTGATGGATTTATTCCGGCCCCAACAGCGTACTAAAACCACTTCAGCTAGTTAAGCGGAGGGACTTGACCAGTACAAAAACCGGAACACTCACAGCCAAAAAATAGGGCCCTCAAAGCGGGGTAAAATGAAAAGTGAACTCCGGAGCAAAACAAAAACTGCTGACATGTGCAACGTAGCATGGAAAAAGAGGATTTTCTGGGACTACTTGCGGGCAAGTGGTCGAAGGACCTGGATGCCTCTGCTACTGGTCCTTATCCTCATCGGTAGCTCCTCAGCCGCTGAACCCCTTAAAGTTATATACGCCGTAAACGCTGGCGGAGATGAGCACACGGATCTAAATGGCGTCCAATACGATGCGGATCCTTTGAAAGGCATTGGAATCGCTTCGGACTACGGCAAGCACCTGCTGATGATTGGCCGGGTGCAGGAACAGGACGAAGTGCTCTACAGGACTGAACGCTATCACACCACCACTTTCGGCTACGATTTACCCAGCGATGGCGATGGAGATTACGCCTTGATAATGAAATTCTGCGAGGTTTACTTCGATGCGCCGCAGAAGAAGGTATTTGACGTGCTCCTCAACCGGAAGCACACGGTGGTTCGGCAGCTGGACATCTACAACCAGGTCGGGAGGGGCTCGGCCCACGACGAGATCGTGTACTTCAAGATCAACAATGGTCGATTAAACTACGAGGGCGAGGTATCCGATGTGCGGAATGGACGGCTACGACTGGATTTTATCAAGGGAGCCTTGGATAATCCCAAGATCAATGCCTTTGCCTTGCTCAAAGGAGATGTCTCCCAATTGCCGCGGCTGCATGGCACCGAGGCGAGTGAAAAGATCAAGCCGGAGGTCAAGCAGAATGCGGAACAGAAGCCAGGTCATCAGGTGGAGAGGGTGGTGCGCAACCAGCGGGAAGATATCGATGAGGACGACGAAGATCTGGACGACGAGGAGTTTGAGGAGGAATTGCCTGACCAGCAGCACACCGATCAGCTAAGCAGTGATCAGCCATCTCAGCAATCGGCGGACTCCAAGCGATCGTATAGCGGGCCACGTCAGCCCAATCCGTACTCCATGGATGACTCCTCCATTTTGCTGCCGGTTTTCATTGCCATTGGGGCCTTTATACCGCTGCTGTTCTGCCTCTGCAAGCTGTGATCCCAATCCGTTGCCCACTCAACGATTTCGGCCTGCGTTGATTTCCTGCTTTGTGATTTTGTGATTTTGATAAAAGACTTAATTGTATACTTATCGTTTAGTTCGTACGTTAGGCATACCCTAGAGATCGATTCCCTAGATCCCAAGACGCACAGCTCTCTCTCTATCGCCCTGTACTTTCCATATTTGATAAGCCTTTTTTCGTGTTCCTTTGGTTAACCACTGCCGTCACAGGCACGGGTACTTAATCGTTGAGTCACTTTATTTATATTCCTGGACTTTTGATTGCTTGACTCGGGGAATGTGCGCACAAATTGTAAGCGGTTCGCGGGACAGTTTTGCTTGGAAACTGTTAATTTTGAATGAAACTAAATAAAATAAACTTTGTTTGTTATTGAACAAAATGTTTGTGATTATTTTTGTAGTGACCTTTTACTGACTCATTCCACATCTTAGAAAATATTTGGGACTGGCCCAGATTAGGCTGAAAGCTTGACTTACCCCACTGATAACCTTCCCCTGCCGAAAATCTTTGAATTTTTAAGAAACATGTCTTCTTGAATGAACATACGACTTTAAACCAGGTCTGATCAGAAAAAAAAAACGTTTGTATTTTGATTTAGATAATTTGGGAGCTGTAAAATCGAAGGGGTAAAGTATTCTACAGACAGTTTTAAGCAAATCTGTCGAAGAAACTAGTGGACTTAAATTATGTTGTTTAATTTAGTTAAATTGAATTCGTTAAATCACGGGTCCAATTTAAATGCAATTAAAATGCATATATATACGTATATTTATAAATGTTTCAGAACATAAGTACCTACCTTAGCTTATTTTTAACATAAACGAAAGTCAGTAGATTGGTAATTTAAAAAAAACTGCAATTATCCGAATGCATTTACAACACTGCTGGAATATGGACCAAAATATATATACCTAGCAGCATCAGGCTGACAACAGAGTTTTTTTCGGTGCAACAACTAGTTCATAACCGATAGCCCGTCTATCGAACGGCAATCGGAAAGTGGGTCACCTCTAGCGGATGTCCTGCTGGGGCTGGAAAAGCTGGCGTCGTGAGGAAAATTCAGTCATCAGCGCGTGTCCATCGAATCGGCAGTGAAAATGTGCCAGCGGCGGTTCTTCAACAGCAAGTACACCAGTTTCCACAAGAATCACATCAAGTTGTTTGCCGTTTACATGAAAACGGCGAATTTGATGCAAAACTCAAATGTGCTGAAGCGTTCGCTGTAAGCGCCGCTGCCCCTGCCGCGGACAACGTCGCAACCGCCGCCTCCCCTCCCCCTGCAGAAAAATTAATATAAAATTAAGACCGGGCTGTGTGTGTTAGTGTATTTCAAATAGTGCTAATCGTAAACGAAATCCTTAAAGTTTTAATGCAAAATTAGAAATGTCTAAAGAAAAAACCGAAAAGCTGGTAAAAATCCTTGATAAGATATATAACGATTACAATTCAATTTAGGCGTGTCTATCAAAATAACGGTAAGTTTCATTCTGTCTTACATAATAATTGGTAAATCTGATTTAGGCGCTATTGATTGATAACCAATTGCATAATAAGGGAGCCACAAGTTCAGTATAATGTTTACCGACTTTTCGTCTGTCCTTTTCGTCAGAATTTGACTTTGCCAAAAGCCATAAATCCCTTGTGAAAAAAAACATTCTGTCATCAGGTGCAGGAAAAAAGTACCACTCTTTCGCGCTCTCGCTCTCCCGCTCCGTTACCGTTACTCTCTTACAAAAAATCGGCAAACAGATGTTTTTTGACTCTCCTTTGCGCATGTAACGGTAACGGCCTACGCTAAACAAAAACAAATTGTCTATGCCGACGCCATTTTTACGTCACAGTTGATGCAGGAGCTCATAACAATAACAAAAACAATAGCAACTGCATCCAGCTCTAAAAAGCAGGCAACGTTTTCTTGCATTGTCGGTTTGCTGGTGTGTGTAGTAGGAGTTTTACATAATACAAAAAAGCCGCAAGCGCATTGTTTATTATTGTTGCATCTGAAGTGTGAGAATTTTGATCCATCTTTTGAGCATAGGAGTAAGATCAATTATCTGAACTTTCCCATTTTAAAGTCAATAAAATTGTATTTTATTAGCAATATTGGAGTAAATATATAGATTTTTATATAAACTTTTACTTTAAAAGAATGTAATACTTAATCAAAGTTTCACTGTAGACTTGGAAATAAAATAAATTTGATCTTTATGTTCCTACCAATTTTAACTTTTCTGACTTCTCAAAAATATTGGTCTTCAACTATTGGCTAAACATCTTACTATTAAGGATCCAAACTTTTTCTTAAGACATTTTTAACAGGGTTCTTAAATACTCGATAATTTTTACAATAGTAAAACAACCCACTTATACATCTATGATTCAATGGTTCTTAGCTCAAATTCTGTGCTTATCAGCTATTTTTTTATTGTTTTGTTATTTATTTGAAATATAATTTTTTGACTGTCGCTTACGAGAAAAAGGTTTATAAGTACAATACAATAACTTATTAGTTATAAAAGTACCAAACTTAAGTGCTTTTTACCCTGACAAATAGATTTCACTGTAGTTCGCATTATTAGGTTTTTGGCTCGGATTTCACTGCGGCAAAGCCATAACTATTGTCGGTTTGTCACGCCCCAAAAAAGTGGGAGCTTGGTTGGGTCTTTTCTTGATTTACTGTACTGCTGCGTAGCTGTGTCATTTGTCCTTCGTCCATGGTCATTGCAAATGTGTTATATGTAATAAAATTGTTGTATTTCGTTTCCCATGGTCCTTAATCTGTCTGATGAGCGGAGGAGCTGTCTGATTTGCTATTTCGGTTCGTCCTGCGGCGTGTCCTTGCGCAATGCCTGGGACTTACATAATAGCCGGTGGCGGTGGCGCGAAAGCTTAGGGGGGTTGCTGGGCGTTATTATTATTATTGCTATGTTTTCCAGCTGAAAGTTTAGCCCCACACACGCACTCAAAATTCGGGTCTAATGAAGTTGAAGTGGGACTACGGACTACTATCTATAGCTCTTCAGAGAGAAACTTTTGGGAAAACTTTGATGGTTTTGCGTTTACAGGCTTTTGTTTGTTTGCAAATGACTTTGGGGATTGCCTTTATGTGTTATCAAAGCCTTCGTTTTTTAATATTCAAATTAAACCATGTATTTTTGTTATTATTTCAGTATTAACATTTATAAAATGAGCAAATGACTACAAAATGATTATTGTTTTAATAACTTTCTGTACATACACTTGATGGAATGAATCAAGACAAAGTTTATTTCCCACGCTTCTCAGCTCAAAATTTCACAATTTTCCAGATCCACTAATAATTTATTATGCAAAGAAAAACTACATTCCCATAAAAGTGACTTTAATAATTTATAAGCAAAGAAATTGAATTTCCATCGTAAATACAAAATTCCATATTATGACCCAGCTTCCCATCCAATTATTATTTATTGCTGAATATTCTAATCGGAATTATTTTGCCATTGTCAGCTCTGGAAATCATTAGCAATATTGCGTCATACACTGGGAGAAACGTTGGAATAAACTACTTAATTTTGCGTGAAGAAAAATTAAAACCTGACTCATTTGAATGTTCCTGCTTCTGAAAGGTGTAAAATATTTTATTTCATATAAAATCCATTGATCCAAAATCGCTTGTTTATTAAATAATTTATCGTTTCATAACAATAAACTCTTTAACCGAAATATTATTTGGGAATTATAACCATTACGGTTCCTGATAAATATAAAATTTCGGATACAAAATGGATCAAAACCTAATTTGTTGAGTAATTAATAACCTAAACGCTATCAGATTTTGTCTAGGCAAGGTTTAGTAGTTTTTTTAGCTGTGCAAACGTGGCCCTGTCTGTGATTTAAGTGTGTTAAAATGTACGTTCTTGATTCATAAAATCGTCTTTAGGGATATCCAATCAAGGCAGCAAACGACGCCATTTCGCAAAATGAACCCTGTCCTTAGGATTCAATTACGTGCACTTAGCTGCAGTCGTTCAAGTACAAGGATAATGTGTACGCCACAGTCTCTGTTTCGTTTTTCAGACTAAAGATAAAATGGCACCCACGCGCCATCAGCTGCCAAGTTTGGATCGATATTATGGAAATGCCACGATATGAAATGTTTGCACTGAAAGTTCTGCACACACTCACTTCCTTCGTGCCCTTTGCAATTATTAAGGAATTACAATCGTGTTGTTATCCTTGCACAGAGGACTCTGTCCGCAGTCCTGTTATACCATCTAAAAAAAACAATTTACATTGCGGTTCTTCTGGCCATTTGCGGTAGCCTTCATTGTCCTGCGCTCTCTCAAATATTCATTTCAATTAACTGCACAAAAGTGGGTAAGAATGCAAGTAAATTGCTTACGATGTCCGTTTGAATTTAAGTATGTCCCTTAATTGACGTTTTTCTATGTAAGTACAATGGATAAACAGGTCCTGTGGATCTGGAATGGTTTTGGTTTGTTAAAGCAGAGGCTCAAAAGCTTACCTAAACATGATTTACAATATAAATATTGAACAGTTTTGTTGAAAACATGTTTCGCACTGAAGCTTTAAATAATCTTTAGCGTGCGAATTAATGATTGATTGTTGACTAAAAATAAATTCCTCTCCGGGAAAGATTAAGTTGTTAACCACTACTAGGTTATTTTTAAGATATTATGGTCGGAAACCACATAAATTGGCATTTTCTTGATCATATACCCAGGTCATAATGATTTATTATTTTAAATGATAATGATTTATTATATAATACAAAATGTATTTAATTTTGCATTTCATAGTTCAAGGTTTAGACACAAGCACACAGTTCGACTCTCTGATTAAGATTAAAATTTTTTTTTATTTTCAGACAAGGTAATGATGAACTTTCCATACGAAAATAAAGACGAATTTTAATAAAAAGAAACAAATAATAGCACGATTTATTTGTTATTTAAAATGTAAGCTTCAAGGAGTTCAAGGTTAAGAAAAAGGCAAACAGATCGACGAACTTTTTTCACAGACTAAAAAATATAGCAGTGTTTTGTTATTCAAAATTTAAGGTTTCCGATATCCAACCCGCGAAACTTTTTATGTTTGTTAAGATAACAACACCGTTCTTGTTAACGCTCTTAATCCCGTAAAGAATGAACTTGTTGCCCAACGATACATTTTCATAGGCACCAAATACTTCACCATTTTGCATAAAGGAGGTTTGTTTGACACAGATTTGATTTTCCTCTACTGCCATTCGAATAGTAGCAGAGCAAGTGTTACGATCAATGACAGTTAAATTTTCATGTTTAAGTTTTAAATTTTCCCAAGAACGGATAATGGCAGTAAGGGACCTTGGTGCTTCTACCGGTTTTTTAAGACCTACACGTAAACATATCGGTGCCAGAAAGTCTGAAATAGGGTAACGCAATTTATGACTAAAAGATGATGGTAAAAATAAATTAACTTACCAGAATATGGCACATTTTGATAAAGTTTGAGCAATGCTATGTCATTAGTGATAATGGGGTAAATTGCAAATTGGGGATGCTTGTGTACTGATTCAACGGAATATCGAACACCGACGAGCGTTACCACTCTACTGCATCGCAAATGAAAAGAAAAAAAATTATTTAAGCGTAAATAAAGTAAAGTAAATAATTTATTTTTGTGCCTTTCTCACAAATTAAACTTTGATAGATCTCAATAACGATTCCAAATAGGTTATTATTTTTTCATTAATAGTTTCTACTTACATTTTCTGGACATCTGTGTCCAAATGACTTGCAACCGTAAGGACAATCCCTTGAAAAAGAAAATAAAAATATTATTCCTTATTACATTTTTCATTGTAAATAATTACGTTTTGTGATAAGGGCGCCATTAGCATAGCTGGGAAGTATATTTACTTTCCAAGGTTGGCGGATAGATCCCTGTTTTTGCGGAGTGTTGCCGCAGTCCTCATCCAAAAAGCGCTCCTGATCGCGATCCTTTTCCGAAATGGTATCTTTTATCCATTGCTTGTAGCTACTAATATTCGTGTAGATGCCATTAGAATTACAATCGGTGCTGCCAAAGCTGACGATTCCAACCTGTGAGCGGAAGTTATTTCCCCGGTATGTAATATTGGCTACCAAAGGACCACCTGAGTCACCGGTGCAAGTGTCGCCTTTATCGGCACCAGCACAGATTTGCGTTTCCCTGTCTGACCAAAAACAGGGTTGGCTACGACGGGAAAGATTAATGGTCTTAAGGATTGAGCTTGTTCCTTCGTTTTCCGTTTTACCCCAGCCGTAGGCAGAGAAATGAACGATTGACCACTGATCAATTTCAATCCCGAAGAAAATGCAAATCGGTCGGATTTGTGCTGCAGGCAAAAGAAGATTGTCACTGATAAATTACGCCAGCTACATATGTATATTCCTTAACATTTTCTTTTTTTTAATGCTATCTTACCGTTGTACACCACTTGTCTGTCCAGTTTCAAAATACCAATATCATTCTTCATACTTAACGCGTTATATTGGTGATGAGGAATGCTGTTGATCACACTATACTTCTCCACTTCTGTGCAACGCCATGATGGGCAGGATTTGTCGTACAGTCCCAATCTCACGAATCTAAACCAATAAAGTTAAAACACTTGTCTAAACAACTTATCAAAGATGTTAGATTGCTTACAATTGATTATTCTCTTTAATGCAGTGGGCGGCGGTCAAGATGAAACCTAGAAAAATAGTGCAAATAAGTGATTAGCTCTTGACTAAAAATAATTATACCAACGTGAGTGTATAAGAGTGCCGCCGCATAAATCTTGAGTAGTATTGCTTATAACTGCTATCCAAGGAGTGGTCCCCAAACGAGCGTTAGTTCCATGAAATATCCTTGGGCTCAATTGAAAGTAACAATTTGCATCAAGAAGCTGTGCTATTCCATCCTGGCGAAAAGCCAAGAAAAACAGGGCTAAAGGAAACACAAAAGACTTCATTCTCATCAAAGAGATCCAAATCAACTGAAAATATGAATCGAAATTTTTTGAAACGAAAGTCTCATGTCTGGCTTATCAAGTATTGCACATATTATTTTTTTGCTCTTCAAGAAGCATATTTTTAACATTTGATAATATGGATTGATTATAGATGTTTTTTTTTGTTGTATGTCGGTTTTAAGTGAGATTTTTGGTTCAACAGTATTCGTAGTACCAGGTTTTAATTATTTTCTTCAAATTGATAAATAAATAAAAATAAAAAAATTAAAATGTTAAAATATAAATAAATTCCAAAGAAACTACAGTATTTTGGTAACTTTAAATATGTACAGTAAATTAGAGGTTTTTCGTAATAGAAATATATTTATATTTTTTGAGTACTACAATTTTGTAATTTATTGCAATTCATTACACAACTGTAATATTATTCATTATATAACTGTAATATTTAATAAATATTTTGGGAAAAATATTTTTGCCATTGCATTTTATATGCTTGTTTTCCTCTCCTCTCCCCCTCTTCCCTTACTTGGCTTTAACATCTGTTATGTCTGTGTGGGTGCCGCCTAACAGACCCACGCTCTGTTAAGTGCTGGAACACTTCTGTTATCGGGCCGATTTCGGTTTCTCCGCTCTTTCAAATATATTTTTCTACGATTTCTCGCATTCGATTCTCGGCTGCAGAGCGCGCAACAATTTTTCGTTCCGACTCGCCGGCGGAAAATTCGATTTTCCATTTTCCATACCAAGTCAAAACGGCAGTATTTATTCGAGAATTATTCGAAAATGTTTCGGGCAACTATTTAAATATGTAAATTGAAACGATAGCAAGCCATGTTTTTTCCTTACTTTTTGAGATGTGTGTTTTTTATGGTGTGTGAACTAAATATGTGCGCCTTTTTTCGTCAATAAATATTAATGCCCATTGCGACGTTTGTCGGGCATAAATTAGAAATCATTATTTATTGCACACGTCTGCAGTGCGAATCAAAACAAAATCAAAAGCGGAGAGAGAGGTGAAAAGTAGAGAAAGAGAGTGGTTGCAAGAGAGTGCAAATAGTGGAAATAGTGAAAAAGATAGAACAGCTGCCGGCTGATTTGTTGCGGAAAAGGAAACAAAGAAAGAAGACGAAAAACGTGCGTAAAGTTGTTATCTGTACAGAGAAAACAAAATATTCCAAGATTTTTTATTTATATTTTTACAGAATCGATCATATGAATTTAATATTGGATTAACATCAAAAACTGTCTTACGAAATTATTATAAGACTATTTACCGAGATACAAGGAAAAATATCTTAAAGATACTTTTGCTAATGTAGATACTTGTTCTGAACGTGTAAATATGTATACGGCTTTTACGTGTGTATGTATGTTTGTATTCCTTGTGTATTTATAGACCATCTTTTATATTTTTTCACGTTTCTAACGACAGCGATTTTTCTCTATTATTTTTTTTTACGTCTAGAAATGGTGCACTTGAGTTTATTTTGGTCTTTTGCCGGCTCAGTCATTTCCCCTTGCTCTCACTTCTCCATTCGCTCTGCTCTACTTATTTGTTCCCGTTTCGCATTCCAAAATACCCATATGTACATATTATATAGTATATAAACATATTTGTTTTTGTTGCTGTTAGTTCTACATATTTTGTTGTTGCCAACCTGATAACATAGAACAGCATGGCAACATACATATTGTCATGCTTCTCGCTTTACGCAAACCCTCTGTTTTTTACTTACTCATCTGTTTTAAAAATTCAGTTCCATCTCAGAGAATCTGTAAAAAGTTGGTTATTCTTAAATTACTTAAATTGTTCTGATATATATTTCATTCCACGAATTTTCTAGACTCAACTAAAGATAATGCCGTGAATTTAATGTTTTAAAATGTGATTACACTTGGACTTTTTTACAAACAAGGGTTTGTTAAATTATAGTCCCAGTCACTTTAAAAAGGGTTTTTATGGAACTTAATTACATATTATTGACTTTTTTTGGGATGGAATGCATTTTTTTTTTAGAAATACGTTTCTTATATTCAAGCATTCCAAAACGTATATTTTTAGTAACATGAATATAACGGCAATATAAATACATTTATATATATATAGGATGTTTTGCCACACATGCCTGTCAAACAAATTTGTTAGTGGAATTAAATCGTCAATCAAGTTGAGTTCATTATTAATTATCAGCCAATAAATTCAGATATGGGCAGACACCGCTCTAATTCCTCTATGAAAATATATGTAAACATTTCTTATCTAACGTGTTTCATTAATTATAAGCCGTTTACCTGTGTAGTAGCTGGCCAGTGTCGTGAGCAACAGGTTAAATTATAACACATAGGAAGGAAGGTATTTTTTCCTATAAAGATTGTTTACCAGAAAAACATTTTTGTTAAGTAACAATCAATTTCAATTACAATTTTTTTTCGATTCGTAGTTTCCTAGAAATGTGTTACCTGCTGACCAGTGCATATCAATAGTAATAAATACCACGAATCCCAATGCTCATTTATATTTTCCTATCTGATAAAATTTGGCATGTCCTTGTACGACAACAAATTAGATTTATGATGAGTCGCTATAATTAGACCTTGACCACAATCGATGTAACAATGGCTTTTGTTATGTAATATACTCGCATACTGTGTCATGTTTAATTTATTTTTGGTTGTAATCAGTTAAAATAATATTCAAGTAGTCTGTACAAATGCTTTTGCCCAAATCTCCATTAAAGAATTAAACAAAATAATTGAAAATCGATTTTAAAGCTTTTAAATACGTCCAGTTGGGGCTGACCAAATACCTAAAATATTTTATCATTAGGGTGATATCATTCTACGCAACTATTATTGTTGTCTATACAAGTAAATATCACTTAAGCTGTGCGCTTTAATTTATTGGTCAACTATTTTAAGTCACAGTAATCCTACCTTACCAGGGATTTGAAATTTATGGAGGTTTATTTATTTAAGGTGAACTTGGGCACGTTCAAAGAACTAAGGACGGAATGCATTATTTTTTATTACTTGTTTATAATTAATTATAAACACTCTTAGTTAATATCTAAACCTGAAAATACCAGGACTAAAAACTTTCTGACTTTCTAAATCAAATTATTTTAAGAAACTTCTATCGAATAATAATTTGTTTGCTCCAAGGAAATAAATTTTATTTGTCGATGTAAAACGAGTTCGCATAATAAATTAAAAAGCTCTTATCAATATTTTTGGTTCTCATCAAATCTGGAACCCCAATAGGGTGTTACCAAAACGTTATCTCCCATTTAAATGGAGCTCAGTGTACCCCAATCAATATATGTATAGACGAATGTATTTCATGAAAATAAATGAAACCCTCAACTGACAATTTCAATGCCGTTTTTAATGGAAGTTTTGTTTTGGGGTTCAAACCCACTTGGCAGTCCGTCTGTAGAAAAACGTCAGGGATTCAGTCAGAAATTTGTCGCAACCACAACATGATTTTGTCTTATTTTGTTGCTTTTCGATTTCACTTTATTTTTTTCTTGGATGTAAATATGTAAATTTTCGTTTGCAACTCTTTTATGTAAATGAACATTTTTTTTTTTGGCTGTGTGGCCAAAAAGGTCTGCACATGACGGATTACATCCCACAATGTTTTTAAATATGATGATGAGATGGATGAAAAAGTGGTAGTTCAGAATTCCTTGTGTAATGTTCCTTGAGCTGAGCCAAATTGACTTTTGTAATTGAACATGTCGAGTTAAATTAGGCTTAGGATGAGGAATGTTTGTGCCAAATCTTTAGGCAGTCCCTTTTAAAGGTAAATGTTTTTCAAGGATTTAAGATAATCGTTTATGCTAAATTATAAGATGTAACTTAAGTTAAAAATAGGCCAAACATTTATTATCAAAATTAATTTTCATCGTTAGTTATAAATCAATCTTAAATTATATGATAAATTATTTTTAAAATTATCCTTTTGAAAATTCTTAACATTTACCTTGAGCGTAAAGTTAATGGTTTTTACTTAATTATATAAGCTGCATTCCCTTAGAAAATATATTTTCTGTTACACAGGTGAAAAAACAAAGTCGTGCCAGTAAATAAATAATGTTCACCGGGCGCTTGACTGCATAATGTCAATAAATATTAAAACCTATCGTTGAATAAAACTCATGCAAATGTTTTCCAAGCTTTTAGACTGATAACATTCATTAACAATGCCACCAACGGTTTATTGAACACCTGCTGGCATCCACTATCGTATTAACTAGCACGACGGAATAAAATCGGAAAAAGTCATTAAAAACTATTTTCGTCGAAATATGGTTTGCAACCGTATAAATATTTGGCGGAAGCCTATCCAATCCACACAGGCCATATTTTGTTGCACCCGTAAACAGTCATTAACCAAGTTAACACAGCCGAAATATCCATAAATACCTATATAAGTGATAATACGCGTTTGGCAATATTTTGTTTAGTGCATCTGGTGCACAGATTTAGTTTTCTGCCAAGTTAGCCAAGGTTTCCAAGTTTGCATTCTGGATCATCGTTTTCAACCGGTTCGAGGTGCTTTTGGCCAGTTTGTACTCTGCCGTTGCACTCGGTTTTGCATTTTTCATAAATCAATTGACTTTGATTTGTTTATAAATAATTTCGCCCTACAACTGCGATGTCATTTTCCATATTCCCTTGTGGCGCATGTTATCGATTAGCCGTCGCCGAAAGCGTAACCTCAAAACGGTTGGGGCAAAGTTCAGGAACCCGCACAAACAGAGTTGACATTAATGGGAGCCGGTGACAACTGGGAAAAAACATTTATTTAACGATCCTTAACTAGAAGGAAAATAAGCGAAAAGAAATCGATTTAATTTAGTATTTTGTTGTTACCTCAAATGCAAATCTTTTCTTATCAAGTACAGTCCCAATTATAGCCAAAAAAAATATTTATAATGCAAATATTTCCATTCCAGGTACAGCCCTATACATCACAGAGAAATATTTCTGATTGGTTTGCATTTTCATGTATTTTTCCTGCCATATTTTGCTAAAAAGTCGTTCGAATGGCGGGGACAGACAAACAATTTCTTGGTGGCTAGCCAAAATATACATCAGGCATATGCATATTATATGTATTCCCAATTGGTTATTTTCCCTATTACAGTATAGATCTTTTTAAAAATCGTTTGACCTTTAAAATATAAATTATTTCCGTTGGCTAAACTTGAACTGTGACCATGAAAGACCATGAAAATCCTCGCCTCAAATATTTACATTTGTATGGGAAATTAGTCGCCCTCACTGGCCAAAACAAACAGAAGTTTATGGTGTGTAGATGGCGGGGGCATCAATCCAATTCACGTCTATACCCCAAAGTGTAAAAGCTCTGCGGACCTGAAGCATAAAGTAAACTCAAATTAAATATTAACACATCTCGGGGGTGTTCGGTGGATAGCGATGTGCGAAGAAATCAATTAAATCGTGGCGCAATTCGTTCGGGCTCAAGGACTTATGGCTACAGTCGTTGGCCCAACATTGTAAGAACAGCAGATATATAGACTCTCCACAGTGGCCATATAGCAATGAAACTTTTCTAGTTGTGTTGCAAAAGTTGCATTGCACTTTTTATTTTCTAAACTTCAAGGAAGTTGCAGTCAAAACTATCCATGAGTTGTCTGCAAAAGGAAACTTTAGTTTCTCTCAGTGCCATAAAGTTTTGAGTTGCCCTGATTAAATAGAAGGCAGCCTTAAATAAAGATATAAAATATAATGTAACTTAAGGACTTCTTTTAAATTATGTATGTTTATTTCTTATGCATTCCACTGTTGCTCTGTTAAGATATAATTTAAATCAAAAGGATTTGCACTCATGCCACTTAAAATTGATTCAGCCAGAACTTGCGGGAAATTGGGTTAACCCTTCGATTAAAGGCGGTTAGTTGCTCAACTGTTAACGGCCAGTAATCAAAATCACTGAACTTGAAACTCTGTGGGCGCTAATCTAATCACCACTGTGCGCCAAATTAGGTTAGTGGGAAAGCCTTGGAAATTCACGACCAATGCCAAAAACAATTGAATATGAGATAGAGGAAGACGCATTGAGGGATAAATCTAAATTGGCCATCCATTTTATATAATGACACAGGCGACAAAACAGCAAACGTACTGGAAGTGTAAACAGATTCAATTGCTCGCTCTAGTCAAGTAATTATTGAGATCGACTCGTACATTGCCCTTCCATTTATCAGCCTCAAATGTGACACTCGTACTGCCCAATTGTTTAATTGAGAGTCTTTATCTCCTGCACTTGATAGATAAGCTTTCGCTACTGTTGCTAATAAAATTTCACCAATAATACAAATCAGATCTTATCGCAGACCAACTGGCTGTTCAACTTAAATTTGTTTACTCTGTTTTATTGTCATATTTACTATTGGTATTAACTTGCTAATTTCGCATGGCGCTAAGTGCACTGGATCTATCCAGTTCGAAAAACAAATATTGTCTGCATGAATGCCTGATAATTTTTTATTAAATCTTTCAACAAACGTGACTGTGAAGAGCTTTGCCAAGTGGGCAAATAAGTGCACTTGAAGTTTACTGTTTTTAGCAAATAAATTGGTAGTTAGCATCGGAAATAAACCGGATTTTTTTAAAATTAGATCTTGTGTTTAAGATTTGGCAGATGATATACTTGAATTCATTAAGAAAAGAATATTATTTTTTATCTAATAGTGTCTGGCGCACACAAAAATACATAAACATCATGTTTAAATTTTACTTTAACCCTAATCTTTTTTTACTTAATTCATTATTTATTTATCCAATCAAGTGAATTTATTACTCCCGCTAATAGTGGAGTAAATGAGTTAATTAAGTTAATTATTTTGAAAATTCATTTTGGAATGCTATTTTTATGCATACTGACATTAGATAAAGCAATTTTATACTAATTAAAATCACTACTACTTCCAAGAACTGCACTCTTATTATTGCCCAAAGTGAATTTATTAAAAACAAGAAAGGAAAGCTAACTTCGGGCGGAGCCGAAGTTGAAATACCCTTGCAGAATATTCTGCAAATTATATTCTCCAAAATTATTCATATGATGCGTTCTTAATACTCATAAAAAATCCCAACTTCCTAACTTTAAAAACACCAAAGTTATGGCATTTCCAATCGTTCAGTTATGTATATGGCAGCTATAGAATATAGTCGGCCGATCCTTATGAAATTTGATATGTCGGATTGATTGGGCAAAAATAAAACCCATAGAAAATCCCTTCCTAACTTAACAAACACTAAAGTTATGGCATTTCCGATCAATCAGTTATATGGCAGCTATAAGATATAGTCGTCCGATCCTTATGAAATTTGGTACGTCGGATTGATTGGCCAAATATAATACCCATAGAGAGTCCCAACTTCCTAACTTAACAAACAGCAGAGTTATGGCATTTCCGATCAATCAGTTATATGGCAGCTATAGGATATAGTCGGCCGATCCCGGCCGTTCCGACTTATATACTGCGTGCAAAGGAAATAAGGGTGTGTGCAAAGTTTCAATTCGATATCTTTAAAACTGAGAGACTAGTTCGCGTAGAAACAGACAGACGGACAGACAGACGGACAGACGGACAGACGGACAGACGGACGGACGGACAGACGGACAGACGGACAGACGGACAGACGGACAGACGGACATGGCTATATCAACTCAGGAGGTGATCCTGATCAAGAATATATATACTTTATAGGGTCGGAGATGTCTCCTTCACTGCGTTGCACACTTTTGACCAAAATTATAATACCCTCTGCAAGGGTATAAATATAATAGTTGGTAACAAAATAAATCCACACTCACTTAAGGTGGATTTATAGAAAATCACTTTGAGCCGGCAATCGAATTTGCGATTTGATTTTAGCACATTTTTATTTGCAATGGTCTCAAAGAGAGTCCGCCATCAATTCAAAGAGAGTTAATCAGCAACCGATGGGTGTAAAAAAACAAATAAAAATGTGAGATTTTATGTGGTATATATGGATTCTGTCCAGAAGTCTTCATGGTTAGTGAAATTTGTGGCTTTTAACCAGTTTCAATTGGTTATTGCGGCAGGTCGGTCGATTTTGGAAGTGATACTAAAAAAAAAGGCAAGCCGAATGTACTGATAATATATTCTGCTTATTTTCTCCTTGCAGTTAACCAAACACAGTAACTAAGAAGGAAACTGGCTTAGTAGACGGACATAATAGCATGCCAGGATTAAAAAAGTAAATACCAGATCACAATGAGCAATCGCACGGAGCAGGATTACGACAGTGCCACTCCGGCGCTGCAACAGCAGATGAATCTGGCGAGAAGAGCCTGCTGGAGGAACCCATCCTCCAGCACCGAGTTACCACCCAGAAATATAGCTTCGGAAACTGATACAATTACCAGTGACGCAGCCCGTCGTTTAGAGCTAGATAAAGAAGCTCAACCACCGAGAGATGAAACCAAAACACGAGTAGAACCACAAATTGCAACCACTACACGCAACACAACATGCACATCCGACTGGCGGGGGATTCTCGGCAAAAGGATGCTGCTCATCTGCGCCTTAATCCTGGTCCTTGGACTTGTCCAGGGGCGGCCCAACACGAGTGCTGCTGTGGGCGTGACGCCAGGCTCGGATGCGGTCACCAAACTAAATGTGAGTATGTCCAATGCGATATCCACAATCCAATTGAATGGCCATTAAGCCTGGCATTACCCGCACATCCGGTGTGCAACGAAAGCTCTTTAGGTGATTGGAATTAAGGCAAAGTGCCGGATTTCGTTGGGACTACAGTAAAACCGAGCTGACAATAACTTTTAAAGACACATTTTTTAAAAAGTCACTCCATAAATCTACTTTATTGTTAATAGCTTTAACTAACAGAATATTTATCTGTTCCAGAATGTTACAAATGAGTTACACAAGTTCCTTATTGCTTTCTCTTTTTTACTAAAAAGTCACCAAGTGTCATAAACTATACTCTTAATTGTAGCTATTAGCACACATTCATCAGATGAAATATCGAAATGTTTATGTGGGAAACTATTTTTCAAGCGTTTTGTTTTTCCTATTTATTATCTTAGAGAAATTTCGAAATATATTTGATGAAGGGTCCCAAATCACCTTTATAAGATGTTTAAATGTTTGGAATATCAAAAGTGACAACTTGGTGATGAACTACAGTTTTAAGACAACCCATGACCAAATTTTTTGTCTAACCACATGATTTCTTATCATAATAAAAAATTGATTTATTAAGTTTTTTGTGATTACTCATTTTATTATTTCTGGATAGCTAAAATAGTTTCCTAAAAAGAGATATCAATAAACTTGTGCGAAGCCCTATTTAATTAGAAATAATTTGACGTCACTACTGAAGCTCTGTGATCCCAAAAGTCGAAACTATTTAATAGATTTATTGACTCGTAAACATCGAAACAATCCCAATGCGTTATTTAGTATTCATTACATACATCCAACATTCTAGTAGTTACCGCACTGACCTATATCAACATTTTAGCTATTTATGGGTAGGAATTGAAAAAGATGACGATTTATTCGCAGAGAAAAAAAATTGACACTTTCGTGTACGAGTTAGTCATTAATAGAAGTGATTGTAATTTTCAATAGCGTGTTTCCGAACGCTAAATTGAACCTTTGATATACCCAACCCACCAGGTCTGGATTTTATTTTCCGCAGTTTATACACCCATGTAAATATTTAATGTTTGCTTTTGCGGGTATTGGAACGGCACGGGGCATTTATCAATTTTCCCCATAGTGTTTTTCAATTATAAACCGCTAATGCCTGAATTATTTCGCTTTTCCTTCCTGCCCAAAAACAGCTGCCCGTGGATGTAGATGTGGGTCTGGCATCAACGCCATCGGCGAGGTTGCCTCGTGCCGAGGCAATGAAATCCAGCGACCAGGATGCGGAGGGCGGCGAAGGACACAAGATGGAAAGGTATCCGATCTCCATCGTGGATTTTGCTCGGGTGAAAACGCCGTTCATCATCGGAATTTGGATTCTATCGGCCAGTATAGCTAAAATAGGTAAGTAAAGTATTTAAATTAAAAAAGTTGCTAGCAACAAATACTGACTTTTTAACTTTCCTAATTTTTATGAAAACGTATTCTCTTTTTCGCGTTTACAAAATTTCCTTAACAACAATTTTAGTAAGGAGTTTAGGCTAAAGGGAAGTTTATTTTCCCATGTAGTACTTTCCAGATAAAAGTTTCAATTTCGGGGCAGACTAGTAATTAATTAATTTATTTAAACTCACCTAGTCCAATTAAAGATTTAAAAATCTTTCTTTAACTTAGTGAAACTAGCCAATTAGCAAGAACCGAGCAGTTTGTGCATAACTAGCGGAAAATGTGGTTTTTCCAAAGAAGCCACGAATCCTTTTCCTGTGAAATCAAAGCCTCAGTGTCTGCTCCTGGGCGTGGGTGTCTGGTTTATTTTCCTTCTGCTGTTGCCAGGCAAAATCAATATGCTTTATGTAATTCCTACGTCTACGACGACGCCATCATGCAGATTTGCGTCAAGTCGGCGACGTAACCGTGTGGGCGTGTGGGTGCGAGTCCTGGCGGAAGGACATTGCATAAGCCCACGATGGATGTATGCAACAAGCCGCAGGACATGGGGCCTTGACCCTGCCCCCGAGCAACAATTGGACCCAAAGGTAGTGCATTAATCATTTACTTTGATTCCCAACAACTTTAAAGCCTACCGAGCATTTATTAAACCGGATTTTAGTTTTGGGTCTATTTATTTCTGCCCCCAATGTCGGCAATTTACCACTGCCAGACAGGTTTATCTGTGGCCCTGCCCCTAACCTTGGCAGCAGGCGAGAGAAAATCCATTTTACCCATCAAGGACGCTGTGAGTTTATTTTCCGCCCCGTGTTTCCATTTCAATTTGGATTTTTGAGTGGGTAGACGCCCAGAAATTTTTGTTGCAATTGGATAAAGACCCAAAAATACTCGAAAAATGATTGCGAATGCCATTTGGCCAAGAAAAAAATATTGGGAAGGTCGATTGTAAAGTTAAAGGTTTGGCATTTAACGAGGAAATAAAAAGTGGTTTACTGCCTGATAAAAACTAGAACATTCTTTAAATGGTATGAAGTATACCAAAATGTTTCATGGATTTTTATTCCATTCCAAATTGTTTAAATATAATTCAAATCATTTTATCTTTTCTTAAAAGTTAGACTTAATTCTTTAACTTTAGGAACCTCCTATAAGTTTCTTAATTAAATTCCAAACACCAAAAATGCAAATTGAGCCCTTACATTTTTAACGAAAATTTTTCCCACCGTTTTGGCTTTGTTTACGAAGCATAATTATCCTTCCTTTTGTGCCCTTGAACCCAAAATATTTCGTAAAGGACTGGGTCAATAAAGCAGAAACGAACGTGGGAGGAGCTGAGGGTAAAGGAACAAAAAAGGGTATATACTAGAGAGAGCCCTCCGTCCAAAACTGTAGGCCCTAGAAATTGCATGCAAATTTGCCATCATTTCCATCAAATTTTCGCTTTTATGGCAGGCGTTTCGTAATTAATGGAAATATTTCGGTCCCACCACCCACAAAATTCTAGCAATTGCGTTGCAGAAATTCTCTTGTTTATCTAGTACTAATATAGTTTATATATTTACAACTTATTTTAGGTTTCCATATGACGCCAAAACTGCATCTAATATTTCCGGAGTCGTGCCTGCTGATTGTCGTGGGCGTGGTCATTGGAGTGGTGCTCTATTTTTGCACCGATGTCGCCGTCTCCCCGCTGACCCCCAATACATTCTTCTTCTATATGCTGCCACCGATTATCCTGGACGCAGGATACTTTATGCCCAATCGATTGTTCTTCGACAACCTGGGCACCATCCTGCTGATGGCGGTGGTCGGAACCATCTTCAACATAGCCACCATCGGTGAGTACAGTAACTCGAGATGGATTGGGTTCCAGTCCTTGGGGGAATTGTCCTGTCGTTTAGTTGATGGCCAAGTAAACAAAGGTGACCGACTGCTTACCTCGGGTGATTCCATCCATCTTTGTCCATCAACTGAAAAACGGACAATGGAAGTTGTCGTTTAGATTCGTCGATTGTGGAAGGTCAATATATTTGTTTGTTTGAATTGGGGTTAGAACATGAGTAAACTCAACTAAATTTATTAATAGCAAACACTGTTTAATGCAGTTTCCATTGAAATATAATCAATATCTGTATTAAGTAAGGTGTTTCGGTTTAGTATTCCCAATGTATTAAGATCACATTTTGTAAAATAGCCACATATTTAAAAATTATTAAATTTTAAAAGCGAATTTCAAAGTTATTTTATTTCAAGATTATTGTTTTTATCGATTTTTTAAAATTTATATATGTTACTTCCATTTGGTGAGTGTTTCTGATGTGTTATTCGTACTTTGAAGTGAATTTAACGCAAACTACGCAATATTTAATCATATTTGAAGTACCTCCAACCTAAACCAAACAAACATGTGAACAGTACTTGTCAAATGGTTGACAATTACAAAAGGTGTCAGCAGCTCCAGCAATTAGACACCTGTCACAGATGAGTAAACAGAAGCTGAATCATCCGAAACCTCCATTGAAAAACTGCCGCCTTGTTGTAACCCCTAATAAATAGAGACAGTGTTCGAGGGGGCGTATTTCTTTTTTCACTGCCAATAAATTAAGCGGCACGCGAGGGGCGTGGCGCCGCCTTTACAAGATGACCGCTTAGACGTGATTTACACAAAGTGTAACAAAACATGGGATTGATGTGGATGCTGCCACCGCAGATGTTGAAGTGCTCTAATAACAAAGACAAAAGGGGGAGTCTAGGTGGGGGAAAAGGGCTGGCAGACGGCAGTTAGATGAATGACCGAAACCGCAAACGGACCGCGGGATATACGCTCCAGTTGCCGCAGTTACCCCTCCAAACATTCAGACTTGCCAATTACTTATGCTTAACAAATTGGATTACATATCACAATGAGCGGACAACGCTCTTAACTTTTCTCTCGCGATTCATTTCGAGAAGTGGAAAATCCGTTTCCATTATTCATTTGAGTTTTGTTATATAAACCTAGATAACAGAGCTGCTTTGTACTGGATTTTAGTGAGAAAGGCAACTAACAATTACTTTAATAAAACAAAAATCAAGTATTCAATTGTTTTTTTTTACATTGCTTTTGAATGTTATGAATTTAAAATTCCTTATAAGTATAAAACAACACTATTGAAATATGACCAATGCACATTTGAATTTTCAAATAATCTAAAAATAAGTAATTAACGACACATTGCCCTACACAATTGAAATCGTTAGAAAGCTTTTTCAGCTTACATTATTTTCTGGTGCCACAATTTGTGCTTATTGAAGAGCCCCACAAGTAACATTATTGCAAACATTCAATTTGCGTCGTTGCAAATTCAATTATTCTTGGAAGAGCAGGCTTATCAATTGACTTAAGTGACATGGATATGCATTTGAAAAACAACAAACTGCAGCAATGTCAATGCCACACGAACGGCCATCGATTGGCCGGTATCTAATTAAGTACAAGAAGCACTCCGGGAAATTGATGGGTTGGAAATTGATTACATACCCGTTGCATCCTCTGATTTTCTTTATAATACCCCTTTTTTCCTTCTCCCTTCAAGGTGGGTCGTTGTACGCCTGCGGAGTGATGGGAATTTACGGGGAGGGTGAGACTCCGGGTCTGATGGACGTATTCCTATTTGCCTCCCTCATATCCGCCGTGGATCCGGTGGCTGTTTTGGCCGTATTCGAGGAGATACACGTCAATGAGATCCTGTACATTGTCGTCTTTGGCGAGTCCTTGCTGAATGATGCCGTTACGGTAAGATAGGTTTATTGATTGCGACTGTGGGCGAGATGGATATGGGCGCAATTAAGTCAACAGGTCCCCGACATGGTTAACTGAATTTGAGTCTCCCTTCTGCCCCCCAGGTTGTGATGTACCACATGATGGAGTCCTACAATGAAATTGGTTTGGATAAAATCATCGCCCAGGACATTGCCAGCGGTGTGGGTTCCTTCTTTGTGGTTGCACTGGGTGGCACTGCCATAGGTGAGTGCATATTTTCAAATCTATTTTGCTAAATTAATTAGATTTTGCATACCCAACCTATTCTGAATTTCACAGATAGAGTGAATTCGATATTATTGGTGATTCAAATTGAATGATTTATCCCAAAACACGTTTTTGCATACATAGTACTACTATTATTTCAAAACATATGCTATACATTTTTTTTTGGTATTCATCTAATGATTTGTTTTAAACTATATATTTGTATATTAAATATTAATTATTCAATTGTATTTATATTTTTTTTTAATGTCTGCAGGCATCATCTGGGGCTTCCTAACTGGTTTGGTGACCAGATTCACAGATCATGTTCGTGTCATAGAACCTATTTTCATATTCGTGATGGCTTACTTGGCCTATCTCAATGCGGAAATCTTTCACATGAGCGGCATTTTAGCGTGAGTTTTGTAAAGTAAACCCTATTTCTTATATATTTCTAATATAAATTAATCGACAGCATCACTTTTTGTGGTATAACGATGAAAAACTACGTGGAATCGAATATTTCACAAAAGTCTCATACGACTGTTAAATATGCCTTGAAGATGTTGTCCAGTTCGGCGGAGACCATTATCTTTATGTTCTTGGGTGTGGCCACTGTGAACAATAAGCACGTATGGAATACGTGGTTCGTGGTGCTGACCATTGCCTTTTGCTCTGTGTTTCGAGTTATTGGTAAATATTTTTAGATAATATTAATGTAAAACCAACTCTGCATCTATTTTAATTCATATTAATATCCGTTTAGGTGTCATTTGGCTATCAGCTCTTGCCAATCGCTTTCGCCTGCACAAATTGTCCAGGGTGGATCAGTTTGTGATGTCCTACGGTGGTTTGCGTGGTGCTGTGGCCTTTGCCCTTGTGCTGCTGGTTGATGAGAATGTGGTCAAGCAGAAGAACATGTTTGTTACCACCACGATAGCTGTGATTTACTTTACCGTCTTCTTGCAAGGCATCACCATCAAGCCACTGGTCAAGATCCTTAATGTGAAACGTGCAAACAAACGCAAGCCAACCATGAATGAGCGCATTCATGAAAGGGTTAGTTATTTACACAGTTACAAGTTAAATTTATTACCTTACTCAATAATTTTTTTCTTTTAGTTCATGGATCACTTAATGGCTGGCATTGAGGATATTGTGGGCAAGACAGGCAACTACAATGTGCGTGATAAGTTCAAGCGTTTCGACAATCGCTTCATTCGCCCGCTGCTGATCAGAGATCTCAAGGTATTATATAGAATAAAGTGGGAAAATTGAGTTTGAAATTTCTAGAAATTAGACACTAAATCTAAACCTAAACTGCCACTCAGGAAATAAATGAATTGCATTTATTGGACCATATTCCAATGCAAAGTTATGAGCGAGCATTGAACAAGAATAGACGAGGGAGTACATTCGATACAGATGAAAAGTTAAAAAGGCAGCGCCGCAAATCAAGTTTCTACTCAAAAAAAGAAGAAACCTAATACATACGAAGACAATATTTAGTAATAAGAACATTAATAAAATTCAAGTCAAGTTTTACCGATTGATTATTTTTTTCGATCCTAATTTAGGGCGCTGAGCCGAAGATCATCGAGACGTACTCCAAACTGACAATGCGCGATGCCATGGAGGTGATGAGGCGGAATCCATCCACCATTGGCCAGATGACGGGCACCGAATCAATGAGCGCCCTTTTCCGGAATTATACCAATAACTACATTGGGGGCAGGTGGGCACCGCCAACCATATACACCACCTGGTAAACGAATTTTGGATCGAACGATATCTTGCCTGTACTCACACCGAAATTATCGTATATTGCATGAGTACGAATAAATTCGAAATTAATGTAGCTAATTTTTTCCGAACTTTAGCATGAACTTGCACAAACTTTAGTTTAAACCAATTGGCCACTAACAAACTGAACACGAACACAGGTGTCACAGAAATCTCTTATTTATGTAAAGATTTTTGTGACATCTCTAACTATAGAATATCTTTCTATTACTTTATATATCTAAAATTCGTTTAACCACTTCTTTGGTTTCTAATTTAAGTAAAGATGTACCTAATATCTAATCTTATTTATGATCATCTTATACTGATGCCCGTTTGATAAATTCTTTAGTCCCAGTCTGACAAATCTAGACAATACCTGTTCGCGTAATCTGGACATGGCTGAGCTGGATTATAATCCATCCAAGAAGGATCTGACTGATGCCAGGATCCATCATCTGTTGGCCGAAGAACTGAAGCCTTATAGAAGGGTATGTATCGGACGTACATTTTCCTTTACAATTCCAATTCACGTTTTGTAATAATCAACTCTTGGTTGGATATTCTATAGCAACAAGTTTTAAAGTTAATTACCCTTAAGATTATCACCAGCCCAAAATTTCTTTTAATTTCCTTTCTTTTAATTTATATATTATATCTATATATCTATAACACTATCTTTTCGCTCTTTAGTAATCACTTAAAAGTCGTTATGACAAGTTATTCTGTAACTTCACATTCGACTTCTCTGTTCCGTTCTGTACTTTGGGCATTTAGTTTTCTCACACTTACGCTTCTGGCTCTCAATTTAAATATTTATGGCTGACTATATAAATATATGAATAATATATATATATTTCCATATAGATATATTTGTGATTAATCGTTTATTTAATTTCTTTCCCGTTGTTTCGGTACTCAACATGAACTTCTCAACTACGTGTTAAAATAAATCAAAACCGCTTCAATCTTTCGTGTGCCTAACAAATCAAAAATAAAATTTCAATTATCGTGATAAAGGCCTCAATACAAATGGTACGAATAAATTGGTTGTTTGGGTTTTGTTCTAATTAATTTGATCTGTTTCCTGGTTAATTTTGATAAACTCCTTTGAAATTAACTAATGAAAACTACTTTGTTAAATGTTACACGTTGTGTGTCTGTACTCTTTGTCTGCAAAATTCTAAATGTGTCTTCCAATTGGTGTATTAATATTTTAAACAATTCTAATTTTAAACTAATCGTTAAAATATGCTAAACTAATTTACCTCATATGCCTTGTAGAGCCACAAAGCTCTTTGTTAAAAAAAATGATTAAATACTTTCCTTAAAATATTTATTGAAAAATCATTTAATGAAAATATTTAAAATCATGCATTTTACAATTTGCAGTAATTATAAAATGGATTAGCATACGATCAATATAATACACTTTACCCTTAAAATATATCAGTTAAATATAACATAATTTTTTAATCTTAATTATTTTATTTTAAAATAAACTATGTTAAAAATTATTTTAAGACATCTATATAAAACAAGGATTTAAAAATAAAAAGTTTTGGAGATATAACTGAATAAAATGATATCCTAGGTCTCAAATAATTTAATTTTGTGTAAATTAATATTTTTAACCAAAAACTATTCTATATATTTATAAATATTTATCGTACTATCTCTTGCCAATGCTTAATATAAATGTTTATTTCAAAAATGAATGTAATGATTTACAATTAACACAGTGTATTTAGTTCAACAATTTATTTCACATTAAATATTATTATCTTACTAAAAAACACTTTTTTATGATGCACTCATTATGTTTTTGTGTCCTATTATTTTTTTAAAGTATTTCCAAATTTATTACTTTCATTTCACATTTTGTAATGTATTTTTTATTCTAACTTATCACTTAAATATAATATGTTGTGTTTACAATCGTAATCGCATAATCGTATATATATCCTAAATCTTTGAGAAAAATCTCTACTAGGCTCAGCACTTTATAAATGTTAATCTTTACTCTTAAGATGTACAAATGTTTATGGAAAGCCCTTTGAACTTACTCATGTTTATGTTAGTTAAAAGCAATTGATTATTCTTTATATACTACTTCTTTAATCGTAACTGTCTTATCCTGCAATTTAAGTAATTGCAAGACTACATCTCTCTATTAACATCATTGCGCTAGCATTTTATGATTTCGAAACTTATTTTGCTCCATCAATATTTTTACAGCACCGTCGTCTTAGTTATAGCCGACACGCAGTAGATGACAGAGATTTGTCAACCCAGGTGAGTAACTGTTCACCCAAAACACCAGCAACTTGCTTTTGCCAATTTTAAATAACTATACTTAAATTAAATCAAACTTTACTCTCTTGCAGGTCAATTACAAAATGCAAATGAACTTCAGGCGCATGTTCAACGATCGCAAGCATCACAAACGCAGCAAACGTGGGGCCAGCAATAAGGTGAGGGATCTCTTAAACATCTATTTCAAGAATCCTATTTTAATGGATATCCCCACTATCCACAGGAGGCCAAGGAGAATGTTAAGCAGAATCATGTCTCGTTCCACGATTTCCAACAAAACGGCACCACCAAGCAGCTCACCAATGGTACGGAATCGAGTTCAAACCATTCACGAAAAAAATCTTACAGAAAAAGACATACTCACAACTCACTTAACAAATATCGTAGATTAGAAATAGGTAAATGACGCTAAAATCAGCAACAAATTTTTAAACAATCGAACAGTAATTTGTTCCAGTCAAAACCATGTCCGTAGAGTTTCTCTTAAATCAATTCGTAGAATTCTATTAATGTTATTTTCTTTAAGTTTTCCTTTGTACAATGATCGGGCAACGTAAGAAGTTTAATTTCAATTTTTTAAAAAATAATTATGCGCTGTCTATTTTTATACAATTAATTTTTTGTAGTGAAAAGTGTAGTGATTTTTAAGTTTACAATACAGTTTCATGCGTCGTACTAACATATCTCCCAATACCTTTCATTTTTGTTGTCATGTAAAGCACCCTACTAAAACCAATGTTTAATTTAAATTTTCAAATTGTATATACTTGAAGAAGTAGTTTGCAAGGTAGAGCTGGCAAATCATCCTTATTCTTATCGGTTAAAGCGATAGTAACAATGTAATGATAACATGCATATGAAGTACATTCAACAATATTCTAGAATAAAGAATGTTCATCAAAAGGAACAAGCATTTGCTTTCGATGGTTTGCCAACTATTCCAGTTTAAAACTGAATACCTTACAAACTCCTTTAAGAACTATAACCCACATTAATTTGATAAGGAAAATGCCTTAAAAAATGAGTATTTAATTGGTAACTAAATTGATTTCAACCGAATCCTTTTCTTTCTTTCCTGCATCGCTCTTCCTTCCAACTGATGCCAAAAACCACACACACATTTGGCCAAAAAACCGAAACCAAAAATTGTGCACTAATCGAAAACAATAACCCAAACTGCCAAACACATACATAATTGTACAACCTGTGCCCATTTATATGTTAACTCAACTCGAACCATTTAAAGACTATATTAACAATGTGCTTAATGAAACAGCCGAGGAGTGCCAACAGAATCCCAACGAGATCAATGTTGTTGGCCCCAGCGACGATTGGGATGATGGCCTGACCTTCACCGCCAAATCATCACGTAAGTGTTCTCATTACTTCCCGCAAGTCATACGTAATTCTTAACCAATTTTTATTTTCTGTAACTAACATTTGAGTTAAGAGGTTGTCTACATTGAGCATAGGCAGCCCCTAGATGGTTATATGGCCTCTTCTCTATGTATCTTTGTTTCTCCTGCTCTGTGAGCCAGTTGTCTATACATAATCAGCAGTCATATGGCAATATCTGATATTTTCCATATCCTGGTTGTTGCTCACCTTGTTTGTTTTGTTCACACAAAAATGCCATCATTTAAATAATCGCATTTGTTTTGTTTTTGCCTTAAATGAAAGGAATCTTCAAAAGGTTTTATAAGTATTTGTACATGAATCGATTAGTTGAGTAGCTGAACAAGGTTTCTGTAGTAGGTACCTATAAATAATATTTAAATAACACAATTGTTTCAAACAAAAGATTCTTTTAATTTTTTTTGAATAAAGCTTTGCTAGTCCTATTTACTTTCTGTTTTTCGTTTTATTTTCTTATTATATTTTTGCATTTGTTTTTATCCTACCTCCTAAGGAGAACCTAATAAAAGCTATAACAACGAACTTTCTACATATTTTTTTCTTGTTTTATGCCTTCCCAATTATTTCAAAAACCAATCACTTAAAAAAAAAACAAACACAAACCGAAAAAATGTTGCTGGGCGCAAAAAAAATAAATAAAATGAATTAAAAAAAAATTACGATTAGCTGACTCGGATCGCGCCAATAACAATTCCCTGATAGCCCACATCCAAAACCTGCCGGGTTTCGATGCCTCCAAGGCGCGTATCGTCGTCCAGCATTATGCGCCCAAGGTCGACGACAGTCCGGAAACAGATCTAGATTCTCCGGATCAGGCCGTTGGGCCCACGGCCGCCGAATTGATATTGCCGTGGCGGCGGGACCGTTCATACCAGAGCATTGGTAAAAGATATCATCTCCAGATCAATCATTTCACCCGCAAACAAAGCAAAACAGCAACGACATATTCAACAATCAGTATTGAATGCTATAGATAGCTTTTCACCCATTTACATGCTTAGATTCATGGTGATATTCAGATCACAAATTCAATCGATACTTCATTCATTAATAGTTTCCCAAAGTCAAAATAATGAGAAATAAGATCCACGTTTGCTACTATTTTATGTAATTTAATAAGATTAAAATACCTATTTAATTATAATTAATTAATAATTCAAATAAATTATAAACAGAGTTTTCTGGCTTGTGTCTTATATTTACCATCTTGCAATAGTAACTGATAATAGATTAACTGATCCTTTTAAAATGAAATTCAATTTTAAGCAAACAAATATTAGGGTTCAATTAATTTTCCAAACCATTAATTTTCACACAAAACACCTTTACATTACAAAACATTAAGTGTACTTAGACCTCATTTAAAGCCAGTCATTAACTCGTCAAAGGAGCGCCTTACGCTTACTTAAATCAATCGTATTTTGTGCTCAGCACTTTGCGCGATTTGGTCGACTTTCCGTTGAGTTAATCAATTTTAGTTAATCATTTAGTGCCTAATACTATTATTTCCTTAACTTGATATAGTCTGATACCTTGATTTCCACCCTAAAAACTATTAGCCATGCTAAGTGTTGCCTAGACGTAACTGCCCATCTAATTAGTTATCATTACATTGTGTTCGTGCGTCGTTAACGTAAAATTGCTCGTAGACGGCAATTGCCATTGATTGGTAGATAATTCTAGTCCTCGAATGCAGTTTAAAGTTATAGTTGTCAAAGCTCGAAATTACCTGCATTTAGCTCCATTAACTTACCTAAAACCAATTTGAAATGACACATCAAGTTAATGATTTTATTCTTAAAATTTTTTGAAAAAAATTAAGAAACGTCAAAACAAAGCATGGCATTTTTGTGCATGACCAAATTTTGTGCTTCATTTTCTTAATTTTACTTTTATGACCATTAAAAATGCATTGAAGAATGGGAAATCAAAATGTTTAAATTTTAGCAGTTTGTATTCCTATGTACAAAGATTTATATTCTGTGGTAATATTAATGTGTTCCAAAAAGTGGATTTTGGAATTGCGATCCCTTGTAAAAACAAATGATTACCATTGTGATTGGCACAACCTTAAAAAAATTATTTTGTAACACAATTATTATTATATGTCATCAGAAAAAATCCAATAATAAGCAATGGCTTCAATCGCTTAAAAAAGTTTAAATATGAGACTCCCCTTTTATAATAAGAAGACTATAGGTTTTCATCCTTATTTCTTTACGTGATTCCTGATTTTTTCTTGGGTTGAGCGCACTTTGTTTTGTCTTATGCCCTTTGACTGTGTTCCTCTTCCATCAACTGCGCTTATGTTTTAAATCTGTTGACGATATACCCCGAATTGGCCTCCCACAAAAGCAATCGACAGCTAAAAGCGAACACTGCAGCTGAAAAATGTATGCTGCATGCCCAAGCGAAGCCAATAGAATTGAATGATATTTTCATAAAACATGATAAATTTAATGTGTATTTATATATTTAAACATTTTTATTTGCGATCTAGTGGCCGAGCATCCCATTCCTGAGGAGGATCGCAATCTGTCCCGCGAATCCGACGGAGAGAGGCGTGTGGCCACGCCCACCGCCACGGAATCCCAGCTGCCGTGGAAACGCCAAGGTGACGAATGCACGGATGCAGTGCAGCAGAACGAGTTCCCGGCTTGGGCCTCGAACAAGGAATACTTGGCCTACAATTCCCCCAGTGCAACATTCCTAGGTAATGTATGCAGACATAATTCGACGAAAGCGTTTCAAGATTATAGTTAGGGGGATGGTAAATGAGATTTCCGACATTCACACAACAATTTCCGAATGGTTATTGGGGGGCCCTCCTCTGATTGTTCTTCCTAAATTGAATATTCATGTCCTTGGTTGATTACTGTTTGTGAATTGGAAAAAAAGCTTAGGCTGCACAGAGAAAAATCATGCAAATAGTTTCTTAATCTTTTTTAGTATATCAATACGGATGTAAATCGTTTAATATTTATTAAACACAGAAAAAACATAGGCATCCAAAATCAAAAAACAATTCGTGTAATTTTTAAATATACCAAAAAATTAAACATTTTTTCTTAGAGAAGTATAAATTAAAGATAATACTAGTTAATATTTTTTCTCTGTGTAGACCCCTAGCAGATTTGTATATATCGATCTGGCTGTATATTCGTTTAAATGTATATATTTTACTCGTTTGTATTAAAGCACAAATGAAAAAATATGGTAACCGATTTTCGATGGCAAAATTGCACCCTAGTTTTTGTGTGTTTACTGATTTGTTGTTGATTTCGTTGGGATTTTCCTTAACTCTTTTGTTCTTTCTCTCTTTTCCCCGCATTGTTTTCCCTCGGTAACTGTTGCCCACACCACAACACCCCGCCACACGAAACACCACACGAACACCCTGTAAAAACCCTCTGATAACGCGCCCAACAAACCCGCAAAAAAGGTGGTATAAACAAGCCTAAACAGCCCAAGTCCGTCATAGGTCTCTTCCGTCGTGAGAGTTCCAGTTCCAAGGCCGGAAGCGTTGGCATCGGCAGCACAGGAGCCGTGGACACCGCCGCCAGTGGGTCGGATCCGATGGTTGTGCCCCTGTCCAACCAACCGCCCAACGCTCCATCGACGTCCATGCACAATCCGCGGCTGGACAAGCGCTCCCAGTCGATATCGTCTGGTTCGCTGGGCGTCGGAGCCCATCAGCTCGGTCCGGATGGTCACTCCGGTCCATTTCCGGTCACGGCCAGTCACCGCCGCAATGTCCGCAGGGGCTCCATGCTGGAGCTGAGCGGGTAAGTTCCGTGTCCACTTGGCTAGACACCTGAAAACTACACACCTAACTATTGTCTATCATTGACTTTCTGCAAATTATCATTTAGTAATTTTGTGTTTTTCTTGACTGAAATGGGTCATTTAAGAAGATTACAGTATAAAAATAAAACTTAACTTTAACTATTAAGATGGTGCTATTTTCTTACAAATAACACATTTTCTCTTTTTTATTAACTTTATTTTCGAAAACTGTATATAAGGAATGTTAATTTAAACGACTATTTATGTTTTGGTATGAATTTAATTAATTTATTTTATTTTATCAAAAGTCCTTCCTAGAAGACCCGTAAAGGACTAAAATTTTCTACTAAAATCTTTATTTTACCCAAAGCTTAAACCCCATTTCAGTTAAAAGTTTCATCATTTAAAGCTTGTATATATAATAGCTTACTAATCTTTCTTATTTGTTACCCTTAACAATTTAATATTATTTAGTAGTTTAGTTATCTATTTTCATTTTTTAGATATTTTTAGCCTTTTCATTCTAATCTGAAACATTAAAATCATCGTTAAATGATTTATAAAATGCCTTAAACAACGTGTCTGCATGAAAAACTTTTAATGCAAAGTCTTAAAAGAAATTTTTTATCATTCTGATTTTTTGTATCAATTTATTCTAAAATAATAAAACTTAAAAAGTGGTTCCTTGTGATCAAATACTAAAATTTTCAATCCTAATCAAATCGATTAGGTTATTTGAATCCATTTGTTTTTTATCCCAAAAGTATTCCCGTCTTCCTAGGACATTTTCCCGCTTTGATGTTGCTAATATCCAAATTAATTGCCCTTAGTTGCACCCTTTTTCGCAAAGTAAAAACAAAACATTGCTTAAACCTAAATTTTTCAAAAAACCATTATTCTGTTTGTGGATACTTTGTGGTTCAGCCTTGTCTGTGTCTTTTATTGTGATGAATATTTTACAGACTCATTGCAACTGGACGCAGGCCCAGTAGAATTTTGCAATTTAGTCCAGGAACAACTAATTTACTAGTGTCAGCCACGATCACAACTCCTCCTCCACCTCCTTCTACTTCAACAACAACAACTACAGTAAAAACAACAACCACATCAACCACCAAGAACAACAACACCAACAATTCAACAGAAACAACATCAGCAAGCGCGAGTAACTCGACGCCAACCTCCCCAAAATCGGAGGATAGCGCCACCTATACTTACTATCCTAAGTAATGAGCTAAACAAAATCAAAATGTCTTGAGAAATCCAAGCCGGCCATTAACGAATTTCGAACTCTGTGAACTAAGAGACAATGCTAAACTACTACATATATAGGACACATATTTTAACTCCAAATACTAACCACACCAACTTTATATACGAAATATACATATGTTTACTGTATATAGAGCCACAGATCAGAGCATATCATTGTAGAGTAACAGTCAGTCCTTGTAGGTTAATCTTTGCCAGCGATCTCTCTTTTCATCTCAGCTGGAATTGTTTCAATGTATTTAAATCAAATCCGGTGAACTTCATTTTTCGCACTCACTTAACACAGATCTCTGAACAGGACCCACAAATTTCGCCTTATTGTTCACTGTATATAACAATGAAATTAGGATGTTGTTAATTATTGGTGATAGATTGATTCAGAGCCAGGCGTTCACTTTCTACATTCAAAAAATTATGCTGGGCTGCTGGATTTAATCGATTTTTGGTTGCAGTTTTATTGATTAGCATCCATTTTTTGTATTACAGTTGAATATCACTGTAACAACCCTTAAATGTCTAAAATGTATAACAGTTATATTAATATAACAGCCCATTTTTTAAATTTATCATAGACCCTTTGTTATTCCATTATTGCTTTTAATTGTTATATGTGCGTGCTTGTTTTTAATAACGCTTTTTTGTGCAATATTGTGATCCTTATTATCATTCAGCATTCTCTTATGCAAATATATGTAACCCAATCTCTCGCCAATGCAATGCAATTTCTAAAAAATTTAAAAAGATTTATTTCACTTTATGATGTCTGCCGTGCTGTGTTTCTTTGTTTTGTGAATATTGCTACTTAAAAAAGATCAAAACAAAATTTGAACTAAAACCTTAACCAAACTAATTACTGGTTGATAAACCACATTGGTAAACAATTTGATAAAAACTTATATTTTTTAGCGGCGTCTCATTTGAATCTGATTAGTAAAAACCAAGTCGAGCACAAAGGCAGAGCAATTAACTAGCTAAACTGTCCTCTAAATGCACAAACACACACCGCATTTCTACGCACACAAACACACTGACACCAAACTGTTATACAGTTATTTTTTACACATTTGAGAGCACCTGTGATAACTTTCCTTAGTCACATTTTCTATACCTAAACGGTTTTAACCACATGAACTATGTGTAAGTATTAGACCAAGTATCTTTTTAATGTGTTATATGTATAACACTGTGCCTGGGCTCGGCACAACTAACACTCGAACCCACTTAACCCCCTACACTCTTCTCTGTGCTAATTCCAATAATTCATTTTTACTAAACTATTAATTTACATACAAAATCCGAACAGCGGTCTCAAAGAAATTGTATTGTATTTACGAAAAACGTAGAGTTAATGTAATGTAGAACTGTTATACTGTGCCTTAATCAAGTCTTCCTTATAAGCTTATCTCCATCTTCCTGTTCCATTTTAATTTGCTTAATGTAGTGCTCAAATAAAATGTATAATTTTTAAATTTTCTTCTTATTATGTGTAAGTTTTTTACAAAGTAATTTATAAATCTAACTTTATTAGCCGTAGCCTCATGCTAACATTAACCCAAAACGAATACCCAAACCAATGCATTAACCAAAATTGATCACAACTTTGACATTAACTTTCTACGCCTTCTCTTCACATCATCCCACCATCGATTACCAACCACCAACCACCTACAACCACCGCACACACCACACAACACCACCAACAGAGACACAATACCCGAGGAGTCGTCGTACCAGCATGGACACTCCAAATCCTTGTGCGAGCCGGCGGATTCGGATGACTGGGAGGGAGCACCACTTTCCACCGCCGGCGGGGCCAACAGCGAACGAATGATGAGAATGAGCGGCAGGGAACCGCTCCTGCCACGCCCCTCCAATACACCTCGCGCCCAAATCCGTCGCATGAATGCGGGAGCGGTGGGCGGGGCAGCAGTGAACCAAGCGGGCCGGAAAAACCAGGTGACAAAGGCCCTGTTGGACTACGAGGATTCCGAAACAGATTCGGAGGAAAACGATGATGATGAGGACGAGGACTTTGATTCGTACGACGACGAGAACATTGTGGTCACCACCTTTACGACACCGGCCACCGGCAGGAGATCGGGTTCCAGTCCAGGATCAGGATCGGAAGCCAACACCAGCGCAACCACTACGACGACAAGCATTCGGCTGACCCGCAACAACGACGAGAGCATTATTTGAGTATCGAGCACTGATGGTGACGCGGACGAGGAACTGGAGGATGACGGGGATCAGCCAACAGAATCACTACCACCACCCCATAATCCGAAACGTTCGAGGCGGAGTCTGTTTCCGTACGAGATGTTCTACTAACTCCGGAACACATCCCACAAACATTTATATGACCTAGTTTGTAAGCCCAAAGTTGACAGAGTTGCAAAATAGTTTTCCCCTTAAAAAATGGTTTAAAACAAACAGCTTTATATATATATACATAAAATCGGACAAAGCTAAGATATGAGAGTAGCGAAAAAATTGTATATAACACCAGATTTGAACCACAAATTAATTTCCTCTTGATCGTTTAAGTCGCTTTTTAAGATTTGTAACTTCCAGTTTGTGTTTAGTGTTTAGTCCCGTTCAATTGTTATTATGTACCACAAACGTATATATCGAAAAACCGATTTATTAATTACAGCTGATGTGTTCCAAAATAGCAAGAAAGCAAATTAATTGTGTAATAACTAACAAAGCGTAGCCAAAGTTTCTTAATAAGCCTATGACTAAAGTTAATTTCTTTGTTTTTTAATTTAGACAAAATGTACTAAATTGAGATCACATAACAATGTGTTGCTAACAGTACTTAAGCGCGTACTTAGTTCGATAAAATAGTAAAAACGCAGAGTTTAGTTCAATTTTAGCCTTAGTTAATAAAGAGTTTAAAGTATTTAATTTCTACATAGCCGCAGAGTCAGAACAAAGAATAATACAGCAAAGTTTTTCTCAGCTGAAACTGTAAGGAAAATAACTCAAACATTCATGTAATGCATTTTTAAATTATCAGGAGTGCTGATTTGAAGTCGATTAAAAGGGTGACCACACATCTATTGAAAAAATCTTGAATCTTAATGGATTGCTGTGGCACCACAGAGACAGTTGAGTAAAACTTTGGCTGACCTTAACTATAAATATACACAAATCAAGTAACTAATTGTGGACAGATAAATGGACAGAGTTATGTAATTTATAAATTATTTTTGTAAACATTTACGAGCGATAGAGATAAAAATACCAAATGGTGGAAATGTTAGAACGAGAGAGAATTTTGCGAACGATTTTGTGTGGAATGTGAGTGCATGACTAGGATTGAGATAAGCGAAGCATAAAAAGGAAATATTAATATGCTCAAAACCAAGTAAAATAAACTAGAAATAGTTGAATACAAATAAATTCACTATGCTGACGTAGATTTGAAAATGCATTAGACGAATAAGCCCTAGTTTCCAGACCGGGCCCAAGGGGAAGGAGTAAACTGAGAACACAGTAGCCAATATCCGGAATGGGATATATTCTAGAACCTACCTACCTAAAATGTTTCGGCGAAAGCAAATGGTAAATCGTGGAAATGGAACGCATACCTACCTACTATGAGTAATACAAAATATATATATTTTCTAACTCATGTGCAACGCGCCTAGTACCAAACTTTAATTTAAACAATTACCTATTACTTAAGTAGTTTGTATTCGTATTATGTTCTATCCAAGAAATGGCCTTCTGAATATGCACACCAGATCAGATAGAATTGGTTAACTTAGTTTGTTTCATATTTTATTTTGATCAGAAAGACAATAAACAGCTTCAAGATTTACGAGATCTTGGAAATTGTCATTTCAATAAATCTTTAATGGAAATACATAAAAAAAATCAGAGCTGTGTTATATTGTGAGCAGGTTTTCTATATAAACCTGAATTATTCCACTGAACTTCCTTATTTTAATATGGATTGTGGCATAAACTACTTATATATGGGAAGCTGGCTCATAAATTACTTGCTTAAGAAAACTAACATTGAATTCAATTGATACTAAATCGAAAAAGTGTTTGCAATTTTCATACCGTAGGCCTTAAGTTGTGCATACTTCAAAATTAATACAAATATTGATAGCGCAAAATAAACGAAAATTCAAAGAACACGCGATGCAAAACATAAAGAAAGAATTGTAAATTGTTAAACTGATTTTAAATACTATATAAGAAAAATTTTACTAAAAATAAAATAATGAAAAAAGCGAAATAATCTATAACGAAACTCTTCTCATTTGGTAACTGAAGGGGGGTTTTTCTTTCACCAGCATCGCCATGGGCCAAATCGTTTCTTGGGCGACTGCCAGTCGACCACCACGGTCTTGCCCACCAATTGATTGCCACTTTCCTGAAGCATGGATTTTGCCATCAACTCATTGCACTGAAACCGCACATAAGCACATCCCATAAGTTGACCATCCCGCCGCTTGGATATGTGAACCGCTTGGATAGTTCCCCGCAGCTTATTTTTGGATACGGCATCCAACTTGACATCCGATTCAGCTTCGGAACCGCGCCACTGTTGCCAGAACCGCTGGATACCTCTTAATCGTATTTCACTTGCACCGTGACCTGACTGAATCTCTGTGGGTGGAAATTTTAAAATGTAGTATAAATAACTTTTTCATTTCAAAACATACAATATGCCGAGTAAAAATCAAAAAGCATTCTGTTTGAAGTTCCTTTTTTTACATTTATTGCACCAAATATGTGTAATTTGTTATTTTCATAATTTAATTTAATATTTTTGGTTTTCCCTTTTTACTTGTCTTCTAATTATGTTTGAAACTGATATATTTCAATATGTTTTATGGTATCTTTTAGTTTTGTATTTCTCGAAGAATTCACTTTATATTTACTCGTATGCATTGTGTGTCTGCAGAAGAGTTCTCGTCGGTCCGGATTGTATATAGGTAGATATATCGATGGTCACCATTTCGCGTTTAAAGTGAGTCTCAGTGTAGGTGAGTGTGCTAATGCGTACAGAATTTGTCGTCGATAATTATTCTTAAGCATTGTTTACATTAATTAACTTTCGTAACGATTAAACAAGTACGCTTATATGAGCATTATATGTATGCAGGGGTGTATATGTGGGATTTGGAATGTACGAATATCTCAATTTAACATTTTTGCTTTGTTTTTTTCTAAAGAAATTTTAGTACTTTCTCTATATAGTATGTATATACTTAGTTTTGTGGTTCATTTTAATTTATTAGTACATATATGTGGAATCAATAATCAACCCAACATTAGCTACATAAATATGTGTTTATGCTTTTAGAATTTCCCCGCCCAGCCGCCGATAAGTCGGTATTATTTCGCCACAGATCGGTGCCTTGCGGTACTTATAACGATTCTTTACTTTGGTTTCGTTTAATAGAGCTATATACGCATAAATAGTCGTGGTATGCAATAACAAGTTACGATTAGATTAATCCATGTAAGGTGACTTTTTTGGTTATCATTTTTTGAAAGGCATTCGACAGTGTTTCTTCATAAGTATGAGATAGCGTAGATACATTTATGTGAGTGATTTTGTTAAATAGACTAAACTGCAACTAGCATAAACAGATTCGAACAGCATAACGTGGCTCTACAATATCTGACTATCATTCCAATCGAGTTTAATGAACTTCTATTTGTGGAATTTGTACATACTCAATTTTTACATCTCATCCACTCCTTTGCTTCAGATGCAGATCCTTTAAACTAACAGCAAACAATTTCAACATTCATCAATAAGACAATAGACATTAAATAAATACAATTATGGCAGTTGAGACAAGCGCTTAAAATAGTTATAAAACCAAGTATGTTACTCAAAAACAGAAGTTTATCCATTACAAAATATCATTAATATTATCAATACTGTTGCCCATATGTTATGTTTAAGCTTATGTATCTCCCGTTTTTTTTTTTCCATTTTCCTTGATGTCTTCAAAGGTTGCATTAATATATATAAGAGAATGGTCATCATGCTTAATATTTAGTTAACAATAATTCATACTTCCCTCCCATTTGTTGGTTGGTTTACTTGAAATATATACAATTATACTCGGATATTATTGGAAAACACAGAAAACCATCGTTATATATACTATATGAGTATGTGTAGTAGCATTTGGGGAAAAAAACTTTTGAATATTCTGGTTTTCGATCGATAAACATATCTAATACAACGAAACGTAATTGTCACTTAATATCCTTATGTATTTTGTAGTTTCCATATGCAGATTACTATATAAATCCTTTAAAATGTGTCTTACTTGATTTCTGTTGTATCTTTCGTTTGATTGGTTACGAACATGAGAGCAATGTTTGATTCTATGAATGATTTCAGATGAGATCTGGTTACTAATTCTATCAACAAGTTAAGGGAATTTCACACCGAAGAAGATAAACATTGTAAGAAAACGTCGTATGGTAAACTTTCAGGATGAACAATGTAAATAGCCAACTTTTAGGCTTTCTAGAATACGAATTCCGGCCAGGAGGATATTGATGCTGCTGCTGATCTTAAGATAACCCAATACTCAAGGGATCGTGTAGATTTGTTTGTCTGTTTTAATGTAAGCGAGTGCCTGATGCCGCTTAAAGGCCAAAGCCGAAGGCTCGTTATACGTTTCCTGTTGGCAATTAAAATCGAAATCGCATTTAATTGGTTTACTTTATATACAAAATACAAATAATGCAATACAAAATACAAATATGCAAACTAAATAAATACACAATTGAATTAACATACAGATTGGCTAAATGGAAAAGAGAGGGCGCCAGCAAAAAACTTAAGTGTAAATCTACAAACTAAATAATCACAATTAACAAATAGATACATCGTGGAAATATTGCAACAAATTAACACTAAACATAAGAGGGTTTTCTTTTCGAAAGCGACAAGGCAAAAACAAATAGGCATGGCTTATTCGATATCAAAATAATAGTATATGTATATGGAATGCGGAAATTAGAGAGCTAAGCTTAGCAGAGAGCTGTAACTGCAGTTGTGAGATTCACTGCTTGGTGGTGCCATTAGCTTTCGCTGGCTTACCGGACGTCACGAAGGGGCCCACATAGTTGCTGGGGAAGAGGCCAGAAAGACCGTTCAGCTCGCCACGCCACCACTCCGGCTCATCCCGACCCAGCACGCTGATGATGTCGTCCTTTTCGAACGATAGCTCGTCGTCATTTTGTGCTTTATACGGATAAAGGGCTATGACCTTGTCTGTAGGGGAAAATAATCATGATGAGTCAAATATGAAATGTAATTGCCTCATGGCCATGTTCAATACACACCCAGGATCTGCTCGGTCATCTCAATGCGGCTGCCGGAAACGGGAGTGTTGCGTCCGCTGTTGCGCCCTCCTTGGAGAACCTTCACGTAGGTGGCCGGGAACCAGCCGATCTGGCGCCGCCGTCCCTTCGCCTGAAGCTCACCTTCCCACCAGCCGGAGTCCGTCTTCTTGCGGATCATGATCAGCTGGCCCCGCGTTAGCGAGAGCTGCTCGGTGCTTGTTGCCTCATAGGGAGCGATTACTTGCGCAATCTCTGACCGCTTGGCCCGCATACCCTGGAAGATTATCACATAAATGATGCGTATTAGTCAGATGAAACTATGAATGGGGTAGTAACAGGCGGTGTCAACTATTTACGGGTGTCATGGAAGAGGTGCGTGACATGGGTCGGCTGTAGCTCTCGGCCGGCTCGCTGCTTTGTGTCTTGGACTGTGTATTGATCTGGGAAACTTCAGTGTCGAGGTCTTCATGCGTTTCCTCAGCGCCAACGCCTGGGCTTGCGATCGGCTGCTCGCACAGCTCCTCGACAGGCGGCGGCTGGAACAGCTGTTCCTGCGGCTCCACGGGAGCGGGGGCGTAGACAGCGTTGCCGTTCAGCGTCGTCTCCTGAGTCAGTGCAAGTGTAACGACAACGGTGGCAAAAAGCACAGCACATGAAAAGCATTGGATTAGTAGATGGACATGAGGGCAACGGTTAGGCACGACTCTGGGCTTTGGGATTGTGAACTCTGTATTAACTACAGTGTGGGTCAAACTAAGTCACGATTCAATTTCCAATTGTATATTTACAAATCGCAAACAAACACGTCAAAGAAAGATGGTATTTAAAAGCACATGTTAAATTGTTTTAGTGTTAGAAGAGGAATTATTAAGATTAACCTGTATAAATACGATCTACTCCCTGAGAATTTAAAAAAAAAATTTTCAAGCTAAATAAATTAGTATTTTTTGTAACCCTATCTTATTCTGAGCTAACAATTCGTAGAGTTATTGCTTGAGTTATATGCGGGTTTCTAATGTTAGCTCTGGCAATTCGTAAACAAAAATGATAACGTTAGACTTATCGATTTGTCCAATAAACGGACCCACACCAAACTACATTATTTTCCACATAGCCACATACCTGATCCAGGGTTTCAACCGATTCCACAGGCGCCGTGTTCGCCGTACCCACGTCCGCCTTCTGGACGTAGTTCGAGGGGAACATGCCGGTGCGATTGCCAATGGTGCCCGTCCACCACTCGCCCTCCTTCTTGATGACCATGACCATCTCGCCGGCACCGAAGCTAAGATCGCCCTCCTCGGCGGAATCATAAGGGTATGCGGCTATGTAGTACTCGACATCGCCGGCGGCACTAAGATCGGCAGAAGGAGCCGGAGCCGCACTGCTGGTATTGATATTGTCATTGTAGGTGTCCGCCACGGCTGCCACTTGGGCAACAACTTCCGGTTCGATGGTTGCGACGGGAGCAACCTCTCCTTCGTCCAGCTTTTCCACATAGGATTCGGGGAACCAGCCGGTGTGGCCGTTTATTTCGCCTGCCAACCATCCCGGCTCGGCGTTCTGTTCCAACGGCACCAAGATAATGTCACCAGGAACGAAAGTAATCTCCTCGGCATTGCGCGCATTAAACTCGTACACCGCCTGGTATTTCACGAATCCCTCGGGAGCCGGTCCACTCAAATCCACGGCTGGAGCTGTCACTGCGGTGACGTCGTTGCTCATACCTGCATAGGGATCGGCGGCAGTCGTTTCCGGCTCTCCCCAAGCACTAGAGCTGCCCGTGTCCCAGGCGGAGGTCACGACGGTCTCGTTCTTGCGATTATACTTCAATTCCAGCACCGAAGTACGCTGTACATCGTATTCCTTGTACAGATCCTCGCACTTGGTGAGCAGAGCAGAGAGTTCCGCCTTGAGCTCAGACATCTGTCCGTCGTTAGAGTTGATGTCCTCCTTCTTTGACTCAATCTCCTTGCTAATGTTCTCGACTTTATCTTTGATTTGGTTAATCAGCAGCTGTTTAAGAAAAAATAAATCATACAATGTATCCAATGAATAAACTCATAAAGTATGTAATGTATCTGACATCCTAGTAGAACCTCACCTGCTTATGGGCAAAGGCTGCATTCAGTTGCTCCTGCTGCGCATTCTCTCCACCCATGGCAACGCCACTGGCCTTGCTCTTGGCATCCCACTTGGCGCGCTCCTGTGTGAGCTGCAGCAGCTTGGCGTTCTGCTCCTTGATGCGCGTCTTCAGCTGTGACATTTCGGTCATGGAAGTGTCGCGCTGGGTGCGCATGCCATCGATTACGGTCTTTACATTGGTCACCCCCGCGCGAGTATCGCAAATCCTCTGCGAAAGATCCTTGATCTGCAATTATTCCGGATTAATTATGTTGGGTCATTTATATATTCCGAAGATATGAATAATTTCTAACAGGGCCTAACCTTCTCATTTAGTGTGCTCAGCTCCACATTAAGCTGGGTGTTGTGTGCCTTCTGCTTGAGGACTCGCTCCTGTTCCCTCTCCTTCTGTGCGTTCATTTCAGCAATTCTAGCCTGCTCCCACTCCTGCTGGCGCTGCTTCTCCAGCTCCCTAAGGATATATGAAGTCAATAATAAATTGTGATTCAAAGCATAATCGAATTACTCACTTCCTGGCCGTCTCCTTGGCTTCCAGTTCCCGCTTGCGCTGTTCCTCCTTCTCCATCTCGATCTCTCGCTGGAGCTGAAGCTGCCGCTCCAGTTCCTCCTGTTGCTTACGCTCGGCCTCCAAGCGAGCCTTCTCGCGCTTATCAGCCTCGTCCCGCTCCTTTCGCTCCCGCTCCTCCCGCTCCTTGCGTTGCTGATCCTCTATGATCTTGCGCCTCCGATCGAGCTCGGCTTGACCCTTTACATAGTTTTCCTTGCGCTTGTCCTCAAAAGAAGCTGAAACATAAGGGAACCGAAATAGTAATTTTACGTAAATTATATTTAAAGTAACATAATGGTCACCACAAATCATGACTGTTTTTAATCTGAGACAAAGAACTTACTTTGTCCGGGCAGTCCGGCTGTTGGGTCAGCATCCACGGCTCCAACTCCGCCCTGCGAAGACACGGAGGCGTGTCGGGAGGTGGGCTGCGATCCTGGTCGCGATACTACCCCAGAGACTGAGCCCGGTCGTGACTTGATCTTGCGCAAGTTGGGGGGCACCCAGTCTTGGGGCAAGGTCACGGGAATTTTCTCACCGGCCATGGCCTTCTCGCACAGGAACATGGCCAAAATAAACTCGTCGCAGTTGAGCCGCCCATCGCCGTCGATATCGGACAGCGTCCAGATCTGAGCCAGCGTTACCTGAGGCAGCTTGCTCTGCACCAGAACGCCACGTGCCTGGGCACCGGTCAAGAAGCCAGATCGAGTACGATCGTTGGCATTAAACACCTGCGTGTATTTGCGCTTCTGTGCAGCTTGAACGGCCCATTCTCCTTGTCTGCAAAGAGTAAGAGCATACAATTAGTATAATCAAATAAAATAAAACGTTTACTTTTGTAAAATAAGATTTCTTAGATCGTTTCTTCTTTCTATAAGCTTTTTGTCCTCCTTTAATAATGCCTATAACTTAGCAAAAATACTCATACCTATATTTGGTAACTTATAATCTGCATGAGTTAATAAATACTAATATTTATTATTTATTTAAAATTTGAAGTATCTTATTTTTGTCCCATAATTGTTGTAATAATATGGGTATTAATATTTATTTTATATCGGATTCATTTAGCCAGTTTTTCGTAGCCAGTTTTGGTAAAATTGAGGAAAAAATCGGAAAAGTGATTAGTTTCGGAAAAACAAAAGAAAAACCAACATATATCTACTTGTTTAAATTCTGTTGTTGTGTCTACTTCTACCAGTTCGTAAAATTGCTGAGTTTGCATGAGTTTTTAAAACTTTTATACTGTCGATTTGATTCCAAAAAATGCTTACATAGACTCGATGGATGGTGCTCGCTCCGAAACGGACATGTGACGACTGGGTGGGTTGCTGGAGGGCGGCGTGGGGCCAGCGGGAATCTTAACCAGGTCCACGACACCGGGTGGCGAGATGACAGGAGCCGGCGCGACCGGAGGAGGAGCCACCACGGGTGCGGGAACCACTGCGGCTACTGGGGGAACCATTCCCTTGAGCGGATCCATTGGGCTCATGGAGCTTGTGGAACCACGTGGCGTCATCGAGGGCGTCTTTTGGCCATCCCCAGTAAGGGAAGCCAGCAGACTGGGCGGCAAGACCTTCGGTACGTCCATGCCCCGCAGCTTGAGATTAATCAGCTTGCAGGCTATGCTAAACTCGTTAATGTTCATCTTGCCATCGGAATCGGTGTCCGCCAGAGCCCTGCAGATAAGCGGATGAGTAAGTATAGAAGCTCTTATCGCTGGATGAGTCAGGGGGCGTCTCATGTATGTATATACTCACCAGATCTGGCCCAGGATCAGTGGCGGCAGCTGGGACTGCAGGAAGAATCCTTTGGCCTGGGCACCGGTCACGAATCCTGCCTGTGGCTGGAGTGCCTTAAACTGCTCCTGGTACTTTATTCGTTCCCTCGGGGTCACCGCCCACGCATCCACCGCCGGATTCATTTTGGCCAAAACACACACTTTATCTTTATCCTAGTTTCCCTAGAAAGCTCTTCCTCTTTCTCTTCCTCGTTTTCGTCCTTTTTGCCCGCGTGTGTGTGTATTGCGCGAAAGCGACTGAGTGTGTGTGGGTATTTAGTGCGCTCTCTTCGCCCGCTTTTGAGTACACATCAAATACATGCTCTTCGCTCTCGACGGTCTCTTTCACTCTCTTCACCGCTCTCTTTACTACGAGTATCGCCTATTGAGTATCGTATCCGTTTTGGCACCCACCACCCCACAAATTTTCACAATGGATTTTTATGGTTTACCTGCAATGGAATTGCAAAAATTATTAACCGATCACATATGTATATGGTAAAATATCGTATCGAATGGAAGCAATTCGTTTGGGAACGCTTTTTGTTTTTTGCCTTTAGTAGGCGTTTCACTCGGCAAGGGGTCAGAGCCACCAATTGCTGATAAACAATGCTCTGCTGACCGCACTGCAAGAGCGTTAGCTTTTCCCTTATCTAACCCTTTTATCGGCAATTTTAAGGCTTACTTTGCATTGGAACAGGAAAATTTTGCATTTGCGTAAATTTTATTTCAATCAATAGTCGGAACCAGTGTGACCGTCACTTGTTTTTGTGAATTTCATTGGCAAGTGTTAGAAAACGTGACTAAGTGTGGCTGTTTTTCATCAATGTGGCTAAGATAACGGTTACTGCTAATTTGTTGTTAAACATTATATTTCAAAAAGTGATTTGCCTAATTATTTTTAATTATTGTATAGTATAAAGCCGAGAAAATTCCCAAGTATCATTAAAAAACATAAGACATCAAATGTAATGTTATTGCCTCCACAAAACCATGTTTTAAAAACTTTGAAAAAAGCTGTTATAAGAAAGTGACCATTTTACCAGGCATATACAACTAATATCACGAAAGGAAAGTAAAATGTAAAAGCTTTTTAGTGAAAAAAGCAATTTATTATAATTATTATTTCTTATTTTCTTATCCTCTGAACATTTCCTCTAAACTCGAAGCACAAAGATGTCGGCCGACGTTCGTTATTTTGGTCGAATGCTTCAAAGATGATCTTGGCCATATAACGTCCATGAAGAGGAGGGCCAATTATGTTCTCAGCACGTAATTTCAAAAGGAATGGGTTATAAGCCAACACGGTCTGAAAAATCAAATCATTCCTAATCGAATTAAGGCATATACATAAATTACCATGCTCACATCTTTTGTTGTTAGACACTTTTCCTTTATCTCCTCCTCGTTTAAAAGGTTTCTGAACCACGAGTTATGCCAGTAAGTATTCTTGTCAAAAATCGCAGTGCAAAGGTCCCGTGTGAGTACGTTGAATACCGTCGGTTCCCAGGTACCACGATTATGGTGAAAAATACTCACCTTAGCCTGCAAATTTAATATAATCTTAACTTAAGTTGCTCTCATTCAAGAAGGAGGGTATTACTTGAAGACGATCTGTTCTTGGAAAATTCCATAAGGTTGTGGCATTTCCCGATACGTAAATGCCTTCGGGAACCAACTCGACCACCAAGTCGTCCAAGTAGAAAGCTTCGGTCACGGGAATCGATCCGGGTGGGCCGTCCGTGCATGGTAAAAATGAGTCCTCCGCGATCGCCATGTAGTCAGCGGCGTGAATTTCGGACAAGCACACGACTAGAATCAGCAGAATTGTAAACATTTTTGTTTGCCGACATATCGTGCACCCGACCTTATATAGTGACTGGTTAATTATAGGTAATTACGGATTAACATTTGAATGTCCGTAATCCCAGATGTCATCGCGCATTCTTTACGCACGTAGCAACATTGTTATTACAATAAAATGAACAAAAAACAAGAAAGGAAAGCTAACTTCGGGCAGAGCCGAAGTTGATATACCCTTGCAGAATATTCTATAAATTTTATTCTCCAAACTTATTCATATGATGCATTCTTAATACTCATAAAAAGTCCCAACTTCCTAACTTAAAAAACACCAAAGTTATGACATTTCCAATCGTTCTGTTATATGGCAGCTATAAGATATAGTCAGCCGATCCTTATGAAATTTAGTAGGTCGGATTGATTGGCCAAAAATAAAACCCATAGAAAATCCCAACTTCCTAACTTTAAAAACACCAAAGTTATGGCTTTTCCGATCGTTCAGTTATATGGCAGCTATATGATATAGTGGCCCGATCCGGCTCGTTCCGACTTATATACTACCTGCAATAGAAAGACAACTTTTGGGAAAGTTTCAAGCAGATAGCTTTAAAACTGAGGGACTAGATTGCGTAGAAACGGACGGACAGACGGACGGACAGACGGACGGACGGACAGACGGACATGGCTAGATCGACTCTCCTGGTGATGCTGATCAAGAATATATATACTTTATAGGGTCGGACATGTCTCCTTCACTGCGTTGCAAACTTTTGACTGAAATTATAATACCCTCTGCAAGGGTATAAACATAAATTCAACCAATGTGTCTAGAGAGTATTTGTATAGAGTATTTGTTATTTATCTGCTAAAAAAAAAAATTTCTTTTTGAAAAGAAGTTTTGAATGGAAAAAATGCATAAGCAACTTATTTTAACTATATATGTTTAAAAAAGGACAACCTTTCAAATAACAGGTCTTGTAATATTAAATTCATCTTTTTTATTACCATTATTATAATAAATATGAGTGCCTCAGTCTAAGCATATTTTTTACATTGAACAGATCATGCATCTAGACGATCGAAAACAAAAAGCTATTAGGAAAAGAAATAGGGCACGTAAATTACCAATTTCTACATCATTAACCAATACAAACAACTCTTTTAACTCCGCTAATAATGCTGATACCAAGATTTCAATGTAAAAACAATAAATGTTTTTTAACTTTAAATCAAATCTTTAATGTATATATTTCTGGCGGCAATAATTTACGGTTGTGGTTATCGATTAGTCGCCCATATTAATCGTAAGGCTGATTATTTTGGCGCTCATGTTGTGGTCACACTGTTTCATGGAAAATTAAATAAAATTATGAATAAATAGTTGTGCTCAAAGAAACTATGTGTTCCAAACGTAAATTAAGTTTTCCCTTTGAGGGTGATGATCAGCAGGAGAACAGTCCGGAATGTGCAGCTCCAAGGACCAAACAACATTTTCTATCAAAGGATCATAGCTTAACAAGAGCCAATGAACGAAGTGTTTTGGTGGAGTCTGCGTCCCCCCATCGCAGGAATACTCCGTCCAGGTTCGAGGCGAATTGGCAGGCGCTAAAGAAGTCCGGAATCAGCAGCACTCAGCCAGATTCGCCCGGGGACACCAGTTTCTCCACATGTTCCCTGTTTATGAACACCAGTTTTACGGGAACAAAGCGAAGAGCCAAAGCCTTGCCCATCGTTTTCCAGAATTCCCCAAGGACTCTTCTTCGGAGTCCGACTAAAGAGCTCAGGCCATCCTCTTCATTCCAGACTTCGTGGAAAGCATTAAAAAGCTTTCACTCACTGAACGAATCTAGCTGCACAGATTTGTCCGAGGATAACTACATGGAATCTTCATCACTGCCAGTTACCCAACTTGTGCCGGATCAAAGTGCAAAGCAGTACCTGCCAACTAGCCAGAAGAATGGCAGTTCAAAGCAAAAGCTTCGTTTCGTTAAAGATGGATATGCCGACCATTTCCGGCGAATTCTGAAAAATAGGCGCATGGATCAGCGTCATCTGAATAACAGGAAAGCCACACACACTGTTCAAGTTGTGGCTATTTCAAAGGAGTGTGGTCTTTCCTTGGCTTTAGTCGCACCTGAAAGCGGGACCAACTTCAATATTCTACTTCAAAAGAACCAGTTAGGACTGCTTAAAATTGGCACCAGATTACAATTCTATCTGGATCCAAACAGTAAGCCCTTGCAGCTAAAAAACAAACAATTGGTCTACTTACGTCCGCACAATATAATTGTATTATAAAGATTAGTATAGAGTATATTTATAAAATAGAATTAAAAGGGACGGATTTGTATAAGTCATTAAAGCCAGCGAAGGCTAATTTTGTTCATCAGCATATGTATGCCATGTACTTATGGTTGCATATTTATAATATTTAAGAAACTTTACTATCTGTAAATAATTGAACTTTGTGATTACACTAATGTATACTCACCGACTTAAAAAGTAAAGTACGGTAAAGTTAGGAAGTACCAAGTAGAAATAGAAGAAAATATCAGTCTTGTAGAATTCAGGAAGAGAAAACGGTTCACCAGCATACCGACTTCTCCTGGAGTAAGTTTCCATGGATGCGTTGCGCCAGAAATCTGTAATCAATAAATATTTTCAACAGTGATTCCACAAAGTTAATGACTCAATTCAAACCTCATTGCGTGCGAGGGCACAGCTGCCACAAACAGTAGGAACAATACATTTCCCAGGTCATCCGTATGGGCATAGCACTTGTGGTAATCCGAGCAGCTATATTGATCTATCAACATACTTTTATTGTTCGAAGACTCCGCCTCAAATTGATGCACTGCATCCATGGTCTGATCAAAGAACTTCTTAAGTATGTCCAAGCGTTGCAAGTCGCCCACAATGATGCGTTTGACACTCGCCGACTGGTTGAGATTCCTGGTGAAGAGGCTCTTTCGCGAGTGCCTGTTGATCAGAATGATGGCCAGCACATTGCCATCTATGTCCAGGTGTTCTGGCAAGCTGCGCGGCACACAGCGCTCGGCGGCCGCCAGAAGGTTGCCCTCATTCCTATAGGCACTCATGGCATGGGCATGCAGCTCCCGAAAGGAGGCATTCTCAGCCCCGCACAGGACACAAAGGGCACTGTTCGAGGCTACGGGAATGCTGACAAATCGATAGGCTATGTGGGGACTCTTTACGGGCAGATAGACGGGCACATCGTGCTGCAGCGTGCTGGATGAGTTGAGCAGGAACAGCAGGAGTTCCCGATCGCGAGTGTCCAGATCCCACCAGCCTTCGGTGGCCACAGCGATGCGATGTCCCACCACCAGGCAGCAGAAGAGCGAGCCGCAGTGACCGCTAAACTCGTTGAGGCACTGCAGCAACTGAGCGTTCTCCGACGCCAGCAGACAGTCGGTGTAGCCGAGGAGCTGTGTGCCTGCGCAGGCCGCCTCTAAAATGGCGTCCACAATGGGCACATACTTCTTGGCGTCCTTCTTTAGTCGCTCTAGCAGCGTGGCATGTGCCATCTCCGAGGAGCGTGTAATGAACATGCCAATCGCTCCGAAGACCAGGTCCGCCAGCGTCTGCAGCAGCTGCTCCGAACCCACTCCGCAGCCGCAGACGATCAGGGTGATGGCATTACTGTCCCGCCAAATGTACGTCCACTCCTCCACGTCCGCTGGAGCCTGGTTCTGGCTAGGCTGCTGCTTGGTGGTCGTGGTGGCCTCAAGTTGGATGCCCAGTGATTTGAAGAACATGTGAAAGCCGTTGAGGGAGGCCACAGTGGAAAAGGGCAGCTGGAAGAGTTCGGCGGTTATTCATTGGCCGCACTTATTTTTCTCCTTATTCACACTTACATTTTCGCATTCTCCCTTCTTGCGTGTGAACACGGGGAGTCCACCATTTGTTGTCAAACATAACAAATAAATAGACATTGCCTTCCCACTTGCAAGTTGCAACGTATGCAGTGTGACCACTGTTTGATCGTTCAAATATACCAACCGGCTTATGAGAACATACTGAAATTTATTTATAATTTAATATTGTAGATAAAATCAATTAAAATTAATTTTTTATAACTCATTTTAAATACATATTAATTTTCATTTATTTTATCAACATGTACAAAGTATGTACAACCTTTGAGAAAATTATTTTATTGATATTTTAATTTTATTTATGATATTTTATTTTATTTTTTTTTATTAATTAAAATTAAGAACCCAATATTTTATTTTAAAAGTTTACTTAAGTCGGTTCTTACAATTTTTTTTGACACAGCCAGTTGCACTCAGTTTAGTAAAATACCTAATTTAAACATGAAACAGTCTGATAATTTTGTAAAATACGAATTTAAAATTTAACTTAAATATTTGTTAAACAAAAACTACAATTAATAATGAATGGAAGTCATTATGGTCGCACCTTAAACGTATATTTCAACTAATCTACAACTATTATTATAAATATTTTTTGTTTAAGCAGACAATTGAAATAACGAAATAAATAAAGAAATAAAATCGGACTGGCGTCTAGCTTAATCGTATTCAGATTCACAAAACAGGTATTTTTTGTGTATTTTATAATTTCTTTTTAACAAAATTTTAAAATTTTTGAAATCTTTTAACTCATTTGCTCCTTAATTACAATAGTTTTAAAATTTCAAAATGAACATTAAAATTTTTAATTATTTTTCTGAAATTTTTAATTTTTAATTTTTTGTCTGCACACTATTGCGATCTAATAAGTATTTAAATAATATTAATATTAAATATTAACGTTAACCTATCGATAGCAGAAGTACACCTATCGATATTACTTCGTGCAAGTCTGTGCACCAGGGCTGCAGACATATGTTTTCACCAATTCAACGACACCGCAATACGGCCACACTGTTCACACAAATTGCATTTCGCATTGTCCGTCGTCGTCGTTTTCACACGCTGCTCTTTTCTGGAATCGGAAAAAGGTAAGCTGGATATGTGGATAGCATAGATATGTTTGCCAAGTTCAACAAGCGGCATTACTGGGGCGTACAAAAAGCCCCAAAAGTTTCGAAATGCCGCCGCAGTCGCTCGCATTTGCGGCGGCGATGCGTTCGCCTGAGCCTGTGTGCGTATGTGTGGTGTGCCGAGCGCTTGCATGTGTTAGTGTGCGAAAAAGTGTAAGCGCGCGCAGGCAGTAAGCGTGCGCTTGTAGTTGTGTGTTCCAAAAAATGAAATAAGAAAATAAAAAAGAAATATGGATGCCCGTCGTCAGTACGCAATGTAACTAACGATCTTTTTCGCAGCTCCAGGTCCAGTCCCGGCACCAGATCCAGATCCCGATCCAGATCGAGAGTCGCCTCTCCTCACCGTCATCACAGCGAAGAAGAAGAAGAAGAGGTAGCAGCAGCAGCAAAAGCCGCCGCACATTTCCACTCGCTTCAAAAAAGAAGGGAAAAGAAATCGTGAAATCCCAGCTCATCCGACGGAGGAGGAAGCGAAGAAGCTATCAAAATTAACGCGGACACAGCTGCCGAGCGACGCAGACGCGAACGCCGCTTCTACTACAAAGCGATGGCGACAATGTTGACATCGGATGAGGCGAGCAAGTTGCTGGACTTCACCCAAAAGCTGGACATCAATCTTCTGGATAAGATCGTCGAGGTGGTGTACACAGCCCAGGGCGAACAGCTGCGACTTGCCCAGAGCATACTGACCACGCTGAAAGAGCACCCCGAAGCATGGACGCGGGTAGACAGCATTTTGGAGTACTCACAGAACCAGCGGACCAAGTTCTATGCTCTGCAAATCCTCGAGGAGGTGATCAAGACACGGTGGAAGGTCCTGCCGCGCAACCAGTGCGAGGGCATCAAGAAGTACGTGGTCAGCCTGATCATCAAGACCTCGTCGGATCCGAATGTCATGGAGCAGAACAAGGTGTATCTGAACAAGCTTAATATGATTCTGGTGCATATCCTGAAGCGCGAATGGCCGCGCAACTGGGAGACATTCATTAGTGACATTGTCGGTGCGTCCAAGACAAACGAGAGCCTGTGCATGAACAACATGGTCATCCTGAAGAACCTCAGCGAGGAAGTGTTTGACTTTTCGCAGGGCCAAATCACGCAGACGAAGGCCAAGCACCTAAAGGACACCATGTGTTCGGAGTTTTCGCAGATCTTCACGCTCTGCTCCTTCGTTCTGGATAACTCGATGAACGCCGCGCTGATCCACGTTACGCTGGAGACTCTACTGCGGTTTCTCAACTGGATCCCGCTGGGCTACATCTTTGAAACGCAGCAAATCGAGACGCTGATATTCAAGTTCCTCAGCGTGCCCATGTTCAGGAATGTGACTCTGAAGTGCCTGTCGGAGATCGCCGGCCTTACGGCGACCAACTACGACGATAATTTCGCGACGCTCTTCAAGGACACGATGGTGCAGCTGGACCAGATCGTCGGCCAGAACATGAACATGAACCACGTGTTTAAGCACGGCTCCGACACGGAGCAGGAGCTGGTTCTTAACCTGGCCATGTTCCTGTGCACCTTCCTTAAGGAGCACGGCAAACTGGTGGAGGATACCAAGTATGTGAACTACCTGAACCAGGCGCTTATGTATCTGGTGATGATCAGCGAGGTGGAGGACGTGGAGGTGTTTAAGATTTGCTTGGAGTACTGGAACAGCCTGGTCGAGGACCTGTACAACTCTGAGTTTTTCCACCCCACTCTAGAATCCTCAAAGAGGCAGCAGGTCTATCCCCGGCGACGCTTCTACGCCCCCATCTTGTCTAAAGTGCGATTCATCATGATATCGCGCATGGCCAAGCCGGAGGAGGTGCTGGTGGTGGAGAACGAGAACGGGGAGGTGGTGCGCGAGTTCATGAAGGACACCAACTCGATCAACCTGTACAAGAACATGCGCGAAACGCTGGTCTTTCTCACCCATTTGGACTCTGTGGACACGGACCGCATCATGACGCTGAAGCTGCTTAATCAGGTGAACGGATCGGAATTCTCATGGAAGAACCTGAACACGCTGTGCTGGGCCATTGGTTCCATATCTGGTGAGCCATTTTCTGGGTTTTCTTCTCCCAAAACATTACTTGGTTTTTAGCCATTTTAAAAGTCAGTAATATTTATTTTCTCAATTGATCAAATGTAATGTATGTATTGTAATTTACTAATATCAACCGAACTATTTGGTTTCGTTTCCCTCCTTTAGGTGCTTTTTGTGAGGAGGACGAAAAACGGTTCCTGGTCACCGTTATAAAGGATCTGCTAGGCCTGTGCGAACAGAAGAAGGGAAAGGACAACAAGGCCATCATTGCCTCCAACATCATGTACGTGGTGGGTCAGTATCCCCGCTTCCTGCGGGCCCACTGGAAATTCCTCAAGACGGTGGTAAACAAACTCTTCGAATTTATGCACGAGACGCACGATGGTGTTCAGGACATGGCTTGCGACACGTTTATTAAGATTGCCATTAAGTGCCGCCGCTACTTTGTCACCATCCAGCCGAATGAGGCTTGCACATTTATTGACGAGATTCTCACCACAATGAGCAGCATCATTTGTGATCTGCAGCCACAGCAGGTAAGATGGAATAAAATATTTTAGTATATTTTATAAAAACATTTAAATAGTAAGGCTACTGTAGAACTAACAAATACATTTTCTTACAATTCAAATTTTACTTTAGGTACACACTTTCTATGAAGCTGTCGGCTACATGATCTCCGCCCAGGTGGATCAGATGCAGCAGGATGCGCTCATCGAGAGGTATATGCAACTGCCCAATCAGGTGTGGGATGACATCATATCGCGCGCCTCGAAGAACGTCGACTTCCTGAAGAACATGACCGCTGTCAAGCAGCTGGGCAGCATCCTTAAAACGAACGTGGCTGCCTGCAAGGCCCTTGGACACGCGTACGTCATTCAACTTGGCCGCATATATCTGGACATGTTGAATGTGTACAAAATAACCTCTGAAAACATCATCCAAGCCATCGAGGTGAACGGCGTCAATGTGAACAATCAGCCCCTGATCAAGACCATGCATGTGGTGAAGAAGGAGACGCTTAACTTGATATCCGAGTGGGTGTCTCGCTCCAACGATAATCAGTTGGTGATGGACAACTTCATACCGCCTTTGCTGGACGCTATATTATTAGATTATCAGGTAAGGTCTAGAAAGTAACATCCAAAGACTAAGAATATATCTATTCTTCTTTACAATTAACTTGACAACCAAAAACTAATTCAATTTTCTTAAAATATTTATACACTTATAACAATGTTTAAATGTAACAATAATTTTAATGAAGGATAACTGATGTCTTTTTTTCTGTAGCGCTGCAAAGTTCCATCGGCACGCGAGCCAAAGGTTTTGAGTGCGATGGCAACCATTGTGCATAAATTGCGCCAGCATATCACAAATGAAGTACCAAAAATATTCGACGCCGTTTTCGAGTGCACGCTGGACATGATCAACAAGAACTTCGAGGACTTTCCCCAACATCGACTCAGCTTCTACGAGCTTCTACAGGCGGTCAATGCGCACTGCTTTAAGGCGTTCCTCAATATACCGCCTGCTCAGTTTAAACTGGTCTTTGACTCGGTGGTGTGGGCCTTTAAGCATACCATGCGCAATGTGGCCGACATGGGATTAAATATCCTCTTTAAGGTTAATATTTCTTTATCAACGCAGACATAGTTTACCTCCTCAAACAAAATTGCACATATTTCAATATTAATGTGGTCTCTTTAATTGCAGATGCTCCAAAATCTTGACCAGCATCCGGGTGCGGCGCAGAGCTTCTACCAGACGTACTTCACGGATATTCTGATGCAAATCTTCTCAGTGGTCACCGACACCTCCCACACGGCTGGTCTGCCCAATCATGCCATCATTCTGGCATACATGTTCTCACTGGTGGAGAATAGGAAGATTACGGTAGACCTGGGGCCGATACCGGATAATATGATATTCATACAGGAATATGTTGCGTCCCTGCTGAAATCGGCATTCAATCATCTATCCGATAACCAGATCAAAGTCTTTGTCACTGGCCTTTTCAATTTAGACGAGAATGTGCAAGCATTTAAGGAGCATTTGAGAGATTTTCTTATACAGATTCGCGTGAGTATTTAAGAAATTTATATTAACGCGTTTAATGTGCTTTTAGGCAGCCTGCTTGCCAACACTATTTAGCCAGATATCTAAATGGTTTTCCAAGCTGATACTGCTTCTTTTTCATCAAGTTATTATTGAAAAAAGAAAATGAAAAAGAACACGTTTTTTATCTGACTAAAAAATTTGGTTATTAATCAATGTGTAATTACAGGAGGCCACTGGCGAGGACGATTCTGATCTGTATTTGGAGGAGCGTGAAGCGGCTTTGGCCGAAGAGCAGTCCAACAAGCATCAGATGCAGCGTAATATTCCAGGCATGTTGAATCCGCACGAGTTGCCCGAGGATATGCAGGACGAATAGATGTCGATGTCGATGTCCCAGAGCTAGAATGTTTTAGTTGATGCTTGAGAATGATGATATGAGGATGGTGATGTATGAGTGTTTCTCAAGCGAGAAAGAGTATAAATGTTTGTTTGATTGAATGCATATAAGTACGTTATATATATAAATACACCCACACACGACCCCACACACACATGCATACACATACACCTATACAGATATAGTTGCGTTAAATGGTGAATGAGTAAATGGTTATTCGTGCGCAATTACATACATTAATATGATTAACATATTTTTGCGCATTGTCCTCGACTTACCAGCATAAATAAGAAGCCCAACCAGTTCCCAATTCCCGCCCTTTATCCACATTATGTAGTTGTAAAACATCATACTAAAGCGATGCGAAAGATGCAAACTTTATCGTACTAATATAAAAAAATGTTTGTTTGGAATTTTTTAAATGAGTAATTGTAGAAATATCGAGTATGAATGAATATTTGAGCAAATACAAATACACCTCTCCCCACATAAACATGAGCAAAAGAAACAACAATAAGATGAAAAGAAACCTAAAATAAAAAAATAAATTGTAGTGACTTAAACAGTTCAGGAGCAGCAGAAGTAACAAAATTATATGCAATCGTTTTGCATAAATTTAGCATTAACACGACGAAGAAGACGATGAACACAATAAGGAGATGATCAAGAAACAAGCATCATAACCAGAATAGAGATCATGCAATGTGTGAACATGTGTGAAAATAGAACTAAAACGCAAATACCCAAAACACAAATACATAAAAAAAAAACAAAAATAACCATAGTAATGCGTATTAATGATCATGTTTAAATTTTTACATAATTAGTTTGTACATTAATTTAAATAAAAATCAATTAAAACTACATTGATGTATGATGCAAAGCCATATTCACGTTTTAATTATCTGCGCTTGGTTATCAACTAGATGTGGATATGATAGAATTTCACAACTTATTCAAAAATGAATCACTTCTTTTATAATAGTAAATTATATTCGAATGGAAATCTAAATCAATCTACATTTCACTTAAAGAAAGTTTTTTAAGTTTTAATAAATAATTTGGCGGTGCGTACATTTTTCAACAAAAACAAACAGGCAAAACAAATTAAAAGCAAAAAGCTATTCAATATCAACTTCAACAAACCCAACCCTTTAATGTTTTTCCGATTATTCTAAGATAGGATTTAAAAGAAACTTTTATTAATATTATTTAAAGTCAAGCTTACAGAGATTTTAATGAATCATTTAAATTTGGCAGTCATACAGGTGATTAAAATAAAAATGTTTGTTATTTGGGACCCAATTTTCGTGGGATCGACAATCTATTGTTGTGTAGAAATTGCGAGTCCTTTGAGTAGACTTTCCAGGTCTCAAAAATGTTGTTTGAAATGAGCCAGGTATTGCCAATTGGCTTAAGAGGATAAATGTCGGTTTTGTTGCTAAAAGGCAACTCAATTCGCTGCGACACTTTCTGTTTAAAAGCGGTGCCGTTGAACGGTCGCTGGGAGTGCAGAGCCACGGTCACATCTTCCAGGAAAAGACTCCATCGTGGCATGTAGTAATCCCTAACCAATCCTGACCATTGCTTGCAGGCGTAATCAAGGATCTGACCCTCGGGACCCCAGGCGGTGATTTGGTTTCTGGCATTAAATTCAAAGTTGCTTTGATCCACAGCATTTGGTGCCGCCCGCTTAGCTTGTTCCAGCCAGCTGCCTAACAAAAAGTTCCTACCGCTGGCCAAGATCTGCTCCATATCATCAAACAGATTCATGAGCTTGGAGCTGAGGTACTCAAATCGCAAAACCTGTCGCTTTCTGTAGGCCGATTTCAGATTAATATATAGCTGATCCGCGCTGATTTGCAGGAATTGCCTGGTTATGTCAATCAAATCGTGCTCATAGATGTCGTATCTATCGTCCTCCAGAGGAATGATGGCCCTTGACGAGAGTAGCAGGTGCCAGGCGTCCAGAACTTCGCTTGCGTTATACCAAGTGAACGGGTCCTGGGTGAAGGATGGTCTCCGCGTCACCACATACTGCCCTCGCATTTTCTGCAAACCATGGAACGAGTATACACTATTCTTTAACAGTACCCAAGCCCGCTCCAGTCGCTCATCGTTTACGCCATAACGTGTGTGTGAGAAGTTCCTGAACCAGCTATCCAAATCCAATGATGAATCACTCCATCCGCGCTCCAAAGCCAAGGAATACATCACATAGTTCTGACCAATGCCCTCGGGAGTGATGCCGGTACCAACCACACTGCTTTTGGGCATCCGACGGGCAGTCTCGATTCCGGAATTGATCAGCTTGGCGGATCCGAACATCCCAAGGGTACCACCAAAATTGTGGAGCATGCACCATATAAAAGGTTGACCAAAGTATGAGTGTGTCAGCTCGTATTGGGGGAACTGTTCGCTCTGGAGATCAAGCACTAGTATCCGACCACTTGGTACGGCAGTAAGAAATGCCTTCGCCATGTCCGTGGTCCAAAAAGGATTTTTAACAAACATCCATCCCTGCAAAAGCCAAATAGCCTCGGTATCAATACCTCTCATGGATTCGAATATCGCCGCCGCCGTGGATCGCATGTAATCGGGTTTTGCTACCGGTGGCTCCAACTCATTGAAGGGATCGCAGAAGAAAATATGATTCGAACCATACGTTGAAACTACGCGGCTCAAAAAACTCTCGGCTATCTGATTGAAAAGTGGCTCCGTGGGTTCTACAAAGAAACCGCAGCAATAGCGATCCGGGAAATGATTCCATCGCTGCACTTCCATGAACGTAGAGTTCGGGTACAGGCGCTTTAGAGCCCTTGGCACATGACCAGCAAAGGCGGGCAATGCCACACTCATGCCCAGATTACGCTGGGCAGCGAGGATCTCCTGCTGCAGGAGCACTTGCAGTCGTCGCCACTCCGGCTTGAGGGGACCTGCCCATCCCCGGATGTTTCCCATGCGCTGCCAGGCCTGGAAAGCGGGTCCTGCCAAATGGTTTTCGATCTCTTCCGGACTAAGCCCCATTTCCGTGTACACCTCCGCCCAAATGGCCTCCTGCACCGGAGCAATGGTCAGGCTAATCCCCATCAGGGCCATCCAATCCAGGTGCCGGCGCCACTGCTCAAATCCCCACCACGCGAAGCTGTAGCTCCAGGTGCACACGTTCTGGTGATATATGATCGGACTCGCTGACGTGGATCCGATGGTCACATTGGGCAGCTGGATATTTGTGGGCAGCTCGATACGCATTTTGAACCAATCCACGTCCTTGTTTAGAACGTATTTCAGGTAGTGATGGAAGGCCTTGCAAACGGAGACTCCATCCCATCCCGCCAGCAGTATCCGGCTATCCTCCAGCATGTTAATCTGCGAGATTTAGTGGGTTAATCTAGGACCTGAACTAATAGGTTTCTTATAAAAGATCATAAGCTAGAAACAAAAATACAAAGCAAAACCTTTCCCTTCTGTATCTTATATATAAGTGTATGTATTTAATAATTTCTTCCCAAGGCAAAATTTATAAAGACCTATTAATTGTTGCACTGGCCCCTATGGAAAACAATTCTTTTATATTAAATATTTATTTGAAATTTAGTTAGTGAGTTTTTACAAAGCACATTAATATAAAATAAAGAAGCAAATGTTTAAAACTCCGATAGCAGTGAAAGAAAATGGTTTTAAACATAAAAAAATTGTTTGCTTAACGGAAATGAAAAAAACCAATATCCCTTGTTTAATTTAATAATAGTAATAATTGTTTTATTGAACCTCCAAAATGTTAAATACTAGTTTTTTCGGTAAAAGAAAAATCTTTGATTACCGAAATGTATATTGATAAATATTAAAGGACTTTATTTTTGGCTGGTTTGTATTTGTGCAAAGGCCACAGAGATTTAAAATATACACTAAACTTACCAAATTTCATACTGACAAACATTTAACATACCTTAAAGCTGCGTAATGCCATTCCCTTATTGACCTGCACCTGAAACAATTGAGAAGCACGTCCGCCGATCACTCTACTGATTACTGCCAGTGCAGCGTCCTCCTGGATCTTTGCCGGAGTATTAGGCGCCAAGTGGGCAGCCAATTGAAGTCCCATTTCAGGACCTGAAACCCCATCCAAGTCAAGTCCCGATCCGTACCCGCGATCCAGACAAAGAACCGCTACCAAGGCCAAGGCCAGATTCCATTTCAGATTCATTTTTGCCGTCCGGCACTTCCATATGTCAATGTCAACGTGGACTAAGTGACTGACTGACTGACAGCTCCTCCTCTCGCAATTGAAACTCTCTCGAAGAATGCGGGATCAGGGAGAAGAGCGCTAAGTGAACGCGATGAGCGCACAATGAGAGAAGAGCAGCTGGATTCGATCACTTTCTTCTTATCGCCATCAAGATCTCCATGGTAATGGATTTGATACACTATTTTTAAGTATTATAACTTTAACAAGACCTTTGTGACATATGATGGTGATAAGATTATTTTCAGAACCTCAAGCCCACTAAAATGTTCCGGTGTTTACCAAAATTTCTTAACCTACTCCCGCAGTTACTTATTCACAATAACTGTAAATTGCTAAGCAAATTTTCATCTTTTCACCACTTATAAATATTTGTGTTAACGTAGAAAACTTATTTCCCTTTCTATTTTGCTCCCTTCATCATATAATCATTTAAAAGGTAAGGCTTTAAAATACATTTTCTACATTTTGAATTAAACAGATTTTTGAATCGGGATCGGACGTATAGACTCTTAACTTAGTTAAGTATCTGCCTAGATGTAAAGAACTTTTCTATAATCGGAACATCTTTTAAGACAGTTAAATTTTTTTTGTTGATTTTTAATTGATTAACTACTTTAAGATCAGGGAAGGTACAACGATAAAAGTACTTTTTTTCTCAAACGGAGGGTATTTTAAAATCGGATTTCCAAGTTCGCCTCTACTCCTGTTTTCAATGCGTTTTGAAACTCTTATCTCTTACTTTGGACAGAGTAACATTAAAGCCTTTTTTGGACTGGGAGCTCCAATTTAATTCTAGTTTCAAAAATTCGAACATTGTCCCATATTTCTAGCTCCATCCCGGAGATGTTTAGTCATTTAAAGATGTAATTACAAGGTCATTTTAGCTTTATTGCACATATTTCGTCTTAGACATAAACAATAATTTAGTTTTGCCGCCGACTAAGCAGCGATCGTAAGTATGTAAATTTATGCAACTGCAAAAACCTCCAATTCAACGCACACCTTTGAAATGATGAATGCTCTGTGTGACACTCTGTGTATATAAGTCCTAACAAATTGAATAACAATTTAGCGATATATATATAAAAAATTATAAACTCACAGCGGACAATGCAACGCGATGTTTTCTACCATTGTTTTTTGGCAACAAAATACGATTTCAAAGCCTTGGCCAACAACCAACGTATATGTACGTCGATTATGTATATATTGGTGCTTAGGAGTTACGCTTAAATATCTATCATATACAATTTTAATGTTAAAAGCCTTTCGTGTTGCTCACTAATATATATGCACAAAATCAATAATGACTAGCTCTAAACAGCCGCTGGCAAGTACACAAATCACCTAATCACTAAGTAACTCTATGTCACTATCCTTAAATACAAGTTAAGTACGTATGCAATTCATGTCTATGTGTTTTTGGCTGTGAGAGTTTACTGTACTGACTACTAAAACAACCTGGTTATAATATTGTTATTCGTTTGCGTTAATGCTTGGCCCAGGGAGAAGCAAACAAATCTTTGGACAAATCACTCTTCAATTTTCACTTTACCACAATCATCTGCCATTTCTCAATCCTCGATTTCAGTTAATTCGTTGTACACCCACGTTCTCCTTCTTTACCTTTCTTAATTTTTTTTAATTCCATAAAATTTAAAAAGCCTTATCATTATTTTTTTCTTGGAAAAAGTTGGAAAGTTACTATCTTGCATATTTCAAATTCGCTTTCTTGCAAAGGTCCTTCCAGCTTCATGAACATTATTGTGCGATACCAGTATATAAACAAATTTGGAACGATTTGGCATGAGCTAAATTACAAAATATGGAAACTAAAAATTTTTAGGGTTGTTAGTTTCTTTTTCAATAAAATCCTTTTGATCCCAATTATGGCCATTTGTTTCCATATTTTATACACGCCATCAACCCTTTTGTATTCTCAAGCTTATTTTTTTCAATATACTTTTGATTCGATTCGAGTTTGGAATTCTTACCTTCACAGCATTAGGCATTTTTGGTCAACTTTATGCAATTCAATCGGATTTTTGTTCTATTTTAGTACTTTGGTACTCCAAATCCTTAAGTTTTCTGGCTATCGATCTACATATTTATAATTCTTTTCTTTTGATTCATTCCCTTATATCGCTGATGTTATTGATTCATTGTCTGGTATTCCTGTATCATACCTAATTTTGCATTGTAGGACCTAACCTAACATCAATGGTAGATGTATTTATGGATTTTGCTTTCTAGATTTTAGACCTCCTCGATTATTTTTTCCATCACTGAAAATCTCTTTCTGGCTTGCCTCCTAAATTTTCTGGACCTATTTCGGCAGCGCTCTGGTTCCTTTCCGTTTTCTGTAAATTCGTTGTGCACGCGGCTTCCACTTATATTAGTTCCACCTCCCCTATCTCATTCACTTATGGAGTAAGCTTTGCGTATGCATTTGCTGTGCCTGGTGATCCGGAGCTCCTCGGCATCGTGCGACGGATGCTGGCGGTGAGTAACTGGTTCAAGCAGCTCTGTCGAAGATTTGTTCAGGGCATAGGTGCGGATAAAGTCGATGGTGGAATAGCCCTGGGACCCGGAGCACTCCGTAGCCTTGTTTGTTGCGGCTTCTACCGCCTCAGCAGCGACACTATTCAGGCTTTGTGTTTGAAAGTGTGGTGGGGGAACGTCCAGTGTGGTACCTGCTTCCGGGGTCACTGGAGCTGTCACAGCTACTACAGTGGAGGTCAACGATATTCCGCTGCCGAATCCATTAATCGCTTTGGGCGAGCCTGCTGCACCCACAGGGCTTCGTGGCTGGTCTAGGTCCAGCACTATATAGTTTACTCCACTACTGCCCGCCAAACTGGTGGGCGTGGGCGGCTCCTGGCTGACTATCGGTTCCCTCGGCAGCAAGGGCAGCTCCAAGCGATTCACGTTTTCATAGCACCGCTCATTGCTTAGATCGAAGATCAAGGCCTCGACATTAGCGTACATGTGCACAGCATCGTTGGGACTCAAAGCAGGAGTTGGAGCTGGGGCAGATTCCAACGGCGGCAGGTCTAAAGTACGCCTTCGCGCATTCAACCTATTGCCAGATGGGGGGGTAGTCAACAAATCCGTGGAAGTGCCTTCCAAGCAGCACTCCTGCAGAGCACGCAGGGGCTGATCCAAATAGGCACTGGGTATCAGAACTGGTGATTGCAAATTTGGCGGAGAGTCGTCGACTTGCGAATCGTTTGCCTGTAGCGAATGCGATGCACTTCCGCTCGAGTGCTCGCTCTGAAGGCTGCCCAGTTGGCGGCTCATCAAGGGAGCCGGTTCCAGGTAGTTATTGCCCTCCGTCCTGCCCATATTCGCGGATACCGAATTGGCGGAGTTGACTCGCTCCCGTTCGCCCTGCGCAAAGGCATCGGTATTGACAGCATTAATGTAGCGCTGAAACATCGGATACAGCTGCTCTGCGTTGTGCACTCGGAACGTGTAGATTCCCGGTCCGGACATGCACCTGCGTCCCGCCTCAAAGGAGAAGAGGTCCGCATTTAACCCATAGCGTCGGAGATGCTGCAGTGCCCAGACAATAGGCTCGCAGTCGGGCGTCTGGAAGATCAGTTCACGGGGCGTTAGCTCCAGATAGCCACTACGAATGATGGGCGTGCCCGGCGTGGGCTGAAGATGAGCAACTCGCACTCGGAACACGTTCTCATGGCCGCGCAGCTCGTTCAGCTTGCTGGTGCTGGTGATACAGCCCATGGTACCAATCTAGAAGATGCAAAAATAGGTAATTAAGGGTATTCCACTCTAGTTATGTGTGGTGGTTATGCACACCTGGACGGCCAGATCTGCGGGGCTGTTATCGCAGCGGGCATAGGAGAATTCGTAGGCCGATAAGAGCACCACCCACCACCTCCTTGAGTTCACCACTCACTGGAGGCTCTGTGGGGCACTGTGCCGTTTTTGGGCAGACGACAAGTACTAGATGTGTCCTGGCTATATTCTCCTGGCCTGGCCAACTCCTGCGCCTCAGGAGAAATGCTGATTGTTGTTATTTGGCCAGCGAAATTCCGTTTGTGTGGTGTAAAATTTCTTCTACGACTTTACCCCTCGACCAGCAGAACGAAATTGTGAGCAGCGGGTATGGAAATGCCAACTTACTTTTACAAAAAAAAAACAATCGTAAAACACCGTTTTAAAATAAACACCAAGTTTTAACATAATTAAGGAATGTATTTTAATTAATTTTTTTTATTATTTTTTTTTTTATTTAAAAGTATTTTTTTATTTAAAGTGTAAGTTTTCTGTGGCAGCTTGGCCAGGTTGTAAATATAATATAACACAATAAACATTTCTAGTTCAAAAGTATATAATTATTTTAGTTTGGAAATTTTAATTTATATTTATAAATATTCCGATGGAAGATCATATGGGTGGAATCTTTTCAGTCTTCTTTTTTTGGTCTACAAAAGGGAGAAAGCCAGGGAGTTAGAATTAGAGCCAGACGTCTGATGCAATTTTTGCGTGCCTAAGAAATTTTAAGATATCTTTAACTGGGAATTTTCGGAACGGCAAAACCTTATGGACCAACCGTTCAACGGATGGTGGATGGATCTCTGTGGGAAGACTGTGTTAAAATTTCGTAAAAGAAAAATGATCAAAGGGTATCAAAATAAATAAACATTATTTTTATTGCTCGAATTCAAAATGCATTAATTTAAGTAATTTTTGTACATTTAATTAAAGATAAGTAAATAAGTTTTAAATAAAAACAATAGCGGGAAGCCAACATAATTGGCAGAACTGGTGCGCTGGCCGACGCACTAACGCCTTTTGGCCGCCAAAACATCCTAACGCCTCTAAAATACCAGATCCGAGCGGACATTTTTTATTTGTGGAGCGCGCAACAAGAACGAGAAAAGAAACCGAAACGGAAAGCAGGCAAAAAGAGCTGCTGCCAGTGTAGAATCGCAAAGCAAAGAGAGAAGCAAGTGCGTGTGTTTTTAAACCGAAACCGAAAATCGAGCCAGGTAAATTGCACTTTAAGTCATAAGAAACCGAAAGACAATGCAGGCGTAAATTTAAACAAAAAAGAAAACTAAAGCCAAGCAGGCAGACGGCTTGCGTGTGTGTGTGTGCGTGAGTGGTGCTACTTTTGAAATTCTCTATACCCGCTTTGCACTTCGCGTCTGTTTTAAAGGAAGAAATTGTGACTAAAAAGAAAAAAGGGTATCCAATAAAAAGTTAATAACTGGTTTAAAGAAATGCTAACTGTATTTGAGGCACAAGTGTTTGTAAAAGAGACGCCCGCCGACGCACACACATACATAGGCAGGAAAAAAGGACGCCATGCACGGCGGCTTATGTGTGTGCGCGGTGGAAAGGAAATGAAAGAAAGTGAAAAGATCTTAAAATTCAATTTTATTTAATAAGCTAGACTTTCCTTTATCCAAAAGACCCGCCCCCGCAAAAGCCTTGATTTTGAATTTCGCCACTTTGGAGTCTCCTCTTTTTACAATTTTTGGGTGTGCCGCCTTCAATGCGTCGGCGTTGCCACCACGTCGGCGCTCGCAGCAGCGCACAATGGTCCAGAATCCCTTTTTGTCGGCATAAACATGTAAAATATTTAAAAATATTTCCAAATATTGTGAAAGAGCATTCCTTTCGAATGGAGAAATAAATAAATATTAGGACTAACGCAGTACATTTTCTGAGCTATGAAAGATGGATAATTTGGTAGCTGTTTGTATACTCCATTACTCTTGCGGCCCTTGTGTGTTGTTGGGTATAGTCATAATTGTGCCTTTAAGACCCATATTTAAGTTCTTTTAATTTAATTTTGATATTTACTTATATAAAGAAAAATATAAATATAAAAAAATTTTCGAAATTAAACATGTGGGCGTGGTTCAACCCGCATAAAATTAAAGTTCTAAACTAAATATGCCTAATGTTAAGTTATAGCTCTATATGTTAATTGAATAGGTGTATGCCAAAAAAAAATATCTGGCCCAGTGTGCACCGACGCCGGCAGAGCATGCCGGTGTGGCTTTGTATCCGTTTCGCTCTCTATTACTCTCTCTGGCGCTCTCCTTTTTGTCTCCGTCTCCTTCCTCCCGCTCTTCGCTTGTCCTTTGTGCCATCGCTTCGCCTTGACTTCTGGTTCATTGTCGTTGTCTCTTCTTTGTTTGCATTGTACGCCTGATTACACTTGCCAACATGTTTCTCCGCTCGGCCAAACATCCTTGTGCAAGGTGCTTTTATAGCGAGTTTTCACTGTGTCCAAACGATCTTTAGCTTGTGTGTGTTTGTCGTTCCCCTTTTGCGTCTCAGTTTACTCAGATTATCGATACGAGGATCGTCTTTTTGTTTTTTCTACACTTTTGTTGCGAACAATTGCGTCGCACTTTTTGCAGCGTCAGTTTGTCATTTGGTCCGTCAGCCATCTCGTCAGTTGTTCAATCGCAGACGGGCAGACAGCCACCGCCCTAACTGGCGTCGCCTACATGACTTTGTATGAGTGTGTGTGTACTTGCGTGCCTGGCATAGTGTATGTGAAGCGCTGGATGTATGGGTCCTTCACGAAAGGAGTGGGTGGGCAGAGGCAGAGAATGAGAAAGAAGAAGAAGCGCAATCACAAGTTTTTTGATTGTCAACTGCAGTTTAAATAGTTTTAAGGGATTTTATTAACTATTTTTAACGCGGACTGCTAATGCATTTATTATACGCTTGGAAAACAGTATCAGAAGTCTGCAACGCAGCAAAGGACACTTAAAGCATATGGTTTAATACCTTTGTTGTACATATTGTTTTTGAAATTTTGTATCTTGCAAAACAAACGTTTAAAAGAAGAAAATAAAATGCCTCTGATTACAATTTATTTTTTAATTAAAACAACGTTTCATGAAGTGTTTATTTATTTAAACCAATTTAATTTTAAACCGCAATATTTTAAGGATTAATACAATCTTTCAATCTCTGTACTTAAATTCAAAAAAATACATTTTTTTGGTATATCTTAACACAATTTGTTTTAAAGTATTTTGCCAGTTTGGGCATGAGAATTAAGGAATTTTCAAAATCTTATCAACTCTGTCCACTTCTTTCAAATTTAATGTTTATCAAATGTGCATTCTGATTTGCCTTTAGACCCGAATAGTAAGAATTGATTTGTTTTGCGGAATTTGTTCTGTGATTGCAGGTAGTGTAGCTCCATGAATGTATCTTTGAAATTTGTTTTAAGCCAAGGGGCTCAAAGAAGTCGTGGCAGGCGGGCTTCCCTTGAAGTCAACTCGGATTACGTGTACATATTTGAGGACGAATATAATGCTTTTGTCGTTGTTGCTGCTGCTCTTGCCTTTATTGGCGAATTTGTCAACATTTGTTGAAACGCAAGTAAACACTGCGTTGCGATTGGGGAGGGACTGAGGGCAAATATTCGGTTTCGTCAAGTGCGATTCGCGGTTAACTAACGAAGCCCGATCCCACAACTGACCTTAAATTGGTCGATTAGGTTCTTGAGCTACGATTATGTAGGAAACATCTGTTCCGCAATTTTAGATACAAGTGTATGTGCTAAAACAAAACTACATTTTTTTAAGTTTATCTTTTATTAAAAATCGGTATACCTTTTTTAAGCTTTTTCTTATCGTTTTCACTGAGGATAACTTTTCTGTAATACTAAATTTCTTCGATGTTTTCTTCACTACCTTAAAATCTTTTATCCAAATTAAACAGATCTTATATCAATTATGATTCTGAGCTGATCGATATGAATTCAGATCGATATGAATTCAATGCAATTATTATAAATCATATTTAATCAGTAAGTAATAAGATTCCAATACTTCCTGGAATGAAACTAACTTTGAATCCGATACCGACCTATTTGGTCGCAGAACAGAGACGCGAATTCCAGTCGAAAAAGGAGGTCTGCCAGCCCAGTTGCGCGAAACATATGGAGCTCAAAGTCCGAAGCTCAATTGGGGAGCATGGGTGTAAGTAAGGCAAAGTGTTGAGAGGTCCCTTGTCACCGATGTACGTGTGTATACACAGAAAGCGAGCCAATTTCTCATTTAATATGCAAACACATGTGTGAAAGATGTTCGAAGGCTGCTGCCCCGAGTGGAAACTGTCTGCAGATTGAGAAGATTTTCATATTACATTTTCATTTCGAAAAACTAGAGTGATATTCCCCTCAATTCGACCACTCAAAGCCACTAATTCCCCAGGAATTTGGTTCAGGCACACAAGCATAATTGCTGGGTGCACATTATTTGTGTTGTTATTTTACGAGGCATTTGGCGTGCCGAATGGGCATTTATTAATGCCGAATCAACAGAAATATGAAAAATAGAAAAATATGTATAGTCCGCACTAAAAATCAATCGCAATAGCCCCAGAAACAAAAATAAACAAAGCTACGGAGGCGAAGATAAGCGGCCTGGACGATCCAATCCGATCTATACACCGTATCTCCTTCTCCCAATCGAGAAAAATATTTTAATTCGAGCTCTTGGTGGCGTTCGATTTCGTTGTTGTGGTTTTCCAATTTGCATTTGTTGTATTGCTTATCAAAACCGCTATTTGTTCGCAATCCCCTAAAGGTACAGTAATCTCATCGAATAAAAATATTGACATTATACATTAAACTTAAGCAATTTACAAGAACAAAGGTTTTTTTTATTTACCTTAAAACATAATTGCAACTTTCTTAAGACTTTGTCGTTTATGATTTTTATACCCTTGCAGAGGGTATTATAATTTTGGTCAAAAGTGTGCAACGCAGTGAAGGAGGCATCTCCGACCCTATAAAGTATATATATTCTTGATCAGGATCACCTCCTGAGTTGATATAGCCATGTCCGTCTGTCCGTCTGTCCGTCTGTCCGTCTGTCCGTCTGTCCGTCTGTCTGTCCGTCTGTCCGTCTGTCTGTTTCTACGCAAACTAGTCTCTCAGTTTTAAAGCTATCGAATTGAAACTTTGCACACACCCTTCTTTCCTTTGCACGCAGTATATAAGTCGGAACGGCCGGGATCGGCCAACTATATCCTATAGCTGCCATATAACTGATTGATCGGAAATGCCATAACTTTCGTTTTTGTAAAGTTAGGAAGTTGGGATTTTCTATGGGTTTTATATTTGGCCAATCAATCCGACCTACCAAATTTCATAAGGATCGGCCGACTATATCCTATAGCTGCCATATAACTGATTGATCGGAAATGCCATAACTTTGGTGTTTGTAAAGTTAGAAAGTTGGGATTTTCTATGGGTTTTATATTTGGCCAATCAATCCGACCTACCAAATTTCATTAGGATCGGCCGACTATATCCTATAGCTGCCATATAACTGATTGATCGGAAATGCCATAACTTTGGTGTTTGTAAAGTTAGAAAGTTGGGATTTTCTACAGGGGTTATATTTGGCCAATCAATCCGACCTACCAAATTTCATAAGGATCGGCCGACTATATCCTATAGCTGCCATATAACTGAACGATTGGAAATGCCATAACTTTGGTGTTTGTAAAGTTAGAAAGTTGGGATTTTCTATGGGCTTTATATTTGGCCAGTCAATCCAACCTACCAAATTTCATAAGGATCGGCCGACTATATCCTATAGCTGCCATATAACTGAACGATTGGAAATGCCATAACTTTGGTGTTTGTAAAGTTAGAAAGTTGGGATTTTCTATGGGCTTTATATTTGGCCAGTCAATCCAACCTACCAAATTTCATAAGGATCGGCCGACTATATCCTATAGCTGCCATATAACTGATTGATCGGAAATGCCATAACTTTGGTGTTTGTAAAGTTAGAAAGTTGGGATTTTCTATGGGTTTTATATTTGGCCAATCAATCCGACCTACCAAATTTCATAAGGATCGGCCGACTATATCCTATAGCTGCCATATAACTGAACGATTCGAAATGCCATAACTTTGGTGTTTTTAAAGTTTGGAAGTTTGGATTTTTTATGAGTATTAAGAATGCATCATAGGAATAATTTTGGAGAATATAATTATAGAGTATTCTGCAAGGGTATATCAACTTCGGCTCCGCCCGAAGTTAGCTTTCCTTTCTTGTTATTATTTATCATTCATCCATTATAAATGGATATTAGGCAATCTATAAAACTAAATAAGTTTTGCTTTACAAAGTTTTTACAAATTTCTTTTTATAATTATGAATGTAGAAAAAATTTAGGAAACATTTTCTATACCAAGTGTAATTAGTGTTGTTACTGTCTCCGCAGTTAAAAATGCACCAAATTGCATTAGATTTGAATTTATTGGATTAGATCTCTTTATGGGATACGTTCAACAGGAGCCAGTTTCATTAACCCCACGACCACAGCAGCGATTTATCTTAAATTGGAGTGGAGTACCCCCACAATAAATGCATTCCCCGATACACAATTACTTTCCCATCCGAGGGGCGATAATTAAATAACAATACAAGATTCCCGTTGAATGTTACACCATATATTTTGGTGATTCTTCACGCCTTCTCTTTCTCCGTGAATGTGATGCCCCCTCATGTGCATATGTATTGTTTATTCCCGCTGGTGTTGCTTTTGCTTCTGTTTTTGTTGCTTTTGCTGTTGCATGTGGGGTCATTGTGTGAATGGCAGCAAAATAAAGCAATAAAGCATACGCATCGACGCCGCCAAGGCTCATTAGTTTGTTATTGACTAAGGAGTGAGAAGAGGAAGAAGAGGAATCGAGGGGGGAGTGCTGGCACCAGAAGCACGCCTTTATCTTTATCGGCAGCTGACTGTCAGTATGTTAGAGTGTGTGTGCGAGTGAGTGTGCCCGCATTTCTCTGCTTCTTCTTCTGACTCCTCTGCTTCCGGCTGGCGTCGCAGCCGCAGTCGCTGCCGTTGCCTCTGTCGGCTACAAGAGAAGTTTCTGCTACCATTGATCGTGACTCGCTCTCTCAGTCATCGTTTTTCGCTCGACTTTAACGGTTCTCGTGGGGACTTAGTTCCAGCCTACAAATAAAAAATATAAAAATAAAAGACGCGGAGTGCTAAACGGTTAAACTCTCACTAGTTAATTGCAAAGTTAACACAGCTAATTTTTACCCAGTTAAGAGTAATAGAGAGAGAGATAAAGAGACCACCCGCGCGGCTCGCAGAAATAGTAAGTACCGGAAATCGAAGAAAGAGGGTCTAATGAATTATGTATAAAAAAAACAGATCCGTTTTCAACACAACACACTTTGAGATCACACTGTGAATTTGTAATCAGAAAAGCTGTGCCGCTCTTTGCGGAAAATGAATGCTAATTGGCCATGCTACCTAACTTGTTGTTGTTACCACTTTTTAATACACAACTTACAACTGTCGCACGCCTCTTGGAGTTTTAATTAACCGCAACGACAGAGAGAGAGAATAAGCAAAGAGAGTTGGAGTTCTAAAAAGAGAAGAAAAGCGAACCGGTTTAGTGGGCGCTCCGGTTGCATTTTGTTGCTGCTTTCAGATTTACTTTGTGTTCGTTTATCCTTTTTCAGCGAAGCTGAAGAAAAAGAGGAAGAGGTGATAGTGCGTGGGCAGGCGACAAATTTATTGGCACTTATTCGCTCATTCCCGCTCTTCCGCCCTTTCGTATCTATCAAAAAGAAAAGGAAGCCCCCAAGCTTTGAATATTCAACTATTTATTGTAATTATTTTCATCATCGGCCCACAGGGTAGTTGATTTAAGTGCGCGGTCATTTGATACCCTGTTCTAGTTGAGTGGTAAGGGTATGTTGTCTTTGTTCTAGGGCTTATAAAAGGTAGAAAAGAACGAAGAAATTCGATGTTACATAAAAAAAAAACAGAGTCAAGATTTCAAAGTTAAAATTTTGTCGGAATTGGTTTTTCTATAGAAAAGGATATAAAGAAAAGAATAAAGTCCTCGAAATCCTTGCATATCAAAATGATTTGTTATGTTTATCAGCTCCATTACATATAAAGATTAAATATTATTTGATGTGTTGTGTCCCCAATTTAATATCTTGCCCAGACAGAATTAAAAATTAAAGAAAAAGCCCCTGATTTGATCTTTTCAATAAACTATGGGTCTTTTATATTAAGTCTATTTAAGACTCATATAAAACTTAAATAACTTTTGCAGACAGAACTAGAAAGTAAAATAAAACAACCTATCTCTTTATGTATAAATATAAAATAGATAATTTTGGTAGACTACTTATTTTGCGTATATGTACCATTTATTCTCTAAAAGTTATCACAAATAGATAAGCCTTTCAGAATTAAAAAGCGAAATAGGAACCATATCTTACCATTTAAACCATATATATTTTAAGTATTCCCTCATTGCTACTTGCCTTCCAAATTACACATTGTTGAATTATTTTCAAGTACTATACACACACAGCCCCATGGCAACATATTTCGTGTGCCATTTCGGGTTTTGCGCCTTGCAAAAAGAAGTTGGCATTCGTAGCCATCTTAGCCATCATACATATATGTAAATAGAGAAACGTACGTACAAAGACATATCGGACGTTCTCAACGAGCTCATAAAATTTTACGGTTCTTGCTGATGATTTTATGCGTTTTGGGCTTCATTATATTTCGTACATATGTGTGTTATTCCGATTGTGTGTCTGTTTTGATAGTTTTTGAATGGCAGGCCAAGAGGAAGAAGATGTTTTCAAGTGCGTCTAATTTTACGATCGATGCCCCTTACCACCGTTCTTTTTTTTCCTTTCTTTGCGCGTTTGTTTGTGTGTGGTGGAGTACAAGAATATCTTGAAGATATGATAAAAACCGGCTAGATAAGCCGGTCGTATCTGTATCTACTGTCAAGCAGTGGAAAACTTGACTAGAGCACGTCTCTACAATGTGTATATGCTGAGAGTGCTTATTTTGTGGGGCAGGTAATGTTTGCCAAGTTCACCGAGACTTCCCAAACATGCTTAATTTTGGGTGAAATATTTCAATAAAACACGGGTGGAACATGAATGGTCACGTAGTATAATCACCCGCTCTTGGAGTTGGGAGCTGTGTATAAAAGGTCCCCGTATTCTGAATCACTTGCTGATATGGAATTTCTTTGTTTACCCATATATATTGCATTTATCAATTAAGCAGGCGTGTTCCTGTACAGCACAGTCCCCCCTTCCTTTCAAAAACAGTATTTCCTCTAGTGTTATCGTCATTGTTAATACAGATATAGAAAATAGGGTTCTTGGTACCGTTAACAATGAATCTCTATTTTTATTTTTGGCCATATGAATGTGTCCATATCAAAAGTGATTGTAAAGACACACGAAATCAAGGGAGGGAGGGAGGTATACTGTTGTCGAGTCAGAACATTCCGAATTGACCGGAAATGATAATTGAAAAAAATATTTTCTCTTTTCTTTGGGTCTTGTCAACTTGTGCGTGTGATATGTTTGTAACCGAGTGTGTGTTCTTGCTACTAATTATGGAATGCATTCGTTTTAAGTATCGTATCATTTTCATTTTGCCACAACTCCAGTACAGCACTCACACAACAACAATTATATCCGGTGGTTACTTGAGACACTCGGTTTGATGTCAATGTTTTTGATATAGTGGCCTTTTCGGTGTCGTTCCTTTTTCCCTTTTCTTGCATATTCTGCCTTAGCGTTTTGAAATTTTTGGCCTAAAACTTGCCAGCCCCGATGTAGGCTCAAATAAGAACGAAATAGGAGAATCTTGACATGAGTCTTCTACATGCAAAATTGTTTGCCAGACTGCTACTTTTTGTTTGGTTTTTAGCTTATCAATTTATTGGAATTGATGAACATGCAATTATGAAACTGCACATTTTTTTGCGTTGGAATACTACGTCTATTTATAAATTTTGATAAGCAAAACTACCGTTTTACTTTTAAAATGTGGTATAGTATACTGATTGAATTGATAATGAAAATACTACTTGTCTATAGTCTAAACGATTTCAACGTTTTTTGATTTATAAAGTTTTTCACAACGCCTCGTCGATATTGCATTTTGTTTATACTAATAAAATCTTTTAGCACAATCTTTTATGTCGTTGGCGCTTTTTTCGCACGCTTTTTGGGAATCATCTTCATCTTTTTTTAAGCCTGCCAATAAGATTGCATCCGCCTTGTAAGTGGGCATGGGAGTGTGCATACTTTTGCGTGGGGGGCCCACAACAAGAACATTTCTTGATGACAATTAAAGTGGACTGCGACGGCACATACGCTCAATAAAGTCTGATTGCGGCTTAGGCGTGGCTTATCAGCGGCAGCAAAGGCAACAATGCAATGAAAGTGCACTCTGCTTTCTTCTGCTGCTCCTTCTACGCAGTCTTATTGTTCTCCCACTCAAAACTTGGGTCTACTTGAGCCTGATTGAGGGAAACTTTCCACTCAATTGAGGGGAGGATGGCTTGACAGACGGATGGACGGATGGTTGGATGGGAATGGATGTTTGATGTGTGTGAGCGATGCCATTAACGATCTCTCTTGATTAGTTTATAAAAGTTCAATTGCGCTGGTGCGCATGCACGCTCTTCTCAGCCATTGTCCCTACCACAAATGGTGAAACTTTTCAATTTTAATTGCACAACAATGTACATTTCATGATGCCACTGCCACTGATCTTGCAGGGAGTGAAAATGGGACTACTGGAATGGGAATGGTGGCCAGCTTCTCTCGCACACACAAATTAATGTTTGACCGGCCGGCCGGCTAGACATTCAGACGGTCATCCAGCCGGCACATTCCAGCACAATCAATTTAATTTACGTATCAAAGCGTCTCATCTCCAACGCAGGGTAGAGCGAATGAGATGGCCAGATGGGTATATAGGGAGATAGAGTTGGAAGGAGGCATTTGAGCTGACAGCTTGGCTATTTTCATTTAAGATTCTCCTTTCGCTTCAACATTTTTGTAATAGACAATTTATTATATTACAGGAGGTAAAACAATATTTATTTTTGTATAATATTTAGGAATAATATTAAACTGTGCATATTTCTTTAAATATCGATTCATAGTATTGTTATTTTGAAAAGACATTTTAAGGCTTCTTCGACACGGAGACACAACAACATATCCATAATTATCCCACCATTTTTGGATCCTTTTGCTTTTTAGCTGTATTTTTCGTCAGCACTGTTCGCAGAAGAATGCAGGCGCAGCCAAGTGATACACAACAGCTTGAAGTGTCAAAATTGATAGGCGGCCTGCGTCCGAAAGGGAAGGGAACGAATTGAAGCTCGCACTCACGCCCATGCAGGCAGCTCCTCATTCTGCTGTTGCTTCTTTTTTTGAACACACTCCATTGTTGATAAATGCGCTTTTATTTATAGACTGCGGCTGCTGTTTTGTGAGCTGTGAGCTCTGCTCTGCGTTTTCCTTTGTCGTCCAACGGCTTGCAAATGGAAAAGAAGCAGGCGGGGCTGAATTAATTGAGGGGAGGGCGTGTGAAAGCGGGCGCACATGTCAAAAGTCATGTCTAAATTGAATTAAACTAATAAAAAACCAAGACACAAAGGCCCCGAAAACTGTCGTTGTTGTTTCCCATTAAGTGATTTTCATAGATTACAAATTTAGATGGCCCATCTACCCCTGAACCTCTCCCCAATTTTCGTTTTCCCCCGCCTTTTGAATAAAATTTAAAATGTGCAGGGGTACTTCACTAGCTGTCATTTTATTTTCTAATTTAATTTAACTAACTTATTTTGAGTTTAGGAGTAAAAAAGTGCCTTTGGACTAATCTAGCTATGTTGCTTTTTCTATTGCATCGAATCGTTTTTAGACCGTACTCAATTATTTTCACACGCCCCAGCTCGGAGAGTTTTTGGGCAGAGGATGAGGAAGTGGATGAGGGAGGAACAACATTTGTTGCTAGGTTGGCATGGCAACGTGCAATGACCAGACCCGTTAATGTTATTATTGTTGTAGTTCCTTGCCGAATGCCGGCAACCCTCTGCCCTCGCTCTCTCAAATTGTCCTGCTCTCTCTCAATGTCCTTTTTCCTTGATGCGTCATGCGCACCACTTTACTTGCGCTTTTATGTTACTACCTTTCCAAGCTGGGTATATGGGGATATTTCGGCCATTACTCATCCAGTTTGGATAGACATAGGCCAGGAATTAATAGCCTCTTTCTTTCCCGCCGACCAAACATCGACATCGAATGTGTTTCTCCGTTATCACTTCGATCGAAATACATAACCGAGAAGCTTCAGTTGGCCCGGTATTGTATGGTATATGTACGGTATTGTGTTGTCTCGTATTAATTGCTGTCGGGTTCGTTGAACCCCCATAGTCTTGAAACTTGAGGTCTTGTCTTGTTACGTATTTAAATTGATATAATGTGTTTGTGCTGAGTGCTTGAATATGCGACTTTGGCGAAAATTTAAAGTATTTGGTCTTATTTATAATTGAAAATCTTATCTTTTAAGTGCGATTTTTATACACTGGTGGGCCTAGAATATTTAGGTAGTTTATTAAAGAGGGAGCGTTTTTTATACTATAGAGTGCATATTTTAGATATGGATTATCAGTCTGCTGAGTACATCAAACTAGGTTTTTTAAAAGTTGAATTTTGGAAACTGTAAATGACTTCCCAAAATACAACAAAATAAAAGCATGCTCAGTTTGAAGGGGGAGTATACTTTTGTATTTTTATTATCAAAGTCTATTCTGAAAAAAATTGGAATTCGGACATTTTTTTCATAATTATCTTACACAAACGAAATATATGAATTTATTTTATTCTATATGAAAAATAGGATACAACATAATTTAATTTTTGACGACAATTAATCCAACATATGCTAAATGATTCACAAAACATTTAAAATGAATGTCATCGCAACAAAAGCAAATTTGTCACACCTTTAAGTATTTAACAACGTCTAAGACAACTTAAGTGATTCAACAACCGTCTTCTGGGAAACTTCAATATCAGAACGTTTTGATTTCCGGACTTTATCAGAAGGGAACAATTCAATTGCTTCAATGTTTTGTTTCCTGCCCCAGCATTGACTCATGTCCACTAACTAGGCAATAATAAATTGAAATTAATGAGTCACTGATGGATTCCCGGAGAATTCTTCATTTGCATATGGCGCACCACGTGCTGGTGGTGCGTGTGTTTGTGTTAAAAGTAGAAGTGGGAGGCAGATGGGTCGGATGTGGGAGGCTGTTGATTCACCGGGTCTAGATAAAGCGGTCGGAAACAGCTGCTCTTTTAGCCTTTGTTGGTTGTGTGCCCGTGTGAGTTGCCGCCATTTTTTAGCTGCACACGTACACACCTTCCCCGTTTTTTCCCACTTACAACCCCTAAATAATGCAAACTTCTTGTTGTCCTGTGCCACCTCACCGGCCAAAAATTCGTTCTTTGCTACGGTTTCTGTTTCATTCACTCTGGCAAAAATTTTGTGTGTAATTCGATTTTGCTTCAAAATGACGCATTGCATGCTTAAAACCAGCCCCACCACCATCTACCTTTTCTCCTTTCTTTGCTGTGGTGTCTGTTTCGTTGTTTCATATAAACTTCACAGTAAAAAAGAAAAATATTCAAGTGTCGATGAATCATGGGAGGCGCACGAATTGTTTACGATTACTACCGTCTGGGTTGGCGGTTACAGTACTGCCTCGGTAATTGGAGGTGCCGCCAGTTAGTGTTTTCTTGAAATTATAAGTTAAGCTGATAATGTATTGTAAACTACAGTGATTCGATTCTAAAAAAATCATCAGCAAAACTATAGTTTACGAGTGTGTTATAGTTATGAAATTATTTGATGGAAATGCAACTACTATTTAATATTAAATCTATATAATAATTTATTTCAATAAATATGAATATGTTGTTTATTTTGCTGTCACAAGAAATTCTTAGAAAGAACGATGACTACGGCAAACGCCATTCCTTATATTAATTCTTTTCTACATTGTCTGGCCAATTTGATAAGCTCTATGAGGTTGATGCAGTCGACAGACCTTAATGGGGTTATCGAATTGCATTGAAAGATCTCGAGTGCGTCTCAGTGAAAATGTCAATCGTAAAAATAGGGAAAACAAAAGCTAAAAATAAAAAGTGCCGGCGTACTTGTGCCATTTGCCACTGAACAATGTTTCACATTTAAACTAATTACTCACTTCATTTTCTTTCAGTTTACACTAGCGACTAAAACAGGATCAACAGGAAAAAATGGGTAAAGCTCAGAGCAAGCGTTCAATCGACATCACCACCGATCCCAAGAAGGTCGGCGAGGGCGATGAGGTGGCCGGCAAGGTGGAGAAGATTGACGTTGACCAGAAGGCGGACGCGCCGGCGGTGAACGGAGACGCTGCCACGCCCAAAGAGGGAGGCGATGAAGCGGCGACGGGAGAGGTAAGCAAAATGAATTTGATAAGATTTGAAAAACCAGACCAACTAAATAAGTCGATGTATTTACCATTCTAATTATGTTTAATATCCCCCATAGAAAAAGGAATCGGAGGAGCATTCTGAGAACGACAAAGATCTAACCACCGAAAAGAATGCCGCAACCGCTGAAGGTGGAGATGCGGCTGTTGAAGCGGCGAAGGGTGATGAGGGTTCTCCCAAGGACGGATCTGCTGCCGCTGGCGAGGATATCACCCCGCTGGCCGATGAAAGCATCAAGTCCAAGTCCAAGAAGGATAAGGTCAAAAAGAAATGGTCTTTCAGGAGCATCTCCTTTGGCAAGAAAGACAAACAGAAGCCGGCCAAGTCGGAGGAGGCTGTCTCTCCCACATCTGGCACGACGTCGCCCACGACGGCCGAGGCAGAAGCTGCTCCAGCTGCAGATGTACCTCCAGCGGCAGCCACAAACGGCGAGGCCGAAAAGACTGCCGAGGTAAGTAGCCTGTTTAATGTGGCAATAATTCCCTTGAAAAGGTTAATATTATTATTATTATTTGTAACAGACTGCCACAGCAGAGCCCACCAGCGAGACCGCGTCCAAGGATGAGGCAAAGCCCTCCGAGAATGGATCGGCGAGCGAGCAAGAGAAAAAGGCCAACGGGGAAGCCGAGAAGGCGTCGCCAGCACCAGCAACAGTTGAGGAAACGGCACAGCCCAAGCCCGCCGAGGAACCAGCCACTGCCACTGCCACCGAGTCGAACACCGCTGCCAACACTACTGCCACCGAAGAAGTTCCCGTGAAAGAGAGCCAGCCAGAGCCGGAAGTGGTTACCAATGGACATGGAGCCGGAGATGGGGAGGCGCTGACCAACGGATCAAGCAATGGACTGGCCGAATCCCCAGTGGCCGAGACAGCACCAGCAGCTGACAACATTCCAAGCAACGTTGATGACGAGCAACCGCACCAGAATGGCACCAATGGCACTACCACGCCCCCGCCCACTCCCGTGGCCGTCGAGAACGAGAAGGGACAGCAAATTGAGGTAAACAACCACACAAGAACAGACAGCACCACACACAGCAACAGCAAAAACTTCACTGTAAATACAAGTACAACAACAACAAGAACAACCGAAATCACAGAAAACACTGCACTAAAAACAATAAATACAGAAACAGAAAGAACTTGCACAGGCACTGTGACCGAGACCGTTGTAGCAGCCGCAGAGTTAGTTCAGACCCAAACAATCCTAACCAAAACAACCAACACGATCCTTCCCACCTCCCACACGCAGGCCAGCAATGAAGCAGTTACCACCAGCCAAGCGGAGGAGGAAGTTGTGGCGGCGATCATCAAGGCGGTTAGCAGCGAACTTGAAGCCGAAACGGAGACTGAAACGGAGGCCGAGGGATTCGTGGTTGTTGCTCCTGTATCCACCGAAGATGAAGTTTCCGTTTCCCCTGTTGCACCCGCTAAAATCGAATTCGTGGCGGAAGTTCCCAAAGTGGAAACTGAATCCGTGGCTGAGGTTCAAAAAGTTCAAATTGAATCCGTAGATGAAGTTGCCGAAGTTAAAGCTGAACCCGTTGCTGAAGTTCCCGATGTTGAATCCGAATCCATTGTCGTTGAGTCCAGGAGCAGCAGTCCGCCGCCTCCGTTGCCCAAATCCCCGCCCCCATCTCGAGTATCCGCCTTTGTCCTGTCCGATGAAGTTATCGAGGAGCAGATAACCCCAAACACACCCGAAGTGAAGCGTGATGAGATCGAGCAGCAGGCCATCAGCATTGTAGCTGAGATCACCGAACAGGCGGCAGAAATTGTCACCGAAAAAGAGAAACAAGAGGGGGATGCCATGGAGGAGTCTGTTCTTGCTGCAGTTGAGGAGACCATCGCCTCCACGGTTGAAGTTGAGGAGACCACTGTCTCCAATGTTGAAGTTGAGGAGACCACCTCCGCCACGGTTGAAGTTGAGGAGACCACCGCCTCCACGGTTGAAGTTGAGGAAGTTTCTTCTGTTAAAAACGAAGATGTATCGGCTCCCTCTCCAACGGCTAACTTAACTTATTCTACGCAACCGGACGTTGTCGAAGAAACTACTGTAGATCAACCAGCATCCGACCAAGAAGAGTCTGTGCCAGTTCCAGCTTTTATTGATCCTGCGGACACGAAGAAAATTTTGGCTGACACACAAGAAGTCCCTTCTGATGTTGATGATGCGGCAATCGAAAATAAAGTTGAAACCCACCAAGAACAGCAAGCACCTCTTGAAGAAACCTCCAAACAAGAACCATCAGAGCAGGATGTCATTTCTGATGATGCGCAAAGCGATAACGACAAGGAAAACGAAAACGACCTGGTCGGAAACATAATTAGCGATCTGGATGCCCCGATCACCAAAGCAGGTGTCGAACTCATTGCTGAGTTGGATGTGAGACCCACGGAACAGGAAGGCGAGAGCAACAACAAGGTGAATGAATAGCAACTGGCAGTGCCTCTTGAAACTGCAACTTCAACTCTTAAAAAAACACCTCGAATTCAACACACCATTACCATTTTTGCATCTGCCGCTCCATTTAGTGGGCGTGGAATTTTATCCTGGGCGTGCTACTTCTGCTTTCTCCACTCTGTGTGTCTCACTCGAATTGCATCAGTTAATCTGCTGCTGGTAGCGCGCTTGTTGCCGTAGTTAAAACGTAGTTCGTTAGTGTTTGGTACATTAATTGATTTGCTCGGGGGATTGCATGATTTTTTGGTGATATAAAGCGAATGAAGTACGTACTACTAAACCGAGGATAAGCGACTGCATTTTTGTGTATTAACCACAACAAACCAAGCCCATAAACACAACTTAAACTGCATTCATTCTAATATACACATACACACAAAAAGTACAAACTTAAAAAACAGAAAATACTCCCAATCCCATCTACCGCTCTCCTAACCCAATATCTGTTTGGCTGTCGTAACTCTTGCGCTCTCACTAAAACCAAAGACCATAAATACACAACTGTACCTCAATGTTGAACACACACACAAATCGCTTATTATTAAATATATTATTTTGTTTACCATTTTGTATTGTTCTTGCGCTGGCGATTGCCTTTTTCATTGTCGCGTCCTTTTCTTTTTTCCTAATTGTTGTTGTTGTGCTTTCAGTTTTTAATCTTTTTTGCATACGACACAGAATGTAATAGCTTAAACCCGATAAATAACTAATATTCCGTTTATCTCATAGGTGGATCTCGCAAAGGATCTGAAGGAGAAGAATGCCGCGGCAGACGTTACAACACAGGAACAACTGCCCGTTACATGCGAATAATCCTACTCATAATTATTATATATAATATTACATATTATTAAAAACAAAACAACAAACGATACAAGCAACAACAAAAGAACGCAACGTAAAACAACAAACAATTACAAGATAAACGAGATAAAAACAAAACAAAAACAAAAAAACAAGTAAAAATACATTTTTTAACATTTACATATTTTAAATAATTTTTGTACGAACTTCATATCCCTAATCCAAGATATACGCAAGCAAAAGTCAGAGTTACACGTGACACCACCATCCACGCCACCACTGCAACCACACCCCACTCAAACACCCACGCGAAGGCATCAATAGTTTTTTATTGGTGCCTCTGAATTCCAGATCGGGGGAATCCCCTTAAACACATCCATCACCCATCAAGCACACATCCACCACACATGCGCATACATACCATTCTCATATTGATGATCTTGATAGATAAAAGGAATCAACAAATCATATACGATGAAATGATAAAAGTGAGGAGAATTTTTTGAATAATTTCTACTATACATTTAACTGTAAGTTCGAAGAAATTTGTAAAGAATTTTTGGACGAAATATTGGATAAAATATATATTATAAAATATAAAACCCAAAAGCGTGCTTCACTCATATTGACCGGCTGAAAAAAAAGAGAGACGAAAAACCGCAGAAAGGAAACACTTTTTTGAATGTTTTAGTTCTGTTTTGAGTCGAGTCCCGTTCCTCTTCTTTAATACACTACAAAAATAGTTTTTCTTTTCAATATACATGATGTAACCAAGTGTTACAAAAATAATCATTTGTCCTGGTAAACTGGAGTAAGCGCTAAGATTATGTTCTAAGTACATTCTTAATATTTCGTAATGGTTAATTTAACGTAACAAAATGTTACTACAAACAAACTACAAAAGCTCCAACGAAAGCTTCAAAAGCGAAACAAACGAAACTAAGAAATGATAAAGAAAAGCAAATACTAATTGTGCGTCTTTTGCAACTAAATAGAAAATCCTACTAAGTACACTAAATGTATTCAATAAATTAAAGCATTAACTTTGCGCTGCGCAACGTAAAGAAATATGGTCAAAAAGAATTTGCCATCCAACAAAGAGGCGTATATAGGTGAAACCAAAATTGTTTCCAAATCAAAACAAAATCCAAAGGAGGATCTCTCCTATTCGGAGGTCTCTCAGCATCTAACAAAAAAGCGCTGCTTATGCAGGTGAAGTTGCTGCTGCTTCCGGCGATAATCCGGCACATTGCGGAGTATGAAAACGGCTGCGAAGAGCACGTAGAGCGACGACAGAATGATGAGCACGGGGAAGGAGAAGACGATGTGCGCCATCCGGACCTTGCGCTGAGCCGTTAGCGGGGTGTAGATGTAGTCACCTGCAACGATCAATGAGATTATACCGTTAAAACCGGCTATTGAGGGTGGGTCTATTAGCAGAGAAGAAAAACTTAAAATATTTTATAAGGGTAAAGAAATTCATGTCGAAATCGAGCTCGCCCTCAAATGATTTTTCAATAAGATTTTTAAATGGTATCGTCGTTTTAATTGGAAAAGCAAGTCACTTTACTTAAATAAAGTTAAATATAGTTTTTTATTAATCAAATTTTAACTAAACGTCTATAAGGACGTCACAAATATTTTTTTTTTACATGATATCCATCTTTAACTTATAGCTGCTTTTGATGCATGCTTCGCATGTCTAAGTAACCAAATCAACTTTAAGATTGAGAAAACATTTTAAGACAGCCATCCGGTTGTGGCAACATGATTTGATTTAGTTTGGAAGAGATTTTCTTAGGTTCTTTTAAGTTTTGATCAATGGTACTCACCATTCCAGCTCTTGTAGGCGCACCGTTCTCCATCGTAGTCGTTCACGCAGAGGCAGGAGTGGAAGACTGTGTTGTTCACCATCGGATGCTGAAAGCAGTGGCCGCCATTGAGGCAGAAGCTGGTGTTGTAGGCCCCGCTGCAGGGCAGCATCTGAATCTCGGTCTCTTTACTACGTTCCGTTGTCTTATCAGGTGCGACGGTTGTGCTCAGATCGGGCGGATTGGACGAGCTTTGGTCAGGAGGCGGTTCTCCTGTGTGAGTTACGGTGGCGGTTGCTGTCGATGTCTTGGAGTCCGTGGGTGGTGTGCTGCTTTCGATGGTCAACCAGGTTGCAGTACTGGATCCGAGCATATCGATATCCGCTTCCTGGTCAGCATCCACTTCCACAGAGGTCTCCTCGATTGGTTGTTCATATAGTTGACTGTCCGTGCCCCGATTGGGATCGGTTTCGGGGTGCAACTGGTCAGCTGCCGCCTCCTGGTCCGAGGCCTCCAGCTGCTTCCGCTGTAGCTCCAGCTGATTGAGCAACTCAACCGCTGTCTCCTGGATCTGTTGCTGCAACTCGTGTGCATGCTCGTGCATATGGCTGTGCTGATGCTGCACAATTTTTAGCGTATGCTCTCGGAGCAGTAAGATCCGGCTCGAACAACAATCTGAAGGACACAGAGGAAGTGGTTGTAAAATAGCATGCTGCGGAAGGCTTTTTATATTTTTTAGTTAACTACATTCTTTTTTTATTATGATGTAATGAGAAAATAAAGGTTTTAAGATATCTATATTACATTTTTAACATACAAATTTAAATTAAGTTAAACTGCTTTAAATCTTAGTATGCATAAAAAGTTTTGATAACATAGGCACACAAAATCGATCTTTTCAGTAATTTTCACGAACAATATTTGGGAAATTTTATAATGCGTTGGTGTATTGAGTGCTTGTTTTGTCAAAAACTGTAAAGGAAATTCCATTTTTATGGGCCACATAATTCAAAATGTCAAAGTACATCGCTATATCGTTTTCTTAGCTATAGACCTAAGGGTGATCCAAAATAAGTTTGAATGTTTTTTTTTTACTGAAAAGCATTAAAATATTAAATTTTACAATTATTTTTTTATGTTCGCTTACAAATAAATATATTTAAAATGTTTAAAATAATTTATTTTTGATGCACAATTCGTTTAGCTTCTGATGCATTCCTTATCAAAAATCCAAGTACTATACTAGCACAACAAAAAAGGGAAAACCTTGGTTTCGAAATTTATAGTGCAAAGTTTTGGCTATCAGTATTTATCTATAACAAGAAAGGAAAGCTAACTTCGGGCGGAGCCGAAGTTGATATACCCTTGCAGAATATTATGTACACTATATTCTCCAAAATTATTCATATATGTCGGATTAATTGGCCAAATATAAAACCCATAGAAAATCTTAACTTCCTAACTTTACAAACACCAAAGTTATGGCATTTCCGATCGTTCAGTTATATGGCAGCTATAGGATATAGTCGGCCGATCCTTATTAAATTTGGTAGGTCGGATTGATTGGCCAAATATAAAACCCATAGAAAATCTCAATTCCTAACTTTACTTACAAACACCAAAGTTATGGCATTTCCGATCGTTCAGTTATATGGCAGCTATAGGATATAGTCGGCCGTTCCGACTTATATACTGCGTGCAAAGGAAAGAAGGGTGTGTGCAAAGTTTCAATTCGATATCTTTAAAACTGAGAGACTAGTTCGCGTAGAAACTGACAGATGGACAGACGGACATGGCTATATCAACTCAGGAGGTGATGCTGATCAAGAATATATATACTTTATAGGGTCGGAGATGTCTCCTTCACTGCGTTGCACACTTTTGACCAAAATTATAATACCCTCTGCAAGGGTATAAAAATAGGTATTTTCCTTTAAGAACCTGGCAATACTGTCATCGACTTTTTGGGATCTGAATTAAGGTGGGACTGGGAATTCGCTTACCTGTGACGGCGACAATTGTTGAGAGCACGAAAATTACTTTGAATATCCGAGTGAATGGGAATTGCATCATTGGAAAACGCTGGCTGGCGTTTCGAAAAAAACGGGTGGGTGGACCGATTGTCCACCACTAGGAAAACTGAGTCAATGGAGGAGGAGGTCAAAACGATCTAGGGATCGAGCGGCGTGCCGGCCGCAAATGCAATTTGGCGTCGCAACAGAAGCAAAAACATACTACACACTTGCATCTCCTTGTGGATTTTACTGCAAAATAAAAATAGAACATTAGCGCCTCCACATTTTCTGTCACACGAGCACGCACACACGAAGAAAAATAGCACTAAAAATTCATGATCCAAAAGCTTATTATAGACCCACGTACTGGAGCAGCAATGTCGCCTGAAAAAGGCTTTAGCATTATAATTATGTTATAATGGCTCGTGAATCATTTTATATATCGGCGAAATTAATTAATTAAGCAAGCGCGGGAAGCGGGCTCTTCTCTGCTCTGCCTTGATTTTAGGTCTTGTTGCGCGCACTTCGGAAAAGAGACTAAAGACTAAGGAAAACAGAGCCAGAGAAACAGATGGATCCCATCGGCATGCGCCATGAATGAAATCGAACGGTGAGCAGGGAGATCGAAGAGAACGCCCCAAAGAGATGCAGTCGCCCAAGGAATACCTAAATACTAAGAGATTAAAATTACAGTTATCCAATTTACCTCATCTACCCTTAAGGTACTTAATGCTGCATACTTCTAGGGAAGATAAAATGATATCAAAAGAATATGCCTGCAGATAAAGTTTTAATCCATAGAAAATAAAATTTAAAATGTATTGGTTGCTCTTAAATTCTTTAGATCTTACGAAATTTATTTGACTTTTAGTACCAATCGTCTTCCTCGACCAATAAAAATATGGTGTAATATTTGATTTTATTATATATATTTGTTTTTTTTGAAAAGAGATATATACAGGCAGCACACAGAATTTACAGCTTTATAGATTTTAAATTAATGACAGAAAATTTTAGAGTTTACAAAGTAATTCCAAATTGTACTAATAGACAAAGGATAAACATATCCTTTATCCATAACATAGACATATATGTTTTTACTAAAACACGATTCAATTACATACAAAGTAAATACCTAGAGTCGTTGACTTTTCGTCGAAAATATATATATTTTAGATAAGTCGGTAAATATATTAATAGTCACTACAATTTTCGGGCATTTGAAATTCAAAATGATGTATTTCGGTTCTTGTTCGAGATAAAACGTCCGCATTAACCACGAATAATAAACATTAAGTGTTCCTTGCTTTTTAAAAAAATTAATTTAGTTAATTTATTGCTTAGCTTTATGCTTACTAAAGAGTACAAAAGACTAATTAGATATCGACTAATATCCCAGCAGAATTTGAACTATTACGCGCGCTTGATAAAAATAAATTCAAAACTATGGCAACTTCCCATTACGTTTGGGGCTCTATTGAAGAAACACCCAAGTAGGTGTTCCCCAGAAAGTCCAGCTCGGGGCTTTGGCCAATGACCCGCCCGATGTCCTGAGGCTGCAGGTACAGAGGAGCATTGGCCGCCGAAGGAGGTAGTTGTTCCAAGGTCTCCTGTTGTAGTTTGGAGGCCAAAGAGCGTCGCAGCAATCTTTCCACAAATGTACGAAGCACGTGGGCTAGCACGCTAAGGGCCGCTGGTTGGAAGACGCCAGGCGCAGATTCCTCCGGGTCTAGCGTGATGTTGATGTCCTTGCACATTTCTTGGACCAGCTGGAAGGACGACTCCAAATGCTTTGGTGGAGGTAGATAAAGCAGTTGACGATTGTTCACAACTTGGAAGGATCTACTTGTTAACTGATTATCCCTGGAGACTTGCAAACGAGGCTTGTCCACGCCCAGCACATCGATGAACTCTTTATCCCTCATCTTCTGGTCGTGACCACGGAGCCGTTGCGTTTGCTTGGCTATCCAAGTATCCAGCCGATTGCCTGAGCTGAGACTACAATAGGCCGAGATTTGCTGGTGTGGCTCGCCCTTCAGCTGCTCCTGCACCCGCTGAGCCAGTTGTTCTTCTTCCCCCAGTTTCCGCTTCCTTTTCTTTTCCACGGGTAAAACCATTTTGAGAGGCGGGGTGTAACCATGGACCCTGGCAAATGCAACTATTTCCCGCAGACTCCAGTAGTGCTCCTTTCCACTGCCATCCAGCAGCTGCAGCATGTGGTGCTGCATCAAACAGCGACGCAAGAGTCGTGCCCGCAAGTACTCAAAACACCGTTGCTTTAGAGCAGTTTGGTTGTGGAATTCGTCAATCGTTGTACATGTAAAGGGATACTCCGTCTTCTGATCAGTCGATGTTAGCGGCAGTCGACGCAGCAGAAACTCAACAGCACTGCGCATGCCTTGAAACTGGGAACTGATAAATATCTGCTCCAGCCTACGAGGTCGCGTCTGCAGAGGAGTTTCAACTAGTGGAGCAGCACTGTAGGACATCATTGGCTTTTCCTCCACATCGCCGCTCATGTTTGCATACCCGTGATCGTGCTGCATACACTGCAGCATATGCCAACGCTTTACTGACGGCGGCTTTAGGAGACTCAATTGTGGCTTAAGTAGTGATTGCTGCTTTGCAGCCTGCTTAAGCTTCCGCTGCAAAGGATCAATGATGTATAGCTTTCCTGCCCGCTGAAACACCACGTTCTTCTTGCCCTGGTGATGGCCATTACGCACAGGCTTTATAGGTGGCCGATCCGGAGAGGATTCCTGAGACGCTCTGTGGGGCGAAGGCTCTGACCACTGCCTTACAGGCGAGAACTCCAGCCGCTGCCTCTCTGGCAAGGATTCCTTTCTCGGGCTTCGGCCATTTACTGGAAGATAGACCACCGAAGGTCGAGAGGCGCTCACCGGAGCGGCATTTAATCGAAGCTGAGGTCTGGGCGGCGTCGCTGGAGCAGGCGGCTGCTTTCTCGGACTGTAGCTTAACTTCAGAGTCTCTGAGACCAGTACCGTGGGTTCAATCTGCTCAATGTCGTCGGTCATTTCAATTTTGTTGAAGCCAGCAAACAGATTGTCATCTAATTCCTCCTTGTTTTGAGTGATGGAAATAGTACGTGGCTTGCAGGACTCCACCGGGAATGCGGGCGCTGGTTGCTCAAAAATGGGACTAGTCGCCACAGGAGGAGCAGCTTTTGTAGGTGAAAGATTAGGAGTAGTTGCAGCCTTAACACTTTTTCGCTTCGTCACGGCCTGTTCCGCTTTCAACCAGATTTCTACTGTGGTCTCAGCGCCCATCGTGTGCAATCCACACATAGTTTTGTCCAGCACCACCGTGTGCATGAGCTGCACGGGCTTTTGCTGCAAGTGCTCCTGGAAGAACAATTGAATGCGCATGGGGAACTCGCCCCAGCCTCGGCGTGTAAGTTGAAACGGAGGAGTATGCACGTCAACAATGTCGTTGGGTCGGTAGGAATGATGCAGCTGAAAGCGCACCTAAAAATGTAAGGAAAGAACACGATGTAAGGATCAATCACCCTTTAGCGTTTTATTGGAATTCTTACCTTTTTGATGTAAGACCCCAGTGGTTGAGGTAAATCTTTACCCTGTACATAGACCAACCACTTGTAGATCAAAGCTTGTTCACCATTGGATTTCTCTCGGGAACCTTCACCAATGTACTTGGAGGTGTTTCCCACCACAAAGTTAAACTTATTTTTGTTGTTCAGCCGCGAGGCGTTCAGCTCTAGTTGTTTTTCGTAGGCCTGTCGACTGGTGCACGGCTGCTCATCCTCGAGCTTTATTGAAATGGGAGTCTCCGCCACCTGCTGATCTTTGGAGTGATCGGTGACTATGCCCTGCTCCTTTATCTTCTGTTGTCGCCTTTTTTCCGCACGGCGATGAGCCGGATTTCTTAGCCTGATGGTTTGCTTGGCCAAGGTGGCCGCCGTGCGCTCTGGAAGATGATTCTGAATGGGAACTGGTCGCTTGCCAACGATTTTCTTTATGGCTGGGTGCAGCGGTAACTGTGGTGCGGATATATCGTCTCCAAACAGGCTATCCCCGCGCACCTTGCCAACGTCGGCTGCGGTTAGGGGAACCTGTTGCTTCCGGTAGTACTCGCTGACCACCTGGTATCGCAGCCTGTCCAGCAGTTGTCGTCCCTGTATCAACCGTCGATCGATCTCGGCCAGCTGCTCCACTTTTTGAGCGATTTCCCGCTGGAACTCCTGACGCAGGAGTTTCCGGATGCGCTGGACTTTGTCAGAGGGCGGTGGCACCTCTTCCTCCATTTTGGGTCTCTTCCTTGGGATAGAGATGGCGTCTTCCGCACTGGGGTCATTTTGCTCCTGGCTAGAAACCTCCGTTTGGTGATAATCCGGATCGTGATACTCGCTGTGTCTGCGCTTATTTGGTGAAGACACCTGTTGCTGCTTAACTGTGAGCTGATTCCTTTGGAGAGAGACGTCCTTTTCTGCACTGGAATCATCCTGATCCTGGCTGAAAACCTGCGTTTGGTGATAATCCGGATCGTTGTACTCGCTGTGACTGCGCTTCTTTGGCGGAGTCGCCTGTTGCTGCTCCATGTGCGTGGTCGCGGGCACACGCACAGGGCTCGTATCACGTAAGTGCGGTGGGGAACAGCTTCAAGATATGCCCGAACCGCTCCTCGCACATTTAAGCCGGGGTTATTGGCTGTTATTTATAAAAATGTGTAAACAATTGATGCGAACGAGGCGGCGCAAACGGAATACGGGGGCGTTGCCACACCGCCGGAGTAGATGCGTGCTCGCTGTCGTTAGCCAACACTGCCTGCCCCAGCTGGTTTCTTTACGCGGGAAGCAACGACGCCTCCACGGGGAATCGGAAGTACTTATCAAGCAAACGCAAATAAACCGCATTAAAATGGTCGAGCGTATCGAGGATCTCAACCTGCCGAATTCCGTGATCGCACGGATCATCAAGGAGTCTTTGCCGGAGTCGGCCAGCGTCAGCAAGGAGGCGCGAGCAGCAATCGCTCGGGCAGCATCCGTGTTTGCCATTTTCGTGACATCCTCCTCAACGGCATTGGCCCACAAACAGAATCACAAGACCATCACCGCCAAGGATATTCTTCAGACCCTCGCCGAGCTGGACTTCGAGAGCTTCGTGCCTTCGTTGACGCAGGACCTGGAGATCTATCGCAAAATGGTCAAGGAAAAAAAGGAGATCAAGGCCAGCAAGAAGGACACAAGTACCGCCGAAAATGCCAACGCCAGCACCGCTGCAGCTGCCGAGGATGCGACTGAGTGATCCTGTCCAAATGAAGCTATTATAGAATTAGACATAAACAGAAAGCGAGAGTTTCTGAGTATTTTACAAAGTGTTTAAGAACAAAATATAGTTAGCCGTCATTTTTATTTCAGCTTCAATATTCATTTCCTTAAAATATTAATTACATACATTCATACAAAATAAATAAAAGGACGGTCTACAATGATAACTTTTCTAAAACTGAACAAAGTGTGTTTGAAGAAGGATCATAATATATTTTTATTGATTCAACATAAATAGGAAAAATGATATCAATATGCGAATGCCATTAGTACATAATGTATAAGTATTCACTGTGATCACAAAATCACGTCTTTTGAAAGTCACTGCATTGGACATCACTGGTATTTTGTCATGTTCCCTTTTTCAACACTGCAAACAGCTGCCAGAATCGCAAACCGCGTCCCAGGCTCATTGCAAAAGTTTAATAAATTGTTATATTGCATGTTTTACACCATAAATATTTATTCAAACAATGGGTGTTACGGGCCTGTGGAAGCTTATCGAGCCGTGCGGCAAGCCAGTGCCCGTGGAGACTCTGGAGGGCAAAATCCTGGCAGTGGGTAGGTGTTGATTTCGTCGCCTAATGAAATATTTTCTGATTGGAGTTTTATATATGTATGTCCTTATTTCTGCAGATATATCAATATGGTTGCATCAGGTTGTGAAGGGCTTTCAGGACAACAAGGGATCGGCCCTGAGTAATGCCCATTTACTAGGATTGTTTCACCGCCTCTGCAAATTGCTATATTATCGTGTGCGACCGGTTTTCATTTTTGACGGATGTGTTCCGCAGCTTAAAAGAGATACCATTGTGGGTTAATTTATTCAGTTATGCTAGGATAAACCAGTTATTTAAATCCTTTTTTGAATTTTCTTTTTAGGCCCGTCGTCAGCAGCAAAGGAACAAGCTCAGCAACGAGGCCGATCGCATTCAGGCCTTGCTCCTTCAGTCCCTCGCCAAGGAGAAAGTAGTGCAGCAGGCTCTGGGCAAGAATGCGGAGCTGCTGCTCAAGTCACCGGTTAAGAGACCGCCGCCGGCAAAGAAGAACGACGAGGATGACTTGTTCAAGCTGCCAGAACTCCCGGCGGCGTCTGTGGGACAAGATAATCCAGACGAAACTGACCAGGACACCAGTACTAGTGCCTCGGACAGTTCCTTCGACGAGTCAAACGCTCGTCATTGTTACAATTCGAGTCTGCAGGCTATCGATGTTAAGAGCCAGCACTTTCGTAATCTCCCCGCCGACGTGCGACATGAGATCCTTACAGACATCAAGGAGACGCGCAAGCAGTCTTCGTGGGGACGCCTGCACGAGTTGCCCGCTCGCAGCGATGACTTCTGCTCCTTCCAGATGAAGCGTCTGCTAAAGCGTCGCGCTGTTCAGGAGAGCTTGGAGCAGGCCGAACAAGAAATGGGCGGTCACACGCTCACCTATTCGGAGTTATGCGACTTCTTCAGTGAGGAGGGAATCGTCACGCCAACGGCCATTGAGCAGAGTACACGACAGATTAGTTCGGATGAGCACACTCGATTCCTGCTGGTCAGGGATCTCAAGAAAAAGGCCTTGGAGAACACCAAGCAGGAGGTTAAAATGGAGATGATTGAGGAGGTGCCCGTAGAGGAGGATGAGAAGCCAAGCACTTCCACCAAGAAAGAGTCTGAGGAAAGTACTGATCTGGGTACGGAGTTCGATGAAGATTTGGCCAAAGCATTGTCCATGTCAATGGAGGAGACCAAAGTGTACGATGAGAAGGACTATGATTACGACTCGGACCAAGAGCTCCGTCTTAACCGGGCTCAAAGCAAGCAATTGCGACATGCGGCCAAAGGACCTGCTAGGGCATATATGATTGAATACGGTGGAATGAACGACGAGGAGGTTGGAAACATCATGGAGGCCACTCAGCTCAATGATACCCAAAGTCTGGAAAAGTTGCTTGAGACCACCACAGTCCAGAGTGACATGGCTAACGATTCAATAGAGGAGGCCAAACTTATTTCCCAAGCCATTGAAGAGAGCAAACAAATCTCTCAAGCGATTGAGGAAAGCAAAAAGACACTGAGTGAGGACAAGGTGGAGATTGTAGATACAGATACGGATTCAGACTTGGAGGAAGTTGTGGAAGTTCAAGAGCCAAGTAAACGTAAAGAAAGTCTGGAGATTTGTGTTGACATCACCGAGGACCTTAAGGAATCCAACGATTTATTTGCGGATGTATTTAAAGAGGATGATGCCCAGGAAAAGGAGAACAATGAGAGCGATGATGATGATAATGACTTTATAGATGTAAAAGACAGTGAAGAAATGTTATTAGATTCCCAAGATGCAGCTAAACCAACAACAGATACAACTATTCAAGAAAATCAACAAATAATGGAACGATTTGATGAAATTATCGAAGTGAAAGACAGCGAAGAACAGATACCTGAAAAAGTTAAACCTAAACCTGATCTGGACTCCATACTAAGCGATCTTAAAAAGGAAAGCGCTGCTGTGAAAAACATTCAACTTAATTTAACAGATAAAGCTGAAGCAAAACCAAAGGTTGAACTAAATTCAATATTAGATGATCTTAAAATTAAGATGGCCGAAGTGAAAAACATCAGTCTAGATAAAGTCAAGCTAAGCAATAGTGCATCCATTGTGTTATCCTCAGATGATGAAGGGGCATCTAAAACCACAAAAACGGAAATAAATCTAAAGCCAAAGGAAGAAATAATCGAGTTGTGTGACAGTGACGATAATAAAAAAAATCGCATATCTCCCAACAAAACTCCCAGCAAAAATAGGTCCATTAAGGATTTCTTTGATACCAGTTACGTGGTAAAGCGAACGCCCGACAAATCTCCAGTAATGGATGAAACTCCTCCGGGAACACCGAAGACTCCGAAGCCCTTCTACAGAAAGCGAACACCGAAGTCTGGCCGTAAAAGGGCCAACGACGAGGGAGAGGGCAGTGATGATGGAGTTTCTCCCACAAAAAAATCCAGTAAGGCTTCAAAATCACTCTTCGAGCCAAACGAGACGGAAAAGGAAAAAAATGTAGATCCTGAGGTAAGTCGTGGAAAAAATATATACAATGTATTGTGTATAATATCACATTATAATTAAAGGAGATTATTAAAGATGCAGCTGAGGCCCTGAAGTCCCAGAAGACCTCGGAGGAGCTGCAAGAGATGGCCACCAACTTAGCTCAGGAACGGAAGGAGCTGGAGATTGAGCGCAACCGGCAGGACCGCATGGGCATGTCCATCAGCCAGCGCATGAGCATCGATTGCCAAGAGCTGCTGCGTCTCTTCGGCATTCCGTACATTGTTGCACCCATGGAGGCGGAGGCACAGTGTGCCTTTCTAAACGCCACCGAACTTACCAACGGCACTATTACCGATGACAGCGATATTTGGCTGTTTGGCGGTCGAACCGTCTATAAAAACTTCTTTGCCCAGAACAAGCATGTGCTAGAATTTCGGGCGGAACAGATTGAGCAAACTTTTAACTGCAACAGAGGCAAACTAATTCAGTTGGCGTGTTTGGTGGGTAGTGACTACACCACCGGTATTCATGGCATTGGAGCTGTGACGGCTCTAGAGATATTGGCCTCCTTTTCCGGACAGGATACGAGTTCTCAAGGTGTATGCAACCAATCGGTGCTGCAAACATTGGTCAAGTTCCGCGACTGGTGGCAGGCACACAAGAGCAGCAATCTACCTCCCGGAAATTCAGCCCGCCTTTCCCTTCGCAAAAAGCTGAAAAACATCGAGCTGCACGAGGGATTCCCAAATGGAGCAGTAGTGGAGGCTTACCTGGCGCCCACAATTGACGACAATCGGGAGGCATTTAGTTGGGGCACACCGGATGTGGAATCAATCAGGGAATTCACGCGAAAGTCTTTTGGCTGGACTACCTCAAAGACAGATGACATTCTTTTGCCCGTTATGAAGAAGATCAACGAGAAGAAAATCCAGGGCTCCATACGCAACTACTTCACGGCCAAGAGTGCTCTGCGAGTTCAGCAGCCGCTTGTCAGCAAACGTGTACAACTAGCCATCGACAAGATGTCGGGGAAGATCGAAGAGACGCCGGAGAAGCCAGAGAAGGTGACACGCGCCAGACGGGCAAAGGCAGCTCCGGCGGCAGCTGGTGATGTACCCAATGTGGAAGGTGAGCCTAAAACATCCCGTCCCAAGCGGGTCAAACGAAAGGCTGCAACAGCAATTGAATCGGAAGTGGCGGATACGGAACAACCCACCACTTCACAGTCGGTTCCAAAGCCAGAAAAATGTCCTCGGATACCCAACACCGTAGAAGTTATCCCTCAGAGAGAAAAGGACCTGGAGCAGATGCGTTTAAACAAGGCCAAGGCGGCGGAGATTTTAAAAAATGCAGCTAAAGTCAACAAAAAATAAGCTTAGCAAAATCCATTAAAACGAACTTTATAGAATTATTCAAATGGAGTTTGGACATCACGGGGTTGATTTAAAAAATTTCAGATTTTTGTATTACACAGTAGCACAGAGAATAATATCTGATTTATTTTTATATTATTATTGTGCCAAAAATTTCTTATTTACACTTGAGATACAAAATAACTATTAAGGACATTATGCTGAATCGAAATTATGGTAAACCTTTTTCTTACCGTTCCTTTTACAAATCCCTCTACATGAAGGGCTTTAAAAGGCGAAAGACGAAAGCCCGTCGCTTGCAGCAACGTTTACGCAAACTTTTGGAACGTGAAGGCAGTTTACTGCAGAAGATCCCCAAATTGTCCCTCCATCAGAGCAGATTCCTGCTGGCTGAATGCATTCAATTATTACAGCAACAGAGCCGACATCTCCAAAACAATTTCCATCACGATGAACGCAACAACAGAAAGCTGCAGATAATTTCACGGAAATTAGGACGTCATAGATCTGAAAGCATTATTCTCAAAAACTCTTTAAACAACTTAAGAAGAACATTTTATGAGCATGGGATTGAAAATACAATAGATAACAAGGGAGCAATTTTAAAATCTCAACTTAAAGAATTGAGAATGTTGACAAAAAGCAATTTAAAAGAAGCTAAGCAATGTTTTCGATTGACAAAGGATATTATGGTATATAAGTTAAGACACGTGAGGAGGAAAAGTAGGTCGAAAAAAAAAAGTGATTTCGAAAAAGCAATCGATCAGTTCTTCAATGCCATTAAAATTCATAAGAAAATCAAAACACAACAGATTATTAATGACTTTGTGTCAAAGCCCCGATCAAAAGGGCCCTATGAGGTATCATCTGTTTCATCAACAAATCAAGATCTAGAGACAAAAATATTAAATAAATATCAAGCTGGAAAAAAAGCTATAATATGGTCACAAGAAACAAACCTAATGAAAAAAAAAGATAGTGATTTACCTAATGAGAATTTGAAGGACTCCAACATCAATTATTCAGTGTATCAGACAAAGGGTTATATCAAAGACTTACCAGAATCGAAGGTACCGATTAAAGTTTTTCCCCGAAAGAATATCGACAAAGAAGAAAATTTGCACAGATATTTCAAACCAATTCCCTATGACGATATAAAAGATAAGGTAAAAAGGAATAACAAAATTGAGACAAAATTAAAAAAAAAAAAAAGAATACCAATAGAAGTATGGCAACTAAAGAAGGAGAAGAAGGATTTCCTTACAAGGAGGCAAATCAACTTCAAAATAAAGTAAAAACTAAGTTGAAGAGTAAATTTCCCAAGATTAAAATGTGGCTGGGAAGTCACAAAAGGGCCCCAAGAAAATCTAAAACGGTGTCTTTAGAAATCGAACACTTTAGACATCCTTCGGATAGTTCCAACAAAAGTTACTCCACCGTTTCAAGTATAAACAATTCAAAAAGTCATTCTTCATCCTACGAGAAATTTAAACCCCCGCAACTTAATTCAATTATTAAAACAAAAGAAAGATCCGATGATAACATAGTTAAGACTAATAGGGTAATTAAACCAAAACATTTTCAAATCACGAAATCCGATGATAACTTAGTTAAGACTAATAGAGTAATTACACCAAAACATTTTCAAATCACGAAATCCGATGAAGCCGTAAACCAGTCTAATAAGATAATTGAAACCAAACATTTTAAAATCAGGTCAAACTTTAATCCTGTTAAGACCGAATTTTGGACCTCCCAAAAAGGCATCCTACCGACAGTAAAATCAAAACTTACCAATTCGATGTTGGGAAGACAGTCTATAAAATCTTTTGAAAGTGTGGGAAAAGAGTACAACCAGCCATCCATGTCACAAGTGGCCGCTGCCGTTATCAACCGTTTATACGATGGGAAGACAATAAGTTTGGATGAAACAAGCTTTCAAAAAAAGGTCGACACCTCTAAAATACATATTAACAGTTTTTTAGGAAAGATTTCTAAGTTGAGGCCCGCAGATCAGATGAACGCAGTGTGGAACGATTTGCAGGAAACGTACAAAGAGATGTCGCGTAGTGCTAAAACCCCCGAAGATGTCCAGAAATTCAAGAAAATTTTGAAGTGGCGCTATATTCACAACGTGCAGAAGTTATTGCACCACCAAATCAAGCAATTTAAGATTGATTTAAACAGCGGCAGGTCAGAATTAGGGACCAGAAGGTCACAAATTTTAAATAGAACAGTCCGTTCTAGCAACTTTATACCAAATAGCAATGACACGTCGGGACTTTTTAAAAAGGTATCTAGAATGGACACACCTTCAAATAAGACTGTTCACGAAAACTTTGTCCGGATGCAAATGGAGATGCTGAGATCGAGGATTTTCGACAGGGACGTGTACGGAATGGAGCGCATGATAATGGGCAGGGAGCTGCCTATAACTCCAAAAGATTTCGAGATCTTCGAGAAATATAAATCTGATCCTAACCACTATAACATCCTCATATTATCCATAAACAAGTCCCTTTCAGATGAAAAGTACGAGGAAAAACTGCCAATGCTGGAGCGAAATTTCCAATTTATCTGCAATCAATTGGAGGAAATTTCTCGACAAAGAAGAAAAGATAACATGCTTACTAAACATGATTTGCAAAAAGCAGAAGACGATGTAGTTTCAAAGATTTCAGGCGAAAGCTTTCTTGAGCGTATAGACTTTAATGAAGCATTCCTGGCTAAAAGGCGAGAGGTGTGGGCAGACTACATAGCCAAGCAGGCTAAGACGCCCACGGAAATTCTTTTGGCCGCAGCCCGGAAGCAGAAACGAAAAGCTCAGCTAGCGAAAAAAGCCGAGGAGCGAGAGAAACGGAATAAGCAAGACCAGCAGGTTCCAAAAAGGAAAAGATCTCTCACTGCGCTATACAGAGCTCCGAGAAAAACGCATCGTGAGCGTCAGGCCATCAAGGAAATCAAGGAGGAGATGGAGGAGATTGAGGTCAGGAAATCAAAGCGCTCGGTGACTTGTTCGTGTTGTCGGCGATGCAGCAGGTCCGGAGTGGTCTGGACTCAGAAGTGCTCCGAAGACAACACCGAGGAATCACACATTTGCCCTGTTTTAAACTATGATAGTTGTTCTTAAAGTTTTGTACGAATCTCATTGGAAAATCACATTAGGAATCTTAATTTGATTTTGCCATGCGATTCTTATAAACTTACCTAAAAACTAAAATAGGAATATTGACTTTTATAATAAACCGAAAAATTGTTCATGACATTTCATTGCCGATAAAACAGCTTTCCCATTTTGAGCAACGGTAAGCTTTGGGCCACATTGTTTTTTATTTATTTTTTAAAGATACTTTTTCAGTGAGTTATTTAATTCAAATGGAAAAAAAATATTGATTTTCAATATTAAAGCTTATATAAAAAAATGTTTTTTCTTATTTTCATATCTCTAAATTTTTAACATTAATTGGGTGCTAAATTCTCATTATCTTTTACAAAAAAACTTTATTTTGTAGGTTTAAGGGCAGTATATATACCTTAAGGCACATTTTTTAATATTCAAGTTAAGATATAAAAAGCTTGTACATGGAATTGTATAGAAAATATCTATACGCCGAGGCAGTATAGAAAATTATCTCGACATCCTACGTACACCCGACGCAGGCCCTCAATATAGCACGCGCTGGAAAACACTTCGCCTGGAAGTTTATCAGACCACTGGATTTCCCCATTCGTAAAGTTCATCAGGACGACTCGGCCATCGGTGGCGCCGCACCAAACCAGAAGTCCGTTCGGTTGCACAGTGAACAAACTGGGCGTGGCATAAATGGGTGCGCCCAAGTTGATCTTCCAGTGCAGCCCAAACTCAACCGATACCGGGAATCGGTTTGATCCTGTTTTGCATCGCAAGCAATAAACATGCTGATCAATGCAACCGAAAACCACAAAGGCATGTCCCATAAAAGTTGGTGGGGTCTTGACCACCAGCGAGGAGAAGATGTTTCCCTCTGAGCTGTAGGTGGCCAACTGAAAATTTAATTTTATTAATATATATTTAAAATTGGAACTAGAGATTACTCACAATTCTCCCATTGCCCACATGACAGGCGTGTACTCGCCCAGCCACTTCGGCGCTCAGAAAGATATTCGACTTGGATTCTAGAAGAACGGGTGTGGAAAAGATGGGCTCTCTGAACTGCTGCGTCCACTCCACCGAACCATCGGTGATGGCCACACGCGAATAGCTGCCGTCCAAAGTGCAGATGATCAGCGACTGTTCGCTGGGCAGCTCCAGAGGACCGGCGAATATTGGCTTCTCGCCAATTCTCAGGCACCACAGCACCTCCTGCCGCTCGGCGGACAAGCAATACACATTGTAGTCCTCCGCATAGCTGCATACAATGATTCTACGGCCGTCGGCGGTGAGCAAGGGCTGGGACTTAATCATGCCTCCAATTTCCACGGAAAACACAATGTCTCCGGTTTGGGGATTGAAGCCGTAGAGGGAACCATCGTAGCAGCCCACCATAGCAAGTTGCTCGCTTAGAAACGTCACCTTACACTCTACGCGATTGGGTAGCCTGACTTTACTAAGCTCGCCGCCCGTCTGGGGATCCAGAGTTCGCAGAATTTTGGAATGAGCGCCCACGCAAATGTAACGACCCTCGTATTCAGTCACTGGGGAATCTACGCACTTTTCGAAGTTCACCTTCCAGAGAAACCGAAGCTTGAGTACCGGCTGTTCAATTCGTTTGATTACCAGGCCGCCATGACAGGACGTAACCACTGGCGGCTCAACGGGCTTCAGTTTGATATTGTTGGCCACCAACTTGGCCGTGTCCAAAAACCTTAACACTGTGCGCAAAGGAATGTTCTCGTCTAGTAGCATCTCGAATAAGTGGCGTTGCTCATCATCGATGCACATTTGCAGACCAATCTCTCTACAAATTGTGATGGCATGGAAGGATGTGCCACCCGCCTGGCGAAAGCTCAAGTCATAGCCACAGGGATTACTGTCCTCCAGTCGCTGCCTCTTTGCTGAGTTCTCATTAGACTCCTCCACACATTCCAGTCTATCGTGCAGAAAACTCTTCAATATTTGCTGAGCGGGTTGAGCAAGGGGAATGCATTCCTTGAGTAGCAGTTGTTTATCCAGTTTGCCATGGACATTGCAGGGAAAGTGTTGCAGATATACAAATCTATCTGGCTGCTCGGCATTCGAAACTTTCGAAAGAATGTCAAAGGTCTGAGCCCGCTGTTGAACTCTGGTCTTTGGCTCCTGGGTGCGAATGCAGCAGATGAGCTTTTGCAAATCCTCAAGCCAAAGACAAGTGGCCAGTTCGCTGCTGAGCAGACATTTTTGTATTTTGCGAGTGATTAAACCTGTATTTTCGATAAACTATCTTAATTAGAAACAAATAACTTTATCCAAACTATTTCTAATTAGCTGTCTCTGTCATTTAAATGTTTAAAAATACATTTTTCTTGAGAACATGATGGAGAAGGTTAAAAATATTAAATGCTTTAAAATGTATATTTTTAAACAAAATAAAAACAAAAATGGTTTAAGCAAGAACTGTCTTACTATAGGCGCTTAAAAGTTGTTAACAGTGGTAAATATTTTGATTTTAAGTATAGGAAAAATACTCACCCAAGCTTATGCGATTACCAGCTCGCTTCACCACATCATTTGCCCGCTCTCCATACAATAAGGTGCCATCCTTCAGTCGGGTGACCAGGTCGCCAGTAGCTCTGAAACAAATCCCGGAATCGTCTTTTAGAGTATCCAACTTGTCATCTATTTCTGGTATATAGCAACGCCGCGACGCACTCCCCAGGAGGAGCTCTCCTTGCTGCGTGTCTCCATCGTTTTGGCATTGAATCCGTAAAACCGTATCCTCTTCGATGGGAGTGCCTAAGCTGACTTGGCCTTGTAGTGTCTGAACGATGTGCAGGAGGCTCCAGCAGGATAACTCCGTAACTCCATAGATATTGCAAATGTGTTTCTGCAACAGGACACTCGGATCCATCCAAGTAACAAGCTCTGCATTGGAGGGGAAAGGCTCGCCACCAAGAAGCAGCACTCTGAAAGCGATTTAAACATATAAGTAAAATAAAATATGTTCTCTTAACTTGATCTTATCATATCACACCTCAGTGAACTGGAGCTGCTCAATATCCGTTCTCTGATAGAATTGGCTCCAAATTGCCGGAAAAGGGACGGGGTCATCTGAAGGATGCTGATTCCCGGTTTGACCAGGTTGTCGGGAAACAGAGCACTTAGCACCCGGCTAGGTGAGTCCCTCATCGAGTGATGGCTGGTCAGTAAGGTAGCCCCATTTTGAAGGGCCAGAAAGAACTCCACCACGAATGGATCGAAGGTGCAAGGTGTGCCCAAGTAAATGATGTCGGCCATGGAGACGTTTAGCTTCTGGCTTGGAGAACAAGGCGATAAGTTGGGCATTGAAATAGTGTGTAGTCACTAACCTGAGCGCCACTATATTGGGTGCGATGCATTCGTAAGGCACATGTATCAGTTTGGGGCTTCCCGTACTCCCTGTTGTGGAGATGGTGTAGCACATATTGGCGGGCAGAGGGTTCTTGGCCTGGACAGCAGGATCGGTTGGTTTGTGTTTCACCTTGTAAAGCTTGCAGTCCTCGTTAAACACAAGGATGCTGCCAAGACGCATAAAGTTTAACTGCCCAACAGCCAAATGTTTGTTGACTAGGAGATACTCCACTCCGGCCGTGCTCATCTGTTCGTACAGCGCCTGGGAGAGCAGCATCTTGTCCGTGGGATAGAAGTGGCACTTGTGGTTAAGTATCCTATATGAGAGCAATCAACGTTAATATAGTAATAAAGGATTGGGTCTTGGGACACCTACGCTAGAATCAGAAGACAAGAGGCCGGCGTGTGCTCCGTGATACGCAGGGCGATTCCCGCTCCGGCTGGAACCTGGTTGCATTGCAGGAATTCCAGCACTGTCTGGATCTTTTCCACTGCCTCGCTGTAGGTTACGGTCATGTCCTGGGGCTCCGTGCGCTTTATTAGAAAGGGAACATTCTTAAATGCTCGAATTCTGCTGACATCGTACAGCTTCTCCCCTTGCCACGCTATTGATTTATTTGAGTTCCCATCCGGCGGAGTCTTTGGTCCTGAATTAGGACCGGAATTATTCTCTTCTGACGGTGCATCTTCCACCGTTTCGGGTATAAATTCGGCAGTTGCCATTAAATTGGTCAACTTTTGTTTACAAATGGTACCGTGTCTTCATTTTAGTGTTACCAAAACGATGAAATTGAATAACACCAAATGCTCTCCACCAACCACCTAAAAAATCCACTTCTCACACTATTATTAAAGTGCGCGCTTAGTTTAAAAAAATATTGTTTATCTTTTTTAGTGTTATACTTTTTGCAAGTTATTATTATTATATTATAATATTCCCCTTTAACCCTAAACTGACGGATATCACTAAAACTGGGAGGAAAACCCTTAAACTTTACAGCAAAGCGATATCTTAAAACATTGTTTAAAAAATTACGACCTTTTAATAAATCATTCTGCATTGTGAACATTTTTAGCATAATAGTTTTTAAAATAATTAAAAAATGTACTCTTATTTAAGTGACAAGCATGTAAAATAAAGGAAAAATATTTAATAAATTAATCCTTTCTCGATTTTGTCAGGGATCTAAGATAGAATAACGATTTTTAAGGCTTGCCTTGTGTTTGTATTTTTCGGTGCAAAACGTTTTATTTCATTCTTCACATATATTATTCGCATAAAGCTAAAAACGTTTATAAAAATGTTTTTTGTTGGTTTTTTTTCGTCACAAAAATATGTTTGTATACATATGCATGTACTGGAGATAAAACATCAATGAATTTAGTGTAGCTTAATACTAGGCAAATGGCTTCACGTCCGCATTCCATTGCTTTTGATTCCTCTCATTCACGCTTTTGCAAATCTTGTAGATCGAACATAAATTAAGTCCTCAAGCGGGAACTAGTGTATATTTGGGTGATTTTTTCATGTAACCTGAGGTAAATCTTATTCTATCCACATTTATGCCTGCTTCTTCGAGCTTAAGGCTAGGCCTTCTTTACTCAGCTTCGTGTACTCCGTCTGCATGATGGACTGGCACTCGTCAATCAGCTGCTGAACGTCCTCCTTCTTGTACTTCTCGGTGGGCACCTCCGGAAGGATGTGGATCAAGGCGTGGCCCGGACGAAAGGTCTTCTTCTCATCGTCCATAAATGAGTACTTAGATATGAGCACTGGCTGGATGGGGCTCTTGCCCTGAAGCGCGATGTGGAACGACCCCTTCTTGAACGGCAACAACGTGTCCTTGGTGTTGCGAGTGCCCTCCGGGAAGAGTAGCAACTTGCAGTTGCGTTCCTGTATCGCCTTGGCCTCCTTCTGCAGCGAGTTGATCGAGTCGGTTTTCCGGGACCTATTGATATAAAGAGTTCCCCAGAGCCATGCTCCGATGCCAAAGAAGGGGATGTAGAGAACCTCCTTCTTGGACACAACTGTAGCCCTTCCGATCACTGGCCACAGGTAGGCCAACACGCACAGATCCACTGCACTCTGGTGATTCATGATCACAACTGCGCCGTGGTCCTTACGGACATTTTCCAGACCCCGAACCTCCATGGTAATGCCCATTAACCGACACAACTGCCGGAAGCACCATGATGGGAAGCTGCAAACACAAAATTATAATTAACAAGGAAAGTAAAAAATAAAGGGCATTTCCGAATTTTTTTCTTAATTTTGTGCTAAAAGGTATTTAAGGAAGCAATGAACATATTTTAACTTTTACAATATTCGTTAGTACAAAAAAAGGTAAATAAGATATAGAAATAAGTCGTAATTCATTATGAAAATATTATTTATATAGTTTATATATAATCTTTTGGAGAATTGACAATATTAAACAAGTTTTAATTTTTAAGTAGAGCAACCAAGATATTAATATTAATTATGGTATACAAAACCCAGTAGTTCCAAAAAAAACTATGCTTTGCCAATTTACTTACAGGGCATTTCGATAGTCCCTCGGTCGCAGGATCATAAAGGGAACACAAATCAAGACTATGGCACCCGCTCCAAAGAATATAAAGAACATGCGCATCTGATAGGGAGCTTTGGCCGACGCACTCAGGATTAGGGCCACCACGCAGGCAAGGCCAATTACTTCGCATGTGCAAGCCATTTTAAGACGCTACTGAATCCCGAAAGTCGGTTGTTCTGAAAGTATGAATAAGAATTAAATTTAATCTAATGAGTATACGAAACTGTTTTAAGCTAGGAAAAAAAGCTACAATTGTCCAAATTTTGCTATCCAAAAAAAAAATTACTTCGAAATAAAAAAATTTTTTGATTTAGTACTCGACATTTAATGCTTTGCTTTCTAAAGCTGGCACTCAATATATTTTGGGACAATCTTCAATGAATGTCCACGACTTTTCAAGTAACATACTTATAAGTTGGAATTCAATTTACTATTTTCGGCAATGAAGTTTTCTGATTTAGAATCTTGCAACTCACTATTGCATCAAACAAAATCAACATTTAAGACTAAATTGATTGCAATTATCTTCATTATTGAATTTGACTTTGCCAATTGAGCATCTAAACTGACTTGCGATTATTTCGAGATTGTTAGATAAGATGCACGGGCAAAATTATTTTCAATTTTCTCTAATTTGCATACGGTTTTGATTGGTCAATAAATTGTGCTGCGATTATAAACCCTACACATATATCATATTCAACGAAAACAGGATTTTTCTTCAAGTCAGTTGGTTTCAATGCTTTATTGGCAGTACTTCTAGATTACTCAATATTAATTATAAATTTATGACCGATTTTCCTCTGGTAACAAACCTTTGGAAGACCTTAACAAGGTCGGCACACGTCCAATATTGCCGATCTAACAATTACAACTGAAAAATCCCGTCGTAGGTGGACGTTTAAAATAAGAAATGTCCGAAGGCTTATCAAAAATTGACCAATAGCTTTTGTTTGGATTAAGGCACTGAACTTTGGTATTGTGCTGATACATTTTATAATAAGCAATACTTTCGAGTAATTAAGAGTCAAACAGGGTAATACTCTAGTTTTCGGTCTTTACTTTCAAAGAACTCAAAAAATGTATTTCAAAAATCACGAAAAGTATCAGCAATAGACCGCGAGCTCTTAAGAAACGTGAAGAAATTTTTTCACATTGCCGGGTAATCCAGTTTTAATCCAGTGTTTTAAGTATATGATTTTGTTCTAAATCAAAATAATAAAAATTCTGGAACTCGTGTAAATTGTGTTATCTAGAATGACAACCCAGACACGAAGATTAAATTATCCACCATTTTTTTGAACTTGTTATATTATAAAGTAAATCTTAAAAAATCCCGGTCTCTTCAAAAAATTTGATTAAACTACCGAAAATTGTTAGCCATGGATCGTGACTACCGTAAAATAGAGTACTACCTCAAAACATATTAATCAGCTCTTGGTAAAACCGTGACGAATAGTCCAAAGAGTTGAGAGATCAGAATAGTAATCAAGTGTTGGCGATATGCCTCAAGTGGCGAACAAAAGAGGTATGTACTTTTTATTAAAGATTATTGTTGGTTACGGGTATGGTAATCTTTAAATAGCGACAACACCTAGCGCACACATTGCCAGTCTTTTTCATTATTTATGACTTGATCAAAAGATTACCACAAAAAAATAAATAAAATACTTATGCTGGGCTTATCTTAACATAAAACGAGAGCTGAAGCAAACTTCGTTAAGCCGAAGTCTTAATACCCTTGTAGTTAACCAAAATGTATTTGCAGAGCGGAAATATACTTATGACAGCAATATGTATGACAGGTTAAGCAAGTTTCATCCGATCATAGAATCGATCGGAAATATTTGCGCTATAAAAATTGCATAGGATACGGCTCTTAAATATGGTCATCCGATTTTGATAAAACTCAATGTATTGGTCCTAAACAGGGGATAAAAACATAACATTAGACATAAACAGCGAGACATAAGAAAACTTTCTGCAAAAACAACAATTTAAACATGTATATATATAGTTTCAGAATATCTCGATATAAATATATATATAGATGTTTAAATCTGCGTACCCAAATAAGAAGACGAGTGCGAACGTTTCAAGTCTCTTAAACTGAGCACGAGTGTTACTGTTTCAACTTTTGGTGGAACAATTAGCAGGTGAACTCATTAACTCATGGCACAGACTTTGACATACACTTCAAAGCTCATCTATAGGAACATATAGCTTGGGTAATTACGCACAAAAAGTGTCGTGTGTTGTTTAACAATTGAAATAAATTCCCGTTGTCAAGGCTACTTCAAAAATTAAAAGAGCACTCGAGATTATAAATTTTTATGTTCGAAATTCATCACATGATCCTTTTATGTTTATAACCACTTCATCTCAATATAAAATTCAGCGTCAAACCTTAGGGCTTCCTAATCAGAATCTTTTGGATTTTTGTATTGTTTGCCGAACCAGAATTTAGTTCTTATGAACTAAGCTTGTAAATTAAATACTAAACAACTTCTAATGTTGGCATTAGCAATTATAGCAGTTATAATTATCGTTACAGATGCAACTTTCCGCTGTTGGAGCTCAGAATTGATGTCAAACTGTTGATAGTGGTGTGACCTTTTGGGGTGTAATTACGTGTTGAATGGGCACTTAGGTTTAATCAAGCGCCGAGATCAGATGGTAATGGCACTGCTGCCTTGGATTTTCATTGATTTTTGCCCGAATAAGTTTCAACGTTTTCCGACTCCATATTGTGTAGGCTGTTTGTATTTAATATCCAATGTGAGAAGTGGTTCTCGATATTGCGGTTCTAAAATGGGTCGTAAATGGCTTATGTTATTAGTTCTGCAGAAAACCAACGTTTCGCGATAACGCTTCCAGGTATTTATCGTTATTTATACCTTTGCGTATGCATACTTTGCTTTATTCAGAAAATGTATTTCTCCGCAGGGTTGTTATTATTTCAGAGCTAAAAATGTTGAGAAAATTACACATTGGATTTTACAGCCTGTAAGTGGATAGAATGCAAATAAAGAAGTTTCAGAAAAATAGTATGCACACCCCCTGTTATTATTTAAATATGAGTTGAGTTTCTAAATTACATTTCTGACTGTGTGCTAATTTCAATTTGTAAAGTGTAAATATCTGACTTTTTGTTTACAATTTCCACCGGTACCGCCCGTCCCTACATCACGAAAGGGGTGTACGGTTTGGCTTTTATTATCTTTTCGACAATCGCGGCAAAGCTTTTGGTGTGTGACAGCGAAACATCGATTCAAATAACTAGCATAAGCTCAGGTTACTGATAAGATTGTGGCATGATTCCACGCTGGAAAATGATAGGCATTATTATATTACAACATAGAACCCGCGACGATCGTACGCATGTGACGGGCGTGGAGAGTAACTAGAGTCCGGACCGGGTCGCGATCTCCCCTGCAGCCTCAATTTGCCAGCCAATTTAACGTCAGCGTTTCGATTCAAGTTCAAAGTCAACGAGTGCACAGCGTGATGCTAGCGGAGAGGGAATCGTAAACTAGACTCAACTTGAGTCACAGCATCGATCTGATCTGACGATCGGACTTTCCTCATCGAATGATCATTGTATCACTAATGATTGCCGAGTGGAATGTTTAGAACGTTAATCTTTTGTTGTTTTTTAATAATATACAAAGCTTGAATACATTTTACTTGTCTGGCGCTCGGAATATTATCTATGTTTAAAGTAATTGTATACACTAAATTAATTGGAGACTCAGAACCGACACACTACACAGAATAGAATCGCATATGGTGTTAATTATTGATTCAGTACGGTGATATCATCCCTTAAAAGGGCTCCAATCGGTCCAATAAAGTCAAAAAATCAGTACAAAGACTAAAATGAACTCTACTAAATTTAATTAATTTAAAGGATTTGAAAAAGCATAAATTTAAATATTTTAGTTTGATTATAAATTATCCAATTTTTTTGCCAATGCAGATAAGAAAAATGAGTCCATAGATACTTGTGTACAATTTAGTTTTATAAATATAATTTGTCTTAAAGTCTAAGTGACAAAAACAGCATTTATTTAAAGAACTTTAATGCTAGTATATTTGCTCCAAATTTTAAAATCAATATTGAATGGGGTTAATAGAAGTATTTCTTAGCCCAGAAGTCTAGTAATATCGTACTATTATAAATTCTCTTTTTTCTCTTTAAGCTCGTTAATTATTAAAGAACATATTTCAAACGCCATGATAACGGTGGAAAGTGAGGAATCCCAATAACCTGAAATCAACAGGGACCAAAAAGTAAAACTCGGGGGAGAAAAGAGTGAGGGGCCAAAGCTCGGGCCAAAAGGCAACGGCAGCAACAGGATGACTGGCAGGACACAGAAAGAAATAAAGCAAATTCAAAGATTATGTATATTTGTTTTTTTATACATTTTTCAGCCGCAAAAATTTTAATGTTATATGCTTTTTATATGTTTAAAAAGTATACCCCCATCATCAAATTGATAAAATCCCTATAAAATCCTATTTTCGTTTAGTGTATTGGCAAAGAGAGTAATAAATGTACACGGGGTTGCTGTTGTTTTTATTCCTGCTGGAATAATATACGCACCGCATGGGAGAGGAAAGGCGAGCAGGATAAGGAACAGCATAATAAAGACAGAACGTACGTGGGGGAAAACTAGAACTTAAATAGTATAAACTCACGAAACAGTTATTTCTTCTACCCTCGAGAAACTGGGTGGAAAATTGTTGCTGCTATGACTTCTAATTCTCTCTCTGTTATTGTTGTTGCTGCTGCGTAGGCGTAACAGTTGTTTTTCCGATGTGTAGGTGTGCGTTTAAGTGTAATTTGCAGCATCTGCAGTTTAATTTATTCCACTGATCGTGGGAAATGACCAAAAAATGGCTCTCCCGCACTGCAATTAAACGATAACCGACTAAGCACTTTGTCCTAGATCAGCCAAAGGAATATTCCCGCGTTCGCACAGACTTCCGAGTGCCGGCACTCAACAAAAAAGAGACACGACGTCCGCTTCAATCAAGAGTCCGCGGGCAATTGATTTGAAAAAGCTTTTGCTTCTCATGTTTACCGCGTTTCCGTTTAACCTGTATGTAGTGCTAATATTTTGCTCAGGTACTTATTTTAACTATACTTTACCTATGTACAAGGCATTTGTAAACGATTAGCTTAACTAAACCGAAATTTTTAATCTGAACAAAACAAATTTGTCAGTATTATTACTCCTCTTATTAATGATTAATAAATAAGTTGTTAATTGTATTATAAATGATATTTTGCTGTTTGCTCCATCAAATGCATTACTATGTGTTGAGTCATAAGTCGTTGCGTATAACTTGTACAAGCTTGAACCCCAATTTGTTTTTCAAAATCAATAATTGCCGTTTTAGTTGTTACGCATATGTACTTTTTTTGTTTAAACGCATATCTACAATACTTTATATTTGTTTTCATTAGTTTTTGTATTTCCTTTCTAAATATTCATTAAAAATTATAAAAAAAGATAATTAAAAACGAAAATACAAGTTTAATAAAGTTTAAAGAGAAAAATATTTAATTTTATTTTCTTCTTTTTATGTGTGTAAGGGCAATTAAATAAAAGGTCCCATTAACACTAAAAAAGATATTATAAAACATAATAATACAAAATTCCGTTACTTTTTTAATAGACGTGAGAACCACTGTGTATAAATCGATTAACACTGCAAATCGATTCTCACGTATTGTGAAACACTGCGATACATCGATACTATCGTAGGTGGTATTACTCATCTCTAATACAAAACGCATTTTTTCTGCCGGCGAGGATTTGTTTGCAAATATTTGTCAAAATAGATAAATTCAGTAAACCTTAGGATTGTCTAAAGCCGGACAATGTATATAATGGAGCCCGACGCCACCCTGGATCAGGATGTGAGCACCTGCCGCTTGTGCCATCGTCAGACGGATTTTAACTCGCCAAACATTTTCGAGAGCTCCGTGGAGTGCTGCAAGGATGTGTCCATTTCCGACCTTTCCCAGGTTCTGTGGGGCGTACTGGTGAGTGGCTCTTGACAATGCATCTAACTGTACCCTTAGTAACTCTCCCCGTTGCAGTACGATCGCCACGAGTTTCTATCTGAACTCATTTGCCCGGAGTGCCTGGAGATCCTGGAGGATGCGTTTGAACAGCGCAAGGGAATGCACGAGCGGGAGCAGGCGCTTCAGGAGCAGCTAAAGGACCTTATTAAGAATGATGCCAAGTACCGACCCGGCCTGAATGGCAATCCAGGGGAATTTGTTCCCGAGGAAGACTGCATCATCGTGGACGTCGATCCGGAAAAACTGGCGGAGTCCAGTGAAGATGAATTTGCACTCGGCTCCGACGGAGAATACGAGAATTTTGATGATGACGATGAAGAGGAGGAGGAAGACTACGACGAAGAGGACGAGGAAGATGGCCAGAATGGGGAAGATATGGACATGCCTCTGGGCATGGATGCAGCCCAGATGGCGGCTCAGAAGTCCATCGAGATCGATGCCAATTCCGCGGGGCAACGACCCAAGCGTGCGTTCCTGTGCCAGTACTGCGATCTTGGCTTCACACTGCCGTCGGACTGCCAGGAACACGAGCGTATGGCTCACGACCCCACTGCGCCGTACTGCTGCACCTTCTGCAACCTCAGGCTCGTCACACGGCCCGCATTGATTTCTCACATCAGGACATTGCACGATGCAGAACGTCCGTATGTCTGTGCTCATTGCCGCAAGGGATTTGTGCGCCGCTCCGATCTTAAAAAGCACACAATTGTGCACACCGGCGTGCGTCCCTACACCTGCAACGTGTGCTCCAAGAGCTTCTCGAGGAATACTAATCTTACCAAGCACATGCGCATTCACAGCGGCGTGAAACCGTTCGTCTGCCAGCACTGTCCGCGATCCTTCCAGACGGCTGTGGAAATGATGAGGCACACACGCTCCCATGGCGAAGTGAAGGCTTTCCAATGTGGCCGCTGTCCTTACTCATTCTCCCGAAAGGATAAGTTGATGGCCCACCAGCAGGTCCATACCAGAAGGGACGTGGAGCAGCAGCAAATGTGGTTACCTTCCCCGGTAGAGGGCGACCTGGCGCACCAGCAGCAGGCGTTCCAGGCCAAGCAAAAGGTTCCGGCTCAATCGAAAACCTCGCGGAATTACCGATGCGATGTTTGCGATCGTGGTTTCCAGCGGGAACGGGATTTGCAACGCCATCGAGCACTCCACATGGATTCGTTGTTGGCCTGCAAGATTTGCAATCAGGGATTCAACCGACGCGAGCAACTGCATCGTCACGAACTGGAGGCCCATGGGCCCAGCTTCACGTGCGCCATCTGCTGCATTAGTTTCCTGCATCAGATTGAGTTGGAGAACCACCTGAAGGTCCATCAGCTGCAGCACAAGACAGCGCAGCGTGCCCAGGAGGCTTTAGTATTGCCCCTCAAAATGGCGGAACAGGCGCCCGCGGCTATTATGCCACCGGTTGTTCAGGAACCTCCACCATTGCGTCCTTCGGCCGCCGAGCTCTCGTTCTACAGCAACATGATTCCCACCATGAATCTGGGCTTCTACAGTGAGACTCGGCCTGAGGATTAGAATTACATACTCAAAACTTAGTAAGTAAGTTGAAAAAGTTTGTATAGCCAGGCGGTTTAAGGCGTTCAGATTAACTAAGATAACACTGATACTAACGGCTTCTCAGCCTATCTTTTGCCAAAATGTAGTTTACTGGTTTTTTGATAAATGGCCAAGCCAGAAAAAAATCTGGTAAATTAAATATTAATGAAAATATAAATATTTTATTGGGGAAACCATTGTATTGCAAATCAAATTGAGTTTCAAAGATGTCTTTCCACACATGACTGATTTTTTAATGATAATAAAACCCAATTGGCGCCATTTCGTAACCGTATGAAAACGATTTTTATTTAATTAATTTCACCAAGTGGATTTCAAGTGGACAGCCGTCGAAAGTGCTTTAAAGGTAAACAACTTTTAACCACTTTTTTATATTTACTATTTTTCGAGAGAAATAATAAAATTTTAATGATGTATTTTGTGGTATTTTTCATAAAACATTTATTATTTTGGATACACGATTGAGTAGCAGTCGAACATGTTGCATGCAACAAGTTGCAAGTGGCTTGATCTCAAGACAGACTTCTTTGAAAGCTTCGAAGTTGCTGCACCGCTGCAGATTATTTCTCGAGGTTGCCTCGTACGGTAGTCCCTCGACCTGCGCTCGGAATTCGATCGTCGTCTGGAGATCTCGTAATATTCTCGGAGTGCGCGCAGTGAATATTGTGCTGGTGCTGACAGTGTAACGCTTGATAGAATAATAAATAATAAGAATAAGAGGGGGAGATCCACAAAGAAATGTGGCCGAGCTGCCATAAATAAAGTGCGGATTTCAAACGAGACGATAAATCTATTCCCGAAACGGGCACGCAATCGAGGGAATTCGAATTCACCTTACGGTTCGGTGCGGTTTGGATAGATTCGGTTCCGCTGAGAGCGGTAAGTACGCAATTACCTTGGCACCGGGAAGGGTCACTTCGCAGGCGATTTATGTGTATGTCGGACCTGGCTTGGGCTCTTGGGTGTTTAGGTGTTGGCGTTCCCGCTGGGCGCCCCCGGCTTACCAACTTCGGGTTCCTCGCATCCCCTGCCATGACAAATGAACATGTTGCTGCGGCATGATTCGCGGTCAGCACAGCTTTCCTTTGATTGAATTGAAATATCCACCAGGCTGGGGCCAAAGGAAGGGGCAACCTCGGCCGCTTGCATGATTTGAGTAGTAACTTTTGCCATTCCCAAAAAGATAAGAAGCACGAGACGTAGTCGCACATAAAAGGCAGCTACCAGTTGCCCAGACATCGATTCCTTCGTGTCGTCGCTTCTTGTCCATTTAAAACCCGAGAAATGTGAGGATGAGGAGTTGTCTTATGTGAAGGTATCGCTTTGTTGGTTAAGGTTCTGGTAAAGTACAAGAAATTTATACAAAAGAGATTCGTAAAACACTAAAGAAATCTCATCATTTCGAGCATTTGTGATGAGTATGTTTGAAATTTATATGGTTCCAATTACCTATGTAGATTTTAACCTTCTCTCTGTACCTCAAAATTACTTCTATTAAAGTTAATTCTTAAGATTTGTCGAATTATTTTTAAAAGAGAGACCATAATGTCTTTATTCTTGCTTCTTATTTAAGCCATAAACAAATTAGCCATCCATAAACCAATAAACTCGTAAAACCTCTCAGTTCTTGACAGCTTTCATTAGAATATCTGAAGCCCTCGATAAATAAGCTACCGCAGTGAAATTTACTCTTTAGTTTCCCTTGCTGGATTGCGTGTCTGGATTCACGATTCTGCACGAGATTCAGTGGAACCACCTGTGGTGCGAAAGTGCTCCGTTTGTGGACCCGCGAACAGTTGCGAAAACAATTTAATTTCAGCGGATATGAAGGGTTAAGTTTGGCCCATTCCAATAAGCTGGAGGGCGTTAAGTTCCTCTTTCTGGGAAGATGAATGAGCCCCAGTTTGATGGAAAGCCTTTTCTTTGCACGCACCTTAAACTGATTTAGAACATTGTTCAGGAACAGTGCAATATGAGCCCTCTGGCTTGAATTCTTTAGTCGTCTAGTTATTGTGAGCAGCCCGCGCAACAACTTAATTACCGCTATTTACACGCACTGAGTCCAACTCCTAGATGAAAGAACTTATAAGATATGGAAGATGTTTTCATCATAGACAAAAGAATCCCAATCAAGTACAGCATAATTATCACTCTGTTATTTAAACTTCCGTTGGAATGATGAAATTATGTGTTTTTTATTTAACACAGAAATTGTGAAATAAATCATAAGTTGGATATCTAAAACTACTCTGTGCCAGTCAACATGACTAGGTTATTTACGTAAGCTTTGATACATTTATTGTTGGTCTTCCTAAGGAGAAGATCAAACAAATAAAAACATACATGAAATATAAGAATATATTTGTACGTAAATTGTACCTAAAAACTCTTATCTTCCCAAATCTCCAAACATTATATGAAATGTAGGTTAAAAGAATCCTTCCTTTTAATCCAAATCGGAAACGTATATTTTAATGTATTTTTAGATATTTTGAAAAAAGACAAAAACATTCCACTCTGAAATCTGGTTTTCTAAAGTAGTTGAATATCTGATCTTAACTGGGCTTTCGTAAAAATACTCAATTAATAAATTGTGCTTAATCTTGTGCTGGTTAATCTTTAGGTTCTTTTTTGTATAGATCTAAAAAAGATATATCTAGTTTAAAAATTATTCTGACTGTGTAATGTGATATGCACTGTTAAAATCATTGAACCAAATCTAAGATATCACTTATTGATTTATGTTAGACCATTTAGCATAATAAGATTCAGACCCCCTCCTGCTTACTCCGTTCTCAGGCTGTCAGGCACACAGGTTTAGCCCTACGGCTCCCTCCCAGAAAAGACTTTATCGCGAATATTGCGGTGGGGCAACGCATTTCACCCATCCCAACATTGTGCATCGTGTATTGCAAATTGTCGTCTGCCGATGGACTGATGGGAATACGAATGCATCAATGTCAGCCAGACGGACGACACTTTTACATCTGTCACTCGGATGGAGTGCCTCCACCTTGTCCCCTTCACCATACCTCCCCTTACTCCCCACCTAATCTCTCGTAAGTATTTTATACAGTTTCTCCCAAAAGTATTTCGCTAGTGAGAGACACACGTTTTCGTTTCACATCCGTTTCGCTTGATTTTGATCAGATGCAATTCAATTTACAATTCACTTTCTTCGCAGACAATGCCAGGCAGTGCGATCCCGCAAATAATGCATGTACGAGTATAACGTTCCACTTGGCTGACAGGCGGTGTTAGACCCCCTGTTTTTCATCATCTTCAACCATATCGTTGTCTCCATCCGCTTACTGTATCATAAACATTTATGCCAATTTTTTGTCCTCATGTCCCCACAAAGGGTGTTTTAATTCGATGCATCGTTTGCCTGGAGCAAACCAGATTTTATGCTGTTACTCTTGGCATAAGTCTCATATAAAGAATAATATCTTTATCATACTGATCAATTTAGCAAGGCATTGGATGAAACTAGTGCTAGCAAAATTCAATTAATAACAATTATTATTATTACTCACATGACCCGGAACTTGACGAGTTCTAGGATCAAATGTTTAGGATCAGCATCAAATGTTTAACATCTTTGCCGACACAGAAATTCGAGTTGGCTTACCTTCCCACTACCAAGTAAAAGGGTGGCAAAAACAAGCCAATCTCAAGATTTCGTTAATAATTTGATTATGCTGGGAAAATATATCTTTAAGCCATATAAGCTTTTGAAGCCGTTAACCTAAACTTGGCAAACTTCACTTCTAAGTCGTATATATGCCATAAGAATAATTTTTACAAATACTATAATTTAGTTACTTGTTAGAATGTTTTGTATTTTTTAATATTCATTAAAAACATCCATAAAATCTATTGTGATCAGCATTCCTAAGGTGATCCCAGCTTCGACCCAAATCCTCGGGATTTCCTTTCTCGTTTTTACGGGCTGTCGCGCTGTGGTTGCCGCCAAAAAACCAGTTCCTGGATCTCTTGAGGTATTTGTTTGGCACGACATTTGCTTCTTGGCTGGCCTGATGTTGTGTTGTTGGCCTGTCTGAATGGCAGCCGCCCGCCTCCGACTTTTCCGTGGTGGCAAAGCTGGTGACGATGGCTATGACGTCGTCTTTACTGTCCCATCCCATACCATCCTATCCCTTCCCATCCCATCCCATCCCGATCCCTCCCGACCCATCCCCCTTTATCCTGGAGTCGCTTCATGTCGTCACGCAAACTTTAATTCGTTCATTAATTCAGCCGGCAAACGGTTAGCCGGTCCGGTGGGCGTGGAAGTAGCTGGAAGTGTTAATTAGTTGTTAGTGTCTCCGACTCCGCCTGGCCCATCGAGGATATATTTAATGAGCGCCTTGGGAACTCCAGTGTCAATCGTGAGTGCTTCTGCCTAGTGGCCAGCCAACTGCTTATTAATCTATCCAGATAAGACCAATATATCTTACACAGTAGCAAATGGATTTGGCATTTTCAGATTTGTCAACTTGAAGTGCCGTGGGTTCCCTAAAGTTAAGATCTTGGAAAGGAGAAACTGTAATTTGATCGTTTGAACCTATCTTTATTGATTTTTTACATTTATAGAAAATTAATGTTTTTATAATAATGAATATTTAAAATCTAAATGTTTATAAAAGGGACATTGTATTTGATTGTGTGTCCGTCTGATATAGTTTTAAAATTGTATTTACCACATATGATATTGAATGTACTTGGAGTATCTGGTAGGGTATAAAATCTTTAGCTTATCGAGTTCAATTTTCTTTTATTTTGCCAAGATACATTATTCTTTAATAATTTTGTTTTAATGTTTATGAATTCTGCATGTCACCACAAATGATATTAAAACAATTGCGAATGCTGTTGGGGTAACTGAAAGGGCTTATCGAATACAGTTTCCTTTAATTTTTGCCAAGATACAATTTCGAGTTTAAGGTCTTTTTCAGTATTTGGTTCGAATATTTTTAGCCGCATCTGCCAGGTGATTTCCATAATTGTGTAAATTGCTCATGCAAGTCGAATCACCATTTCCACTTTTGAGAAATTCCTGTTGTCTGTGAGGAACAGTCACAAATTAGTGGCCAGGAACTGGGCATACCAAACCAGCGACCAATCGCATTGCAGAACCCTTGCAAAATAAATTCCAACAGGCAATTTTGACCCAGGTCCAGCGATCGACTGCGAAATGCGCGGTTGATGCGAGGTGAGGTCCAATCTCGGGATTGGACCCCGAAGCGGTGGCCACTCCAGTCCGGGAACCCC